TAGACCTCCGATTTGCTACTTCTTTTTACAAAAATACGTTCAGGGAGTTGACACCTATGAAAAACAGCACTGCTCTTTGCAGCAGTCTTTGCGTAAATCGGTGTATACGTAGTAATAACTGAACGTGCATTTTTTAAAATAAGCCAATATACCGAGGTCAGGATCGTTCTTTTGCATTATCGGGGAGGGGGAACTTTTCTCGAAACTAAAATTTTCCATTTAATAAAATTACAGTTTTTGCCTATTAAAAAAGACAAAAATCATTAGAGTATCACCTCAAAATGGCCCATTTTCAACATCTTTCGAAGTTTTCTAAATATTTTTCATTTGGAATACAGCCAATATTTCACAAAAAAATTGCAAAACAATTTCGACCACGTGATGAGGCCTAGCTGAACTTTTGGGCAAAATTTATCAAGAACCAAATCGCCATCGAAAATCGTGCAGGTAAGACAGGTAGACATGACTAAAAACAGCGCCAAAACCCGCAAGTACCTAGCCTAACCGCGAAAGGAAGAAAGAAGGGGAAAAAACGCGCGGACCTTTCTTTGTTTGCATACGGCGCGGCTGTTGTCGAAAATAAAGCCAGACTGCTAAATTAAATCCTAGAACGAAAGATTTAGATTTTTTAATGTAAAAGGTAATATAAAATGGGTCAGAAGGCTAAAAATATGTTCCTGGTTCAAAAAACTAGCAAAAAAGTGAAGCCTAAATTCACTTGGCGTGACAATACAATGCAAACAAAAAAAAAACTCCCCGAAAAAGCCGGTAAACAAAATGGAAGAAGCGGCAGCGGCGAGGAGGAGGAGCAGGGGGGGGGGGGGCTATTCACGCCTAGCCCGGTGGCTTCCCGCGCAATTTCGGCAGGGACAGGGGGGCGGGCCATGCCTGCGCTTCTCCAAATACCCCAGCTCTTGTGCCCCCTCCGCGCCATCATCATCCGGTCCTCGCCAATGCCAACCTCGGTTTTCGCGCCAGCCCCCCTCGAGTTCAACCTTACTCGACTTACCGCCCGCCCTGCTAGATGCTATCTGGGATTCGGTTGTCGGGATTTTCGCGGGTTTTCGTAGGCAATGGCGATTAGGAGATTAAACGGCTCAAAAAAAAAGATGTTTAAGTTATTCAAAATCCTTATTCTTTTTTAAGTTTTTAGTCGTTCTTCATATTTTTTTATCCAAAACTCATTTCTTCGAAAAACGGTTTTTTAAAAAAAGTTTGTATTTCACTATCGGCTCCGCTAATGCGCAGGTATAAAGTTACCCCCCCCCCCGCTAACGCACAAGAACCCAAAAAGTACCAGTAGGTACACCAAAACGCCCTTAAAATCGGAAGTCGACCATTCTTTGGAAAAAGAGCCTAGTCTTCGCGAGGACAAACAGAATCCTGCCGAGATGCGCGAAAATCGAGTGTTCCCCAGGCCAACGTCTCGCAGCAGCGTGGCGACGTGAAACCAAAAGCAAATATTGAGGTGGCTGGGAAAGATCGCAGAGTTGCGAGCCGCCCGTGTAATCCCGAAAAATTTACCGACTTTGGCAAGACGAACACCCAGCGTTCGACAATGTTCACGTCCAGCATCCCTTGCTCAAAGCGGTGAATCCGAACGTTGCTCGCGCTCAACGTGACGTGCACTTCGGAGGAGCTGTCGAAGACGCAGTTGAAAGCTAAATACTAGTATTATACATGGTATCCAAAAAAAGTAAAAAAAAAAACAGATAAAACAGGCATTTCTTTAGCCAGAAAAAGGCCCGATTTGGATGTTTTCCGTATCAATCGAAAAATATCGAGATTTACAAAAAGGCTTTTGAAAACTTCGTTTAATTTCTTAAATTTGTTTTACAGATAAACTGCGTTCAAATAACCACATTTTTAAATTTACGAAAATATCTTTCATTCAGTCTCTGGATGAAAGAATTTGATTGACGGTTTTGACAGCCAACACGTATGGATGAATTGGTTTAGCGACTGAATGTTTCTTGCCTATTTCCCGTCTAAAAATTACAGGGGTTTTCTTTAAGATGTCACGTTCTTTAAAAAATTAGAAATGCTTGTTTTTGCCCCTTTGGAGAACGTTCGAATTGTATAAAAATCATCTCAATCCTGGCTAGACGGGGAGCTTTATAGTATCAAACGCTTTTTACCTATATTCGGAGCTTCATGCATTTCCTCAAGTATCGCGTTGGGCATCAAGCTGTCCCCGACTTTCAGCCAACTAAAACGCATTGATTTCTACCAAAAAATTCCATACTTTTCAGCCTCCATCCAAGCATAGAGCGTAAATTTCAGTGCCGCTTCCAAGGTGAAGTAGTCGGGTTCTTGTGTCCCGTCGAGCTAGGTGAGCACTACACTTTAGGGGCAGAGCAATACCGATAAATCATGCTGGAGCAAAAATCGTTCCATTTCCGGGCACGGCGGGTCGATCATCGAATTCTCCCCGATAATCGCAAGCTTTGCCAGGTCCTTCAGCGGAGCGACAAAAATCCCAGGAAGTTGCTTGTTAGCCAGGAGTCGCCTAAAATCGTCATTTTTGCAAAAAAGATTAAACTACCTTGCAATTTGTTGTTGTGATGCGAACGGGGATGAGGCAAAGTACTGCGCCTTCTTGCTGAGGTTGATGATAACCATCGAAGCGCCATGTCGATCGAATGTTCCTAGTTGAACATCCATATCTAAATTGTCGTTTTATTAAGCTTCTAGACGTCTAAATTTTCACGGAAAACCAGAAAAAAATACAGCACATTCAGTATGTATAATATTGCTACTTGGTTTATTACAAAGCTTGAGCAAAAATTCGATTCTAAATTATCGTTTTTAGCACGCTTCTAGACATTTAAAAAGCCCACGGAAAACCAAAACATGCATAACATTTTTCTTCAACTTCATTATCCATATTATTGCTACTTTGACATTAGTTATTACACAGCTTGTGTCAAAAATTCGATTAGTGTATCAGTTGTCCAGGCGGAAATGTTGAGAAGCTGTTTCGTCTTTCCAGCGGCGTCTAGCAGTCGAATTTGCGGGCGTCGGACCATTTCGCGCTTCACCTCGACCCTTCCGTTGAAACGCTTCTCCATATTTCCTTTCACGAACGACTGGATCTGCGGGTAATCGGGCAAAATCCACTCGTTGACCTCGATGACGGCCTTGTGGTGCTTCTCAACGTCGGGGGTCGCTTCATCGGTGCAGCACCGCTTGCACTCATCGTATAGGACGGCCAATCCGAATTTGGGCATCTGCTCGCATGTCGGACATTTCAGCGAATCGACGTCGAAGCCGGCTTGTAGACAATCTTGATTCGAGCTCTTGATGGGGCTTTTTGCGGCATTGAGGCCGATGCACGCTGTTGTGACGAGAACCCAGAACAGCATCAGTCTAAAATAATGTTCTGTAGAAGTAAATTACAGTGATAGGGACCGGAAATTGAATTTTGTGCAATTTTGTGCAAAATCATTACCCTTTACCACCTATAGTAGCTCTACCAGAGTGTTTCGAAACTCCACAGCTCGTCTACACACTATAAAAGATTTTCTATAGACGTAAATTACAGCCAAAGGGACCGGAAGTTAAGATTTCTATGCTTTTGGAAGAAATCATCTAGCCAATACACTGCCTTTCAGAGCGCGCACGGGAGGGGTGGTCGGGGCGTGGTGTAGTGGTCTAAGGCGGCGGTTCAGCCCCGAGACAGGGGACGCAGGTTCGGTTCCCGGGTTCGCAGGCCTCCGCATTTTCGTTTTGCTTTTTTTGCGGAAAATGTTCCTAGTGGAATGTCATGACTCTAGACGAATCAAAAAGCATCCTATCACTTTCTTTCGCGCAGAATGGATGAAGAAAAACAGCGGACTCATGCATATATCCAAATAGACCGCTGTTAAAATCACAACGCTACGACATTCTAAAACTGGTTGCGGCAGATAGAGCGAACTTTGTTCTGTGTTCCTAGCTTTCAAGCAGATTCCAGAACAGCCAGTAAAAAGTATTATAGCCAGTTGAAAATTTTAACTAACTTTCTATTGCAGCCTAATGAAGATGTCAAGGTGATGCGATTTTACACTTTATTGGATAGTTGCTAGTCTATAGTTTATCAAAAAAAATGCAATTGAGGCGCTATGGACAAACATTTAGCTTCGCTATGATGCCCGTTGTCTTGGGTACCTCATTTTTTTCAACTTCAAACCGACCGGGCGCCCGATTGCCGTGTACGATTTTCATGAAACCTTGACCAAAAGATAGAGCAGAAGCTGTTCTATTTTGTTGTACACTCAAGTAGATTATGAAATCTTCTCAGAAAAAAGTTATAGCCAGTTGAAAGTGGAAAAGATAGCACCCCTTAGCTTAACAATGCATTACGCGAGGGGTATTGGAGCGCCCCGTAGCCTAGCCCCTTCGCCCCCTCTCGTGCGCGTTTTTATTAAAGGATGAATCGTAGTGAATAGCTGTCGCAGTCAAAGTACGGTGTTTCGAAACTCCGCCATTTGTTGTTAGCCAGGCACTCGGCCGCACACCCCCAAAATACTTCTACTAAACAATCAAAAGCGCTTTACAATTTCTATTACAACTGTAGCTTTGAAATATTTTAATTATTATAGCTCTTTCAAAAAGTTTCTATTTGAGATTTTGGCGAAAAATCGTAAATCCCGTTCCGTCCACCACAAATGACGTTTTTTGTACAGGGAAACGCTCGGAATCTCGATTTTTATCCGGAATTTCCGAAATATTGTCGTGATTTTAACTTTATAAATTTTAGAAACTTTAGAAGCTCTATTTTTCTCCTGTATTTTTGAAATAATTCGCCTGCACGATCATCTAGCTAAAACCTATGATGTTATATGTCAAAAACCCAACTGATCGATGACTTGACGCTCAAAAAGTTACAAGAATGACTAACAAAAACCTTGCTGATTTTGGAAGATTCGCTCGAGCGATCAAAAATATATTTGAGCTGTAATTCTCGATTCTTCCTCCGTTTCGCTTTACGTTTTTCCCATTTTCACTTTCATTTAGGGATGGTTTTATCAGAAGAAGTCATCCACAAACACTTGGGCACCGTTGTTGGCAATGCGGTTGGTTGTGATCCGTTTTTTATTTTTGAAAATAAATCACTTCAGGATAGCATTGAAAGCATCCGTCGATGGATCTTCCAACATCATGGCCAAATTGGTTTGATCGTTGACTGTTGGTTGAATGTTTTCCGTGCAGGTATGCATTCTGCTTTTCCTCTTGACCCTTAATTCTAGCTAACGATGAACTGCGCGTTGCGCTCTTCTACTTGATGAACGATGTCGTGCAGAAGGCCCGTCAGAAGGAGCAGCCAGAACTTCTGTCCGCCTTCCAACCAGTCCTGGTTTCTGCTATCAGACTAGGAAAGTACGTATTTTATCCCTGAGCTCGATTTGAGAAATTTAGGGCAAGTGACAGGGTCAATTCGGTGATGGAGCGCGTGTTGAAAATCCTTGCCGAACGCAGGATTTACTCGCAGGAGTCTGTCGCATGGCTTTTGCAAAGATTGAGTGGGTTTTTTCGTGCTCTTCCTAGTTATTGTCTTTTAGAAGAGGCTGATGACGAAATAATTGAAACCAAGCCAGTGGTGTCGCAAAAACAGGTAATTTTCCCAAGGTCCAAGCCATGAAATTATTTTTGCAGTTTGATAAGCTTCAAGGAGCCCACAACGACTTCGAGAAGGGTTGCACGAGAGCCAATGGGCCAAACTTTCGTTATGGCCAGATGAACCAGACAACGCGGAGAAGTGAGGAATTTGAAACTGTATAATTAATGCTGTTATCTTTAGACGGTCGTGATCACATGAGCGCCCCACCGGCAAATTTTGCGAAAACCACGCACCCTATGGATCGTCGGCACTCCGAGCATTTTGAGCCTTGTCGGAATGGCATCTTCGGTGATAGAGGACCGCGTGCACAGAAACGTTCGCTACCACGGGATGAGGTATGCGCAGTGCTTTTTCTATTTTGACGCTTATCAAAGGCGCTCGACGAGCTGCCAAGCTATTTTTGTGCTGATTTTCGAAATTCCCCAATTGTTCTTGATGTTACTAAGATTTTTGTGAACTGGGCCAAATTTCTGATGCTTTTCCCATACAAGGGTTTTAGAAAAACAAAATTTCTGTAATTTTTATGCCTTTTCGTCGTCAATTTTTGAAAGCCATTTGAGAAAAACAGTTTGAATGGCGATAGCCGAGCAAATCGAGTTTTTGGAGAAAAACGTGTAACTTTTGCATGAAAAATGCCAAACATTTAGAAAAAAATTCGGGGATCGCGAAAATCGGAGAGAACATATTTCCGCAGCTCAAGGAGAGCTTTCGATACAAACATAAATCGTGAAAATCGGATCCAACGACCTGTAGAATTTTGTCATTTCCAGCAACGCCCTCCACGTCCAATGGGCGGAATGCTGCCTCCAACGTTGATGCCTGGCGCTCACGCGTTCGTCAACCCGATGGGGATGATCGCTGCACTGCAGCAAAACGCTCAGCCTCCCCAGCAGCCTCCAGCTCAGATGCCGCCGCTCCAACATTTTCATCAAATTGTAATAAAATTATGATTATTAACAGAAGATTGACACATCGTTTTGATTTTTTTGCGTTTGATCACTTTCGTCGGATTCTGGGCCGTCAGGACGCTTTTTTTTTTCTTCTGGTGTTTTTGCCAGACTTACGGCTGGATGTTTGATTTATCGTTCCGCCTAATAGCGAAAAAGGCGGTAAAATCGAACGATTTGGGCGGGCCGTTGAGAATTTACGATATCAACTGCGCAGAATCGTACGATTCACGCGTCGAAGGAACTTTTTAAAGCTTTTTTAAATCTTTAATCCAATTTTAATATCTTTTTGAGGGCTTAGTAGGCAGTTTTTCGATCATCATCATATGAAATTCGATTGATTCGAAGGGGGGATTTTGTTAGAGCGTGCATTATGATAATTTTTGACCCCTGACCGAGCCGCAAGGTAATTTACTGGCGACTAAAAACACAAATTTTTAGACTCCATCAATGCTGATGACGCCGCCGCCTCCACCCATCAATTCTTGGGCCCCACGCCCTCTTCAAGACAATCTCCCCTACATCCCTCAAGGAACTCCGTCTTTTCTGCAATCAACCAACGTCCCATACCAACCACCGCGCAACGTCTCGCCCTGGGCGCACAACATTTCGCCGCACGAGCTCAGCAATGCGCAGCAACCACCCCGCGATCCTTCGTCCTGGCTCCAAGATGCGACTCCGTTTTTGCCGTCCAACAATCGGGACTATCCGCCGGCTTCTTCTCCCTGTGAGGATCCTCGCCTTGGCCAGCAAATGAACAATCACCAGCCGGCGATGGTTGATCAGCAACGCGAAAATTGGGCCCCGCCATCACTTTCGCACCATGAATACCCTGAAGACGAGCCGCTGGATGTAAAGCCGCTGATATTGCCGAATCGAGAGGTGGCTCCTCCCACATTTACGCAGCACAGCGGAATCTCTTTGGATGTCAAACCGTCCATTCAGGTAATAAACTCGTTGCAATATTTTAAGGTGTTTTCGCAATAACGGGGTGGGGGGATTTTCCTAGTCTAGAAATGCTTAGTAACGTAATAGTAAGAATTTTAATAGCCTTTTTAGAACAATTTAACTAGATCCCAAAAGGCAGAAGTCGAAAATTTGCTATTTTCCGATGGAAAAATTGAGATTTTTTGATTTTTTTTTAATAAAAAATTGTAGCGTTTTTACGTTTGTAAATAGTAAAAAGGGGTCTAAAAAATTCTGCAATTTAAATTAGCAAAAATTGGGTCGTAAAAACGTTACTTTTCTTTTTAGGCTGTTTTCATTTTCAGGAGACACCTACCAACAGGCCCGCCGCTCGCATCAACCTTGAAGGCGTCAAGATCGAAGGCGTATCCGAGAACAACCGGATCTTCTTCGATGGAAAAGCATACGAGGTGGGCGCCTTTATATTGCTTTAAAACTTGTTTTTTTTCATTGTTGTATCGCTCGAAAACGATTTAATTTGCGTTTTAATTCCTTTTAGGTGGAGTACGTTGACACGACGCCGATCATCGAACGGAACGGCTGGCCGCATCGCGTGTATTTTGGCGGTGGATCGAGGAACGTGATCATCGACGGCACCTGTCATCCCCTGGCTTTCGGGGAGACGAAGGTGGGAGCTTTTGCATTATCGGGGGGAAGCAATTTTTCCCCTAGATGGCCGGTTCGAAAATGTTCGAAAATCGCAATTTTTGAGCGAAAATCGATATTTTGGTATTTTAAATGGAAATTCGTACCCCGATACCCCCCGATCCTGCAAAAGAACCTTTTTAGCAAGTACTGATCGATGGCGAAGAGCACGCGATTCGTTTTGGTGGCCCGTCGAGGGAACTGTTTATGGGCGATTATCCTTTCAAGGTACGGCGTTTTTGCAAAAATATTGTAAGAATTTTAGGGGACCTTTGGTGGCCCTCCAATTTTTTGCGACCATCAATGGCGTTCGCCACGAGATCCGTCTGGGCGGACCTGCGCCGGAGGTATATTTTATGAGTCCTGTTTTAATAAAAAAGCATTTTTAGGTAAAAGTCGAGCCCACACCCGCCTACGAACTGGCCCGCCATCTGAACGTCGCCCGCAAGCCGCAACCACCGACGCCCGTCGTCGCCAAGCCGGTCGCGGAATCTTCGCACATGACCGATGACGGAAGTTAGTTTAGTTTTTAAATCGTTAAAAGTTTGTAAAAAAAAGTTAAAATAAAGCAATATTAGCTCTTGTTCATTAACGGGGGTGTAATGCATTTGCTCCCTGACTTTATTTAGCCAAAGTAATGAGCAAAATAAAGTAATAAGCAAGCATAACTACAATAACTACAATAAGCAAAACATTTTACATTGTTTTAGTTTCGACAGTTCCTATTATTAAGAAATTCGACGTCTTAAAAAATCGTACATTATTTGTTTTTCATACACTTTTTTCCAAATTTTTCGTTTTAATAAATAAAATTATAGAATTTAAGCAAATTTTACTAATTCAGAAAAACTTGTTATTTCTCAAAAAGAAACAAAATGCCATTTTAAATACCTTTTATACTTCATGGGGTCCACCGAAACAGGAAAAAGCCCCGCCCCCCCGCTATCGAACCAGCACCCTATTTTTTGCGTATTTTAGAAATCCACCTCAGCGACTACCTAAAGTACATCCTGCGTACCTGCAAGCAGACGACGCCCCCAGCCCAGTCGATGATCGACAACACGCCGGTGCCAATCCCGACAGGTCCCCTTCGCCGTCCACACCCGCCCGACTTGACCAGCTTCAACGTTCGCAATTTTAAAATGTAATCGATTTTTCTTTAGTTGCTCTACTGACCTTGTTTAGTTGTTACGATTCGGTGATCGCCCAGCTTCACGACAAGAAGAACTGCTGCCCGAAATGCGGAATCAGGAAAGACATCTTTGACGACGACGGGTAGGCCGTTTTCAGATTTTCGGACTCAATTTTTTAGCTACAAGCAGCACCTGGAAACGCACGTCAAAGAGAATCTTCGCAAAGAACCGAAAAATACCCTGAATAAGCAACGCCGGTGGTACGTGAGCCTGGAAGTACGTTGGAATACGAGGACCATATATGAACGTGGTTTTTAGGTTTGGGTCTCTGATTTTGGCCAAAACGAAGCCACGTCTGTGAAGGAGGCCGAGAAAGAGAACGCCCCGAGAGCTCCAAGTATTTTAGCTTTTTTCTATAATACACCCACTTTTTAAGCGACGGCTCGACTGGCGGCTGGCGATACCGGAAAGAAGGTGTGCTTCGCGTGTCGTGACAGCTTCAAGCGGGTCTTTGACGACGACGAAGAAGTCTGGTTTCTGAATGATTGTGTCATCTCGCAGGGCCAGGTCAGCGTTAGTCTCACATCGAGCTGTTTTTTTGGATGATGATAGAGTTTTGCAATGCGACTTGTTCTTTCGCATTATCGGTGGGGGGGGGGTTCCTTGAGTTCCAGAAATGCCTAATAACTTAAGAATAAGTGGGTTTTATCGTGTTTTTAGTAAAATCTAGCTATACTTCAACGCGAAAAAACAATTAAAGTAACCTAGAAAAAAAATTGTACTCGAAATTTTAGTCGAAAACTGGCCATTTTTGCTCGAAAAATCGATATTTTTGTATTTTTGAGCCGATTTCTAAGGGTTTACATCGAGGAATGGTAAGAAATCGTTTAGAAGGAATCCGCTATTTATTAAAAAAATGGACGCTAAGAAAAACGTTCCCCCCGATAGTGTTAAAGAACCGTGAAATCTCAAAACGCGAACACCACTCAAAACACGGCACCGCGTCGTTTTTAGGTGGTCGTATAGTTTTAGATAAATAAAATCAATAACAAAAATGATTAATACATTTCAATACCCTGTTTTTTTCAGTACTTCCACGAAAGCTGCGTCTACGTGCTGACCATCAAGGAGGAGGAGTTCGACTCGCCCACCGAGCTTCCCGGGCTCGGAGAATAACCCGCAGCGCCCTCCAACGACGTTGACAAAGCTCGCTACTAGTCCCTCACACTCGGTTAAACCCAGTCCTTTATTACAGATCCCCTTCGGATCGTCTATCTTTGTTTTATGTGCCTCACGCATCACATTTGTTTTTTGAATCGGAAGCGGGTACGGCTGTTAACGTGTTATATTGTGATTGGGACGATAGTGTCTCCGTTTCGCCCCTATCCACCTTTTAGCGCATTTTGCATGGTGTCTGTTTCGTTTCTGGTTTCATTTGCGAATAAATGGCAACTTATCCAGAGGTTTTTTTTGAACGTTTTTGACGTTTGATTTTACTCAAAATATGTAGCCGGTCCTGGTTTATTAGCGGGGGGGGGGGAGCAACCTCTTTTTTTCAGCGAGCCGCCATAGTCGTAACTGTATCTAAACGATTTTCATAGTATTTAGTAGTTTCTGCTACGCTACAAAATTTTAGAAAATTAAAAATTCGATTTTTTTGCCCATTTTTTATGCATTTTTGAACAAAACAGTCAAAATGTTTCGAAAATTTTAATAATTTTAAAGAGATTTTTACGTCTAAAAAGAGCGGAAAATGCTAATAAAACGTCTACAGTTACGTTTACGTACGTTACGTTTACGTTTCTTTAGCGAGCACCTACAAAAAGACTGAAGACAGCCCCCCCCGCTAATGAACCAGATCCAAACTAACGAGCGCAAGTCAAAGAAGCTTGCTTTAGGGAGATTGAGGTTAAAGGAGCTAGATTTTTTAGTTTTGAGCATGATCCTGGAAACGGGGCTACTTGAAAGGTGCTCAAAGAGATGAGCTTCACCTTGTTCCTCCTCCTCCTCCCGACCTCCGAGATTCAATTAACGGCGCCCTCTTTTAGCCGGCACTCACCGGATGCCCAATCTGCTCCACACCCCCTCATCGTCGTGCTTCGATGTTTGCTCCCACGCGGCCGTGCACCACGTCAAATTGGAATCTAATCTTTTGCAGGGGGCACTTCTCCGGTCATTCTAGAGGCCCGGGACAAAGCACATGCTTCCGGGCGGTTAGTTGAGTTTTTGCAGAGCTGGACTGTTAGCGGGGGCAGGGTGGAAGCTAAGCTATTAGCGTAAGCCTATCTCACATTTTTAGTGTTTAACCGTGTATTTTCGTGTTTTAATGGTTTTTAATACTAAAAATCATCAAAACATTGTTAGAAAATCAAAAAATCGAACTTTTGGAGACATTTTTATACATTTTTTAGTTTTTATCGGTACTGGGCTGTTAATGGGGGGGGAGCTAAGCTAACTAGCCTAAGCCTACCTCACATCTTGAAGTATTTCATCGTGTATTTGTCGCGTTTTAATGAGTTTTTGATACGCAAAATTAACCAAGATTTTTAGAAGAGTTTAAATTTTTGTCGTTTTTATATTTGATTCAGCAAAAAAATTTCGACAATTCGCCTTTTTTATGAAACCTTGCAACTCAAAACCGGCGCAGGCGTTAGTATAATATTGAAACCCTCTCGCCCCCCCCGCTACGAGTCCAGTGCCCCTTGCGCTTGTTTGTCGCGGGTTTTTCTCCGATTTTTCAGGATTTCTGATCCGCAGGCTGACAGATCAGTTCAGGTAGTGCTTAGCCAGTGTTTATCGAATTTCGACGCCGGCCCCGACGGCGCGTTGAGTATTGACACTGGCGATTAGGTCTTTTGTGCGCCCCGGCTGGCTGCTGGTCGCCTTTGTACGCGCCCAAGTTTTTTGGGCGCCGCCCTCACGTAACTCACCGTGGCGGGGTAAACAGTTTGCGGTAATGTTTGGATCTTGTTAAGACGCGTATGTATTTTTAGATAGTTTAGCTCAAATTATTAAAATTCAAAAATAAGATTTTTTAATTTTTTTAATTGAATTTTTGATTTTGCAGAGGTACGTATTGAATCAAAATAGGCGCCATTTTTCGTCAAACATTTTAACCAATTTTGTTTTTCGATTTGTCTAGGAAACTTTTGAGAAAAATCATGATTTTTCACAAAATTGGGGGTTTTCGGCCTAGAAAGAACAAATTACGCCGTTCACGTACAGCTGTACGTGCATAGGAGCGCCGCGTAGCTATTTTCCTGAACTTGCCTTTTTTACTGGAAATCCTACTTTTAAAAACCTAATTTTAAAAAGAAATTTGCTAATCATTCTTATTATCCATGATTGTATAAATTAGAGATTTCGACGAAATGATAGGGCTGAAAAACGTTTTGTAAGCTAAAAATGGGGGAGTTTGTTTGTTTAAATTTGTCACTTAGGACCGGCGTTTCTGGCCATTAAAACCTCGTGCTCAAGGAGGACAATAAAAGATCCGGACCATTTTGCAGCCCCACAAAAAACGGGAGGAGGCCGAGGTCGAGAGTCAGCCGACGTGTTTCCTTTTGCCCCTCATTCTCCTCCACTCACCTCGCTTTTTCTTGCCTTCTTCCTCTTTCCGCCTTTTTGGCAGCCACGTTTTTTGTGGCCGACGGTCCTTTGTGAGGTAATTGATTACTTTTTTGAACGTTGCCAGTGTCTGAATGGGCGCATCATCACCATCATGTTGCCGTTCTGCCCATTTTGCCAGTTTCTGCCTTTTTGTCATTTCCTCCAATTTGTCGATGCGTTATCGTCGATCCGTCATCTTTGCCCGATCTCTATCACCACCGCGCTGCCCGCAGATCAATTATTGTGAGCACAGAGGCGAAAAGGAAATCGTACCGGAAGCGGGCCGGCTAATTTGGGGGCTTGCTGGTGTTCGTCTTTAGCTTGTGGTTGTTTCTGGTCGTTTTTAGGCATTGGCGTTTCCTGGTTTTACTACGTCTATCTTTCTCTAGAAATTTTGGTATGACGGATCTGTCTAGAAGAATTTCTAGACTATTTTATACAGTATTTTTGGCATTTTTTAGATCTACGCCAAGTTTTCCCAATTTTCGACTGTTTTACCTGTTTCTAGAAATTATTTTTTTTTAATCCTTTTCTAGACTGTCTTTTACGTTTTTTTACGTTGGTCTTTTCTTTTTTTGTTAAATCTGCGCGAGTTTTTTACTTTGTTAGTGGTTTCTAGACGTATTTTTCAGGCACGGCTTTTATTTTTTCGTAGCCTACGTCTAGTTTCTTAATTGCATCTTTTTATGCGGTTTTTGACGCCTCGAAACTAGCTTTTCCATCAATTCCATATCGGCCTATTGTCCCTTGCCCTGGGCTGCCGCTCATAATTTATGCTAGCCCCACCCAAAAAACGATTCAAGATTGCAATCGAGTTGCGCTTTCCCGTAGCGACGAAGAAAGCTTCATCTTTTTCAACTTAAATTTTCGTTTTTATCAGGGTTTTTCGTAAAATATAACAATTTCGCAACAAAAAAAAACCTTCTGCTAAAAACCTTAGTTTTTGAACGCGTCAAAAATCGGCTATTTTAGGTCAAAAGTCGAGATTTTTTAATAAAAATTTGTGAAGTTTACAAGCTTAGGGGTAGTAAAAAAGCCATTTAGAAATACTTCCATTATTTATATTTGCCAAATTGGAAAAAAGTTGACCCCGGATAATGCCAAAGCCCCTCGAGATTTCGCTTAATTGCGAAAAACAAGCCGAGCTCAGGCCTTTCAACATTTGCACGTTTTGGCTTTTGAAGCGCTTCCGTGCACTGTGTACAGGCCCGTACGGGAGCCGAGATTTCAGGGGGGGCACCCACCCAAAAAATTTTTGGCGACCTCCCCCCCCGGTCGCCACTTTCAAAACATTCGAAAATAGCGACAATAACAGCGCCGCAGGCGAAAAAATTTAGAAAACCGCGTTGGTAACGCTTAAATTCGTGTGAAAACACATCGGAAACGGCGCGCGCAAGCGAAATTTTGTTCAGCAAAAATGGTGCACTACTGAAAACGAGCGCCGCAGGCAAAAAATTTTAGGAAAATAGGTTTTCTAGAAGTAAAAATGGTTTCGAAACAGTGATAAACAGCGCGGCAGGCAGAAAAATTTCTGAGGAAAAATCCTAAGGGTTCCCCCGGTAAGTTTTGCCTCGCCCCATAGATTTTGCCTCTGAAAGGTTTCGCTATTTTGGCCATTTTGATCGGGTTTTTTAAACGCCATTCGATAGAGCGTCAAAAAATATACGAAGAGTTTTAATTTAAGCCTACAATAATGTAAAATAAGCCTCGCAGGCAAAATGTTTACAAATAAAATTGATACATTCCGGAAAACTAGCGCTGCAAGAGAAAATTTTTGGAAAAATAGGTTTTATTGCAGTTTAAATTGTTTTAAAAACAATAATAAATAGCGCCGCAGGCAGAAAATTTTTTATGAAAAAATCATAAGGGTCCCCCCTTATGAACTTTTCGGACCTCGCCCGATTTCGGGGGGGCACCGTGCTGCCCCCCCTCGTACGGGCCTGACTGTGTAGGACATAATCGGCTTTAGATGGCATGGTAGGCAGCTAGCTTCTTTGTCCTGCCGGATGCCTCAGGCTTCCGCACACAACTTCACACTGGAGATAAGCCTTTGGCGGTCAGCTGGCTTGGCTGACTGCATCAGCGCCTTTCTAATCGAGTCCCATCATTTTGCACCTTCTGCCGGCCCGGGTTTGACGTGTGAATGACTCGATTTGGGAGTTTCCGATTAATAGAATCCGGATTTCTTGGGAATTTTGGTTCTTCTCGCTTAACGGGGGGAACAATTTTTCTCCGTTTTCGCCTAGGGCACATAAGTCAATAAAAATTATTTTTATGGCATTTTACACGGCTTTAGTTATAAAAAGCTGATAAAAATGAACCAAAAAATTCAATAAATTTTGGAACAATTTTGAATTTTTCTCAAAAATGTGTTAAAAACAACCAAAAAAAAAAATTGAAAATTTCAAAACAGTTTTTCGACGTATAACAGCTCCTAAAAATAACATTAATTTTGCAAATGGTGGTTTTTGGCGAAAAAGGTATTGAAAAATATCCAAAAATGACCCAAATTTTGAATTTTCCAAATGTATTGAACCTTTTTTGTATCTTTCTAGCAGCCAAAAACGACTAGCAGCACTCCAAAAATACATGATATGACAATAAATCGACGGAAAAGGTATAGCCGGGCAATACAAATTAAACCCCCCCCCCCGCTAACAGCCCAGTACCCTTTTTTGGAATAAAAGAAATTTTTGCTTTTTTTCTGGGTAGCGACTCGGGAACGCGCTAAATTTTTGGAGCACAGCTCATAAAAGCTTGGGGAGGGCTAGTCCAAACTTTGCCCCCTTCTTGCCAGCCAGGTCCGAGCTTATCTACCCGGGTCCCCCCGCCGCGGCAAATGACACCTTTTGTTTGTCCGTCGATCTCCTTCCCCTCCCTCCTCCCTTCGTTTTGCTTTGATCTGATGGTGGTGGTGGCGTGGTTGCGCCTTCCGATTATTCCGAGCTTTGTGATTTCCTGATTTCGACATTCCCGTCTGCCACTTCGAAATCCCCGAAATTCAGATCCGGTGAATGAGCGAGGCGCTGCTGTCACCGAAAGCCCTAGAAGCCATCCGGGCACTCGAGGAGAGCAAACGGAATCAGAGTCAGTTTCTCAGGGGGGGGGATTTCGGCCACTAGGGACAACCAAAACGCCGACGTTCCAAATCCCGGCTTTCAAAATACCGAGGGCCATAATCCCGAGAGCCGAATGCCGGCAGCCATAACGCCGACAACGATAATCCCGATAGCCAAAATCCCGAAATCTAAAATCCCGACAGCCAAAACACCGACAGCCAGAATGCCGACGACCATAATCCCGACATCCAAAATTCCAGCGGCAAAAAAATTCCGACACCCAGGATCCCAGCCAAAACACTGATAACAAAAATGCCGACATACGGACGTTGTCCGTGGGCCTGACGTGTCGGCATTTTTGGCTTTTGCTTTTTATATTCGCGGTTTTGGCTATGTGTATTTTGTCTGTCCGCATTTTGAATGCCGGCACCTTGCCAGTCGAGGTTTTGGCTGTCGGGATTTTGCCCTTAGAAAACCTGGGTGTCGGTATTTTGACAGTCGCGGCTTTCACTGTCGGCATTTTACGATTTGAGGACCGGCTGTCGGTATTTTAAAGGTTGGGATCATGGCGTTCGAGAATCTTGATGTCGGTATTTTAGCTTTCGGTATTTGGAAATGTGGCCCTCTTAATTTTTGAATTTTTTTCCGGCTTTGAACGCTCAACTTTGAACCCTGTTCCGCCAGATCCGCTTCATCAGCTTCCCCTTTTTTGCGTGCAAATTTCGTGGTACTTCGAAAAGGGCACTCTGGGCCCCCATCCATCACATTTACAGCCTATTTTTTGCGCGCTTTCTTATCGGCAGAATCGCTGAGTTGTGGGGGGAAGGGTGCAGAATTTGGTCGGTCCGTCATGAGTAGCCGCGTGTAGCCACCGCGAATTCGTCGCGTACTTTGGGATGGCGCTGCAGCTGGGTATGGGATTTTGGGCATTTTTGAGCTTTAGGGTTGTAAGATTTATACTGTTTTTAGTGATTTGCCAAAACTGGAAAAACCTAAAAATCATTTTAGAGTGATTTTAACCAGATTTGGAGCATTTTAATTCATCTTCATGCATTTTTGGCCAATAATTTAACCTTAAAAGCGTTAATTGTGAAATTAAAACGCGAATTGGCAAGGAAATTTTGCAAAAATGGTAAAAAATGCTTAAAATGCTTTCAAAAAAGTTGTTGAAAAATTTAATACTAAAAAATTGTAAGATTATACACAAAAACGAGCTAGTAATTTGAAGATTTTCTCAAATTTTTTTCTATGAGCGTTTCCGTTTCAGAACTATGGTCTCGCGAAGCGGTGCGCCTTCAGACGGCACTGTTGCTGTGCATGGCGATGGCGTGCAACAGTCTGATGAGGGGCAGCATGTCGTTGGCCATCGTTTGTATCGTGGCCAGGAACGTGTTCCCGACTACGGCCAACAACAATGACACCACGGTGGCGGCGCCGGCGGAGGATCGGTTTAATGTGAGTTTAAAGGGGGACAGCTCAAAAAAAGTGTTCTAAAGGGACGGTGACAGAACGGAGAAGATTATTTTAAAGGAAGAGTACTAGCTCGAAAAGCAGCGGAAAAGCTGGTTTTCAATGAATAATTCCCGGTACGAAAACGCGCGTTTTCAAGGGGCAGGGCCAGCTAGAAAATCTGCGCTTTAAAGGGATGGCGCCAGCTCAAAATGCGGCATTTTTAAGGAAAGGTAGTACGACGGAAAATCCAGATTTTTAAGCGGCAGTGCCAGCTAGAAAAACTGGTTTTTGAAGAGAGAATGCCAGCAACGAACAATTGCGTTTTCAAGGGACGGTGCCTGCTAGAAAACCTGGTTTTAAAGAGAAAATGCTGGCCAGAAAAAAACCGTTGAAAGGGATGGTTACAGCTCAGAAAAGCAGCGTTTCCAAAGGATTTTTCACTCAAAGAAAGCCCATTTTTAAAACCATAGTGGCATCTAACAATTTCGTTTTAAAGGGACAGTGCCAGCTAGAAAATTCTGCTTTCAGAGAGAATATCAAGTCGATTGGACCTCCGAGGAGCAAGGCCGGATCCATACAGCATATTACATCGGCGCCTTTCTCGCAATCCTCGCTACAGACTACATTATTCGAAGGTGAGCCAATGGCTGAGCGGTAACGTTCACGCCTGCCACCCAAAAAGCTTGGGTTCAACTCCGTCCGAGGCCAGATTTTTTTGCTTAAAATGTCGGGATTGGCTGAAGGGAGAGAGCGAGAGTGAGCGAGAGAAAGCAGAGACTGAACGAGAGTGAGAGCGATGGAGAGCGATTTTTTTCAGATACGACCCGAAACCGGTGCTGTCAGTAGCGCTACTGCTGAACGCGATCGGGTCGATTTGTGCGCCATTCTCCGTCATTCTGCTGCAACATCATTTGTACCTCGCTGCCGTGCGGTTTTTGATGGGATTTGGGAGTGGTGAGTTGGAAAAGCGTAGCTATCTCTCGCCATCCCTTGTCTCTCTCTCTCTTCCTATCGCTCACTTCGTGGCAGAGAAAATGAGACATTTTTTTAGGCCTCATCGCCCCCTGCGGCCTGTTCATCATCTCCAAATGGTTCCCGATGACCGAGAAAAGCACGGCTGTGGCCGTCTTTACCACCGGAAATCAGGTACAATCTCTTCTCTCTTTCTCTCTCTCTCTCTCTCTCCCTCTCTCTCGCTCTACTTAGACTCTTAAACTCTAGCTCGGCATCGGCCTGTCGATGATCTTCACCGCCAAGCTGTGCCAGGCCACGTGGGGCGGTGGCTGGCCATTGGCCTTCATTGGATATGGTAAGGGCTTTCATTGTTTTTTTTAGTAATTTAAGTGTGACGCTCCCTTTAAAGTTTAAACGGGCTTTCCAGGGCTCCTCACGCTCGTCTACGTCATCATCTGGCAGTTCAGGGGCAGCTCGCGGCCACGCTGTTCTAAATATATCACGGCCACGGAATTGGAGTATATTACGGGTGAGGGAGAGAGAGAGAGAGAGAGAGAGAGAGAGAGAGAGAGAGAGCGAGCGAGCGAGAGGGAGCTAGTGAGCGAGTGAACGTGAGAACGATGGTGATCGCTAGAAAGAGAGCGACAGACTGAGAGAACCACAGAGCGAGAGAGAGAGCGCGCGAGAGAGAAAGAGCGCGCGAGAGAGAAAGAGAGCGAGAGAGAGCGAGAGAGAGATAGACAGAGTATTTTCACGTTTATAAAATAGTTTAAGATGATTTTCCAGGCCGTCGCGGCATCAAAAGCCGAGCGAAAAGTGTCGTGCTCAAAACTCCCTGGAAAGAGGTAATTTCTTTTTTGCTGATTTTTTACAATCCTTTTCCAGATTTTGTTCTCTCGCTGCGTGTCTGCTATTTGCGTGAACGCCTTCGCGCAGTCGTTCGTCCTCGTGGCCATGATCACCTACCTGCCCAAGTTCAACCAGGAGGCGCTGGGCATGGATGTGGCCACCGTCAGTTTTTACAAGCTTTTCTTGATTTCATTGGATGCTGACCGCATAACATCTTTGTTCAGCAAAAAGCAAAAGCTTACCGGCAGAAGGAATCGAACCCGGGCCCCCGGATTGAGAGACCGACCTTTTAACGACTGCGCTACCCACAAAATTTCACATTCTTTGTATTTTAAGGTTTTAGATCGGTGGCTAGTTTTTATTTTCCAGAACGGAATGTGGTGCTCGGTGCCCTTCTTCGTGCAGACGGCCACCAAGATGCTGTTCGGCATGTGGGCGGACGCGATGAAGAAGCGCGGATGCAGCAGTACAGCAGTGACTTGGGCCTTCAATGGAGTGGGTAAGCCGGGAATACATGGACGATTTCCATACACATTTTCGAAAAAGAAGTTAGGGCTTTTTCGCAAATTCGAAAATACATTTTTTGAAAGTCAAGTTTTGAAATTTAATTTGCCGCCCCGAAAATAATTTTTCTTGACAGTACGGAAATAACCTATTTAACAAAATAAATGATTTTTACAAACGCTAAGGTCATTTTGATACCTTCATTTTTAGCCACATTCGCCGCTTCCGTTTTCATCGTTGCCGCCCCGCTCGCTGCTGCTAGCCCGACCTTGTCGATGTTGTGCGTCTGCGCGGCGATGGCGCTATTTGGGGCCTTCGTGCCTGGGTACAACACGGCCGTCGTGTGTGTCGCGCCGGAGGTGGGTAAATTTATCAAAACATTTAAAACATAACGCTGCAAAATGCTGATTTAATAATTTTTTCATGTTTATCTTGATGTCTATGAAATCTAGTTAAAAATACTTTCGCTCTGTTTCGCATTCGCTTTCTCCCTATCTCACCCGCTTTCTCTCTCTTGCTCTCTCTCTCTCTCTCTCTCTCTTTCCCTCTCCCTCGTTTCCTCCCTCTAAAAAACTAAATAAATGTAAATATCAAATAACTACAAAATAACATCAATAATAAAAAATATTAAACGTGATAAACTCACTAAAAATCTCTTTTAGTTCACAGCTACCATCTCCTCCTATCAGCAGTTGTACTCGCAAATTGGCAGCCTGCTGGCCCCGTTTCTCATTGGGATAATCACGAGAAAGGTAGCTGTACGAGAGAGAGAGAGAGAGAGAGAGAGAGAGAGAGAGCGGATGAGCGAAAGAAAACTACCAAAAATCCCCTTCCAGGGCACGTACGAAGAATGGCGAACCGTCTATCTGATGCTCGCCTTCGTCCTCATCATCGCCGGCCTTTTCTACCAAATCTGGGGACATGGTGGGCCAAAAAAGAGAGATAACTATAAAAGCTTATTAAAAACATAAAACCAAGTTTTATAGGTAACGCGGAGCCGTGGGGCAAAAATGACGGCTCGCAGCTGACGTCGATTTGCATCGAAAACGGGGAGCTCGACGAGAAGGGAGATGCAATTAGCCGGCAATCTTCTCGGGTATTTTAAAAATTAGAAATTATTATTAAAAGTGCTTGTAAATTGATTTTTACGACCCCTTGGCGTAAGCTTTACCCATTTTTATTAAAAAAAAAAACGAAAAAATAGATCGACCAAGATTACGACTGTTTTTTAAGTTTTTTATTGTTTCTCTACCTGAGATCTAGTTAGATTTTCATAAAACCATTTTAGTAAAATGATTTACTACGTTTACTAATAAAAATTTGCATTAACTTCTGAATATTCCATTTTAGCGCAGTTTAAACGAGATCAACGCGCGGCTGGCCAACGAAAAGCCAACGGTGCGGACGAATCGGACTTCCCGGGTCTCGTACCTCCTCGTAAGTTGAAAATAATCGTTTCCGGGCAGTTCTATAGACACCTAAACGATTGTTTGCTCTTTTCTAACGTAGAAAAAGCCTAATATGACCTTATAATCGCAATAAAACGTGCCAACTATTTTGCAGGACTGTGAAGCCAACATCCCGGAGACGATCTACGAGCTGGAGAACGACGTAATAGAGGAGGAATCGGACCTGGGCGATGAAAAAGCGGATAAATTGAGCGCCCCGATGACGCGGCGAAGGCTACTTTCTAAAGACCCGGACCCGGAGATGGTCAACCTCACCGGGAAGTAGGAAATCAAAAATCCGATATTTTGTTTCTAATCTATTATTTTACGGCAAAAATTCGGTGCTTTTGCATTAACGGGGAGGGGGGTGCAATCTTTTTCCAAATTTACCTTTTTATAAGCAAAATCTTGCAAAACTAGCTTTTTTCCAAAAATTGCCGTTTTTGAAAAAATTGCAGTTTTTAGTTACAGTACTTTACGTTACAGGGCATATCTGGACACCTAGGAAAATCCCCCTGATAATGCACAAGTACCAAAAATTCCCCATAAAACCTGTGATATCTTTCTAGCTGCTGCTCAATTTTTAAAAGCTATTATTTGCTCACACAAAAACATTCCCCCTAAAAACGAGTGCCAATTTAAAGTATCTAGCTCGACTTCCTATACCGAAAAAACGGGTAAAATGACTCAATTCTTGTGATCTTCCCCCTCAGCGATACATTGTATAAGGATGTTTATTCTTCTAGCAGATTCCCCTCATGAATTGGGGTTAATTATTATGTTTTTTGACGACGAGATAAACGATATAAATTATAATCCGGTCCTATCACGAAAATGTCACACACAGGAAATGGAGATTTAGCAGCCAAGATATATATTTCAAGGAGAAGCCGAGGTGACCAAAAAACGGTACTGGTCTCTTGGCGGGGGGGTAAAATGTTATTTTTCTTTATTCCATCCTTTCCGATATTTTGAAATCTTGACAAGAAAAAAAATGCTTTTTTTCGCTCATTTTTCATAAACTTTGAACAAAAAATAAAACATTTTCGAATTTTAAAATTTTTACAAACTTTATATTCAAAAGCGCAGTAAATTTCTATAAAAATGGTTTCTATTCCGTTATAGAGCCGTGCTGGATTGCCGGAAAAAATTTCCCCCCCGCTAACAGCCCAGTACCAAAAAACAACCGGAGGGTGTGTGCGTAAGAATTATCACAATGGGATTGATGATGATGATGTTAGAGGTGAAAAGAAGTGAAGTGAGGAGCACCCGAAAATAAAAAAAAAACACACACAAAAATGCCATATCTTTAGCCGCCAGGGTGAAGCCGATGTCGTTGCTGCTTGAGCTAGAAAATGAAGTTACTCAGGAAAAAAAGCTAAAAAACGCACCAGATCCCTGGAAAATCGGTCCATATTGTCGTTGTGTTCCTAAATGGTAAGTTATTTATAATATTTAGTTAAGCACATTAATACTTTAATTTATTTATAATCTCACCTATTGAATTTATAGAGATAGAATAATTTGTAAAAAGCTTACAAAGCGTTTGAAAATTTAAAAACTTCGTCTAAAATCGATTTTTTGGACGTTTTAACAAAACCTGGAAAAGTTTTGCCGCTTTATTGTTAAAAAATGTTTTGAATTAAAAAAATGGGCTCCTAAAGGAAAAAGTCAAAATATTTCACGATCTGGCAGCGACCATTTTTTTCAAAAAAATACATAAGTGAACATTTTGCCTTGCTAGTTGATGACATTTCCTATTGAAAGCTGTACGCAAGTATTTCGAAATACCGACTTCCGCAAACGACTTTCGGAAAAAACACTTTTAGAAAAATCATTTTCGACAAAGCAAGTTTGGGAATGCGTATGCAAATTCGCAATTTATCATACTAAGGAACCGAAAATTACCGCGTAAGACGGAGAGGTGATATCCGGGTTGTAACGTGCGTAGTACTCTTCCCAGACGTGAATGAACTGAATATAACGCGATTAACAAAAAGGAGAAAAAATTAGGCTCACCGCAATCCGGGTGTTCATCTTCAGGAAAACTTGGCGATTCCTGTTATCGATGTAGAGCGGATTCAAGAAGCGACGCTTCTCCTCCAGCACGTACGACCACAGGGAAACAGTTTGAGTGGCACATTCCTGAAATTCATGACTCGAAAAACCACTTAAAAACCAACATTTTCCACATGGCGTGCCTTTTCCGTGTTATACAGGAAAGTGCCGAATCGGCACGAGTACAGCTCGTCAAGGATGCAGATCAGCAAGCTGGAGGTGAACTCGAAGTGGGCGGGGAACTAAGAATTAAAATTCTGGATAAAATTACACGATAAAATTATTACCTGACGCATCAGCTGCCAAACGGAGTCGATAAATTGGACGAAGATCGGCGAGCGCTCGTCGTCTGACGCCTTATTTTCGCCATGGCCTAAATTTGCAGCTTGCGGTCGGGAGCAACGGTTTTTTTCTATGTGTAGCAATGTAATAAAAGGAGTTCCATAGTACAAAAACAGAAATTCCAACCGTCACACCTAAAATTGTAGCCACATTTTCAGTGTTTATAGCTGTTAGTCGTTAGAAAGCTTTAGAAAGTTTAAAAATTTGGATTTTGATCGGCGAATCGATATTTTACCCCTTAGCCCAAATCTGCAATGTTTTTATTTTTGTAAATAGCAGAAACATTGTAGAAACATTTTAAAAACTCAGAAAGTTTGGAAAACGCTTAAAGTTTGATAGAAAAATCGACACTTTTGTATTTTTTAGTAAAGCGGCGCAAAGTTTCACGTTTCTGAATACTCCAAAAATTGTAGAAAAAACCCACCTATCCTTTGCGCAAACTTGAAGCCGAAACTGCACCACTCCTTCTCGATCAGAATCGCGAATCCCTCGACGCTACGGTAGTACGGATCAAGCATTACGAGGGCAAGGGCGGCCAGCTGCGCCGTACGATCCCAGCCATCCGAGCAGTGGACGACAACCGAAGATCGGCCCTCCTCAACCAGGTATGCCATTTCGGCTGCACCCTCGCAGATCGACTAAAATTACCCATTTAACGAATTCCCGACAATCCAAACCCTAATATGCTGCAACCACTTTGTATCTTCGATCTGCTTCAAGTAGTTGACCTCGTCGATTTTCGGGAATAGCGCCGATTGAAGCTTTTGCAAGCTAAAAGAAGGCTACAAAACGATCGACAACAACTTACGATTCTCGGACGACGTGGATGTTGTGAATATCAAGAAATGTGAGCTCGCACATGCCATAATTCGTCTTCTCTTCCCAGCCACCGCCTTTCGCTTTGTTTACCTAAAAATTCGTGCAATTTTTTTGATTTAATACATACCACAGCGTTTAGCATAGGCCGTGCGTCGAAAATGGCCAATGGTTGTGTTTGGTTGGTCGTTCGGAGGATCATTTCCATCAGTCTATAAGACCAAATAAATTAAACGCACAGTAGAACTCACGCTTCGTCCTCCTCTTTCCGCTTCATCGTCACGCCGGTCAGCGGTTGCGCGCATCGGGTGATAGATGTTTTGTGGACGGGGTGAAGCCAGGAAAGCGCCTAAATACGAAAAAAATTATCGAGTTCTTCGCACCATGCTTCTAAAACGCTTTTCGTTGTACCTAAAATTAAAAACTTTACAAATTTCGATTAAACGCAGAAAAAAAAACGATTTTTCGACCAAAACTGACGATTTTCGAGAAAAATCTGAGATCTTAAAAACTTCTCTACTTCGCTTCTCCCCCGATATTGCGAAAGTTCTAAAAGTTACCGGAATCCGCTGTCGACTCCTGAAGTCAGCAACCTTTTCCAAAAATTCCTTTTTCTTCATGGCTTCCCGAGGAACGCCGAGCTGAAAATCAAGGTGTTTTTGTGCAAAAAATAAAACATACCACAGATGGATAAGTTGGCGAAAATTCGTACATGCAATTGATGCCGGATATCGCCCACACGTCCTTGGCATTTGCCGCATTGACTAGAAAAATTGAGGATATTTGGCTCAAAATCAAAAAAATACCTATCCGCTGCAACTCTGCCCTGGCATCAAACAATTCCCAGCCATTTCTCTCGTATTTACTGGCGCCTGGGAACGGGCTATTTCCAAGGGCCGCTGCGTGGGCATACGCGAAGAGCCTCTAAAAATCATTTGTAAAAAACCATAAAATAAAAAAAACGCAGTATTATGAAAAACAATCGCTAAATTCTAACGTCTCACACTTTAAAAACCAACCATCTCGTTAGACAATGGAAACGCGTAGGTTGATAGGCTATGAAAAAGTAATCGCCGCCCACGCGTGCTTTGGCACGACAGAAATCGTAATAAACGCATGTCCTAAAAAAGGTAAAAATCAGTTAAAACCACCCACTTTACAATGGATATCAAGACCATACGAATCATCCGCTCTCGTTATATTTTTATGACCAAACTAAAATTTAATGAGTTACTATTATCAAAAAAATAAGCCCACCTTTTCCACTTTAGAAATTATGCCGAGCGGCACGTCGAATTGTATTTTCTGGAACACGTAATTAATGTTTACGAATATTTATTTACCTCTTTCCCGTTCTGCCCTTGAAAACGCATCCGATACGTGGTCACCGTCACGGAACCCATAACTTTTGTGCCATCCGGTGTCACGTAGCCGATCGCCGGATCTGGAATCATAAAATAATATAATTCATAAAACATAATACCTAGAAGACCACTAAAATACTCACCAAAAGCCTCAAATTTCTCGCCGGGTATCGCATCGACAAACTCGTGCGCTTCCGGGGTTTTGAGTTTTGCGCTCTAAAAGTCCAGAATTAGCTCCAGATGTTTTCATTTTTATGTGAAAATTTGGCAAAAAAATTGAAGCGCTGCTTACTCGTAGTGCTAGGCTTTTAATGGTAAGGTGGTTGAAACGCCGCACACTCTAAATGTTAATTTTTTTTCTAGGTTTTTGTGAAATTTTACGAAAATTTGTGGTTTTTAGGTGATAATGGAGTTTTGCGACGTGACATAGCTCATTCCAAAGACCTGGAAACTCGGAACAAGTCCGACCTTTCAAAAACTGCTGAAAAACAACGATTTTCGATAAATTAGCTTTAAAGGGATGCCGACGGCATAGACAATCGGTTACGCGCGGAAAAGAAAAGTCTCTGCGCCTCTCCCCTGTTGGCTACTTGCCAATTTGTTGATGAGGGGGGGATCGACACATGCCGTCGGCAGCCCTTTAAAATGCCCAAAATTTTAAGCCTTTCTAGTCCCCGCTTAGCAACACGTAAACGTTGCGCTCATTCGATAGAGCCGGAAACAGAGCAAGTTCGGTCTTTCAAAAACTGCTGAAAGACAACATTTTTTTCGAGAAAATTCGCTTTGAAAAAGGCAATTTTAAGCATTTTTGGCCTCCGCTTAACCAGGTAAACTTTCAAAAGCCGGTTTTCAAAAAAACTTAGCCTTTCAAAGGTTTTTTGACAGTTGGCCTTGTTCAGAATTTGAAGCTCTATTCTACGCCACATCGCAAAACTCCAATTTCACCTAAAACCACTCCTTGTCAGCCAAAAAACTCACATTACTGGACCCGGGGCCCACATAACTCATGCCGGAAATGAGGAGCGCTCTGAAGCAATACTTATTATTATACCATGGCGCCGTAATGTGTTGAGCAGATACGTTGAATGTCAGTGATCATTTCGCCGGTCCACTTTCACGGGGTAGGTACTTTTATTCAAGACACATCTACAGAAGCACCAGACTAACGTAAAAAAGGGCTACCGATAATCTCTACACAATGAGGAGGCTGGCTCTGAGCAAAAATCACAATATATAAACGGGTCGACATTAATTGAGGCGTGGAGAATTATCACAGAACTACTTCCGGAAGCATTTTCACAAGCAAGCGAGCGAATGGTGTGTATGGCAATTTGATTAGTCTGAGTGTAAATGCGGGGCCAACAGAGAGAGTAAGGCACAAGAAATGAGGTGGTTAGCGGGGAAAAGCTAGCGTATGGCAGAGACAACGAAAAAATGAGCAAAAAATTTTCTAAGTAGAATCTAGCTAATGAAATCTAGGAATTTTCTTTTGATTATTACTGCACGACGACCCGGGTGTCGATGGATGGGCGACGGGCTTCCTCGCTGTTTTGCTAAACAAAAAATTTATTAAAATTATTTTTACGGGCTTTTTCGAGAATGGGGACTTCCCTGTTAACGGGGGGGGGGGGGGGGAGAATTTTTTCCCACCAACTCCGGTCTATTAACGAAATATAAACTGGCGTTGAAAAATAATAGCCCGAAACTGGCAATTTTGGGTTACGGTAGCGGATCCACGTTTAAGTGGCGGGGCACCCTTTAGCGAACAGTATAATCACTTGGATAGTAAAGTGATACTCCAATGTAGTTTTCTATTGATTATTTCACTTTTTTTATGGGTAATAATAATTGATCAACAAAAAAATCAGACAAGCACGCGCCTTACGTTTTTTTGCTCGCGCTTCTTGCCGATTTTTTGCTCGACTGCATGCTGAAACGCATTTAGTCAAGTCTTTGTCTCACGGAGTGAAATGAATAGCGAGGATTTTCCTATAATAGAATATTTCGGGCAGTATAATGTCGGAAGTAGAAGCGTACGCTTGTCCAGCGATGTTCTGTCGCTATAGTACCCCATGGTCAACTACTCTGAAACGACATGTACATTCCCAGCACCCTGGCATCACTTAACCGGCGTCCCGGGCGCATTTGAAGGAATTTGCGTGCCAAGAATGCGACAAACGCTACGGCACGCAGAAACATCTCCGAGAACATCAGAGATTGAAGCATGCAGCAAAGCCTACTGTTGGGGACGCGCGAATCACTTGCTCGGTGTGCCCGGACACGTTTTCTAGCCACCAGGAACCAGTTGTTCACTTCCAGCAGCATGATGAAAAGTACGCGGGTGTCTTTAAGTATATGCTTTTTAGATGCGCAAATGCCACGCTTGAGCTCGACTCCGAAACTATGTTTAACGCATGGCTAAAAGCAACTGAGCATGAGAACTTCTGTTCCTTTTCGATTAAAAGCTCAACAAACATCAGTTTGACAAACTTGCCAAAGAGAATAGAAAGGCCACGCCGATCCTCGATGCAAGCAAGAAGTACCAGATGGAGAAACGAACCGCAAGGAATGCGTTCTTGGCGCAGCAAAGAAAAGCCAAAGATTAATCCCTCGAGTCAGGTTGCTATTGTTTATTCTGTTGTTCTTGTTGTTTTTATTTTGCTCTTTTTATTGAAATAAACACTTCCAAATGCGTTTCAGCAAGCAGTCGAGCAAAAAATCGGCAAGAAGCGCGAGCAAAAAAAACGTAAGGCGCGTGCTTGTCTGATTTTTTTTTGTTGATCAATTATTATTACCCATAAAAAAAGTGAAATAACCAATAGAAAACTACATTGGAGTATCACTTTACTATCCAAGTGATTATACTGTTCGCTAAAGGGTGCCCCGCCACTTAAACGTGGATCCGTTACCGTAACCCAAAATTGCCAGTTTCGGGCTATTATTTTTCAACGCCAGTGAAATATAAATCAGTTGTATAGCATTTTGCAACGTTTTTAGACATAAAAATAAGGCCACTATCAGCATTTTAAAACTTTTTTGTAAAAAACGTATGAAACATATCCAAAAACTTTTGGCAAAAAGTTAAAATCATTGTTACAGGTTTCTAGCAATCAAAACGACCAAACAAACACTATAAAAGAATTATGCATGAAAATCAACATCAGCTCCCCCGTTAACAGAGAAGAACCCGAGAATCATGCTGAACGTAAAATTTCATTCAACTAATACGATACAACACGACACGTGGTACCTTAGGGAGAATGGCAATATTGAATTGGGCCATTGTCCTGCTAAAATTCGGTTATACAGGTAACAAAAATCACGAAATTAAAACGATACCTGTTTCGGCTTTTCTCGGTAAGTGTTGACGGCGGGGATGTCGAATTTGAACATCTCCACCTCACAGCTGTAGGCTTTTGGCGTAAGTTTGACGACGGTGTGGAGCGGCACCTAAAAAAGAATTTTTTACGACTTTTTAGACCCCTATTTGCTTTAAAATTATATAACGACTCTTAGAAACATACCTTGAGATACGGCAGATCGTCGCGATTCTGATTCGTGAAATATGCGAGGATGCAGCGGAGGACGGCTTGATGGGAGATGACGAGCACGTTGGACTGTCGCTCCAGCTCCATGATGACGGGCTCAAGGCGGGCCACCAGGTCTTCGTAGCTCTAAATTCCAGGTATTTTAATCGGATTTACAAAACGCACCTCTCCAGACGGGTAGCGGTAGTGATACTTGTCCTTGTCGCGCTCCCCAAATTGCTTCGGGTACCGGATCTCAAAGTCCTCGTAAGTGAGACCCTCGCAAATACCCTAAAATCGATTAATAAAACCGTAAAACTGGCAAACCGCATCAATCTCGTCCAATACTTTCCAGTACTCGACGTGGGCGGCCAGATCGCGGAGCTTTGCAGACGTTTGGGCCGCCCGGATCTTTTGTGACGACCAAATTCGGAGTTCTGGCACTTCGGCTTTCTAAAAAAATCGTAATTTTGTATTCAACCGTTTTTCTACCTCAAGGAAATCTTTGAGCTTTGCCGCATAGTCGAGACCGCGTTCGCTAAGCGGGCTGTCCCCGCCTAGCCTTCCCAGCAAGTTGTATTCGCTCTCGCCGTGCTAAAAAAATAGTTTTCTTTCGGGAAGCGCTGCTTACGCGTGTCAAATAAATACTTCTCGGCAGCAAGTGGATGTTCATCAGGAAATAGACAACTCTGGATTGCACATGTCCGTTGACGTTGTGGACAAAGAAGGATTTGCCGGCGTTAATGACCTAAAAAGAGGTAATTCACTTAATAGAGAAAGCTAAGAACCTTAATATAACTCAAATCCTCGTCGTGCTCTTCATCGAGAGGCTGATACATCAGGCGATAGTTCTCGATGCGCTTTACAAAGTCTTCTTTGGCCTCTTCTTGCGACATGATTCCTTTGTAGTCGGGAGAGTTGATTTTCACCTCCTAAAATTGCTAAAATAAGCTTGTGCTCTAAAAAAACGAACGGTAATGTTGGAGTTGATAATGTCTGGATCGTCACAGACGCTTTCAACGAAGAAAACCCTGAAAATACATGAAATTAGCTTGAGAACTTTTTCTTACCTGAAAGGCGGGCTTCGATTTGATTTCCGGCAATAGTCCACCAATAATTTCCTACGCTCCCGAGTCGTATTGGTGGCATCGAGGATCTAGAAAAACTGGAGGAAAACGCCAAAAAGCTTACCGCAACTTCTCCTTCCTTACTTTCCAAGTATCGGCCCATATCCTCGATAGCTAGGCGAGCGCATTCGCTAGAAGATTGTTTACGATCCCCAAAAAATAGACACACTCTCTCTTCTTCTGTCCGGCTTGGTTGTGCGGGGAAAAGAAGTCGGCTTCGCCCTCTTTCACGAGATCGCAGGCTTTGCGTCGGTATTCGCCGACATTGAAAGCTAAAGAAAGAAACGGTTGATAGAAAATATGTTTTAGGTGGTTTTGGAGTTTTGCTATTAATTGTAAAATAACTCATTTGATAGAGCTTGAAATTCCGAAAAAAACTTTTTCCTTTTTCCTTTTCGTTATCGTTCAGCGGTTTTTAAAAGAAGAATTTGCTCAGAATTTCAAGCTCTCTCGAATGAGCATGTCTCAACGCAAAAGCACTTGAAACGCGCCTGCAAACGACCAGGACAAATAAACCAATCTACCTCTGGTCCGGATCCCAATCCAGTTCAAGTAGCGGCAGAGCTTGTGCGAGATGTAGGTCTTGCCCCGCGCCGGCAGCCCGACCAACGCGATGACGTTCGGCACCCGCACTTGCTCATTCGAGGTGTCGGAACCTAAATTTGGGGTTGTATCGGGGCCCGGATTTCGTCTAAAAACACTAAAAACATGATTTTTCGGTCTAAAAAGCTCAAGAGCGCCCAAAAAGCTCGCTCAAAACTTACGAATCATGTGCCACCCGATCGTACGAGGCACTACTACCGCCTAGCCAACTAAAGCAAACATGTAAAGAGGGCAAAAGCAAAGTTAGAAAGGGCCGAGATGAAACAGGAAGCGGGGAAGACTCAAGTTTTGATGGCCATGAGTCATGGTGAATCAAAAGGGCGGCGCCCATCGATTTTATCAGGGCATCTGGAGGAAAAAAGGAAAATAAGTGATTGTGGTTCTGGTTCGTTAGCAGGGGGGATTTTCGGGTTTTAGGGGGTAAACTAACTTTTTCAAAGTTCCTTTAGGCGTCTATGATGAAAAAATACTCATGAAAATATCAGAAAAGAAAAATAAAACTTTTAAAAAATAAATTGGGCGCTTTTTAGATATAAAAACCTACAAAAATTGTCAAAATTTTTGTTTTTATGTTCAAAAACAATGAACAGAAAACTTTAAGACCTTCTCAATAAGTTTTTATACCGTTCTAATAAGCGGAAGCCACCAGACATACTATAAAAAAGGTTTATTTTTGATTACTATGGAGATTAGGCTGAATAAAGGACGTTAGATACCTAATCCTAACCTCCAGTAATAAAATAAGCACTTTGATTTCTATTTTAGCCCCCCCCCCCGCTAACGATCCAGAACCGTTTATATCGATTTTAGCAAGGAATCTGTGAGGAATTGAGGAACATAAAAGATTGTTTGTTTGCAGCGGGGTTAGAGCCGGGCCGGGGGAGGTTGAGACTCTCTTTCGACCCCGTGGAGTGGCAACGATGGACAGGTCTCGTCGGCTGGGAGGCTACAAACTATTGCTGGCGATCGGGATGGCCTGCGCTGAGGATAGTCGCGCCGGCAACAAGGGCAAGTTGATAATTTTGTCAGGTAATTCGTTTTGAGGAACGTCGAAAGCGCAAGAAAGCACATTTGGAAAAGGGCCCCGAAAACAAGGGCGCTTGGCGTTGGCCTGGCAAAAGTTGGTAGAAAGGGTGGTCAGTAAAATGAGGTGGGAAAACCGAGTATAAGATAACGGATTTTCTGACGCCCCTAAACTTGTGGTTTTTGTATTGTGAAAACCCGGCGTTTCCGGAATTCCGCAAAATCGGGGGACCGAATTTTTTCCTTTTCTTTTTTTTCTATCTAGATCTTATTGCTAATCTATTGTACATTTTTTAATAGTTAGTTTATAGTGGTAGTACTTTTTATGAAATGCTAGGCTGTCGCAAGTGAAAAACTATTTAGAAAAGCTAAAAAATGTTTCGAAACTTTGACATTTTGCTCGAAAGTTTGTTGTTTTCCCCGATTTTACGAAAAGTTTCGGCTATAATCCGCCTGTAAACAGTTTATAGTTTTGTATAAACTCTTAACCCGATTTAGAAAACTTAGAAAAATGTTTGAAAATTTGAAATTTTGGTCAAAAGTTGTCTTCCACCGACTTTTACAAAATAAACGAAAACTTCCGGAAATTTCGCTTATAAGACGCACAGAAGCATCTTTTGCAGCTAATTTGCCTATTTCAGGATGAACGACTTCGGCGAGATCGAGCCGTCAACCTCATCCGCTGTTTGTTTCGCCAATTACGTGCTAGCCCTGAAGCCCTTCAAAATGCCCGCCTCGTCCACGGCCAACTGGACGGCCCGAAGACTCTGGGCCCGAAACGGACGCCCCAATTTCGAATATCTAGCACGAGAATATGGAGATGAGCAGTGCCCGGTCGTATCGAGCGCTGGCTGCCAGGATATGCGACTAGCCGATTACATCGAACACTGCAAAAAGGAGCACAATACCGAGGAGTCGAAAGATGTGTACCTCAAAGATTGGCACTTTCAAAGGGCACACGGCGACGCAATGTACTTGCCACCACTTGCCCTGCGTGCCGACTGGATCAACCGTGAACCATGGACCGGGGATGAGGGCAATCCCTTTGGCGGTGACTATCGCTTCGTCTACATCGGCAAGAAGGACACCTGGACGCGGTTCCATTCCGACGTCTTAGCCACGCACAGCTGGTCGGCCAACATTTGCGGGCGGAAATTGTGGTATTTCGTGCCACCGGGGCGTGAGGCGCTTTTTATGAAGCATGGAGTGCTCGTCGAGGATCTTCGGGAATTCAAGCATCTTTGGGAGGAAGCTGGAGTATTTCAAGTGGGTTTTAAACGGGAATTAGCAAATGTCGCACGGTACGTTTTGCTTAGGTCAGTTTCGTATAACAACCGGTACTTTTCCATTATCGGGGGATATGATCTTTTTCTATTAGCCCAGAAAACCCTACCAACGTAATACGAAGTATTTTCGTAGTGTTTTTAGTAAATTTAACCATATTGCTATCATAAAAACTATCTAAAAGACTTAGGCATTCTTTTTGACGTTTGAAAGTGGTTCCGTGGGCGAAATACGGGTTGAAAGTCTAAAAAAGTAGTAACCATTAAATTAAACTATGTAAAAATCAACGACAAATGAAGTTTAAGGCATACCTTATAGTCGAAATAAGCTGATTTTGGGCCTAAATCCGTATATTTTGTCTATTTGAAAGGCGTGCAAACCGTGCGATACTTGCTAATAGCCGTTTTACGCAACCCTCAAAACCCTACCTGTTAGGTGCTTCAAGAAAGCGGCGAGCTGTTCTTCGTGCCCTCCAATTGGCACCACCAGGTGCACAACCTGGAGACGACCATCTCCATCAACCACAATTTCGTCAACGCCTCCAACGCGCATCTCGTTTGGGACTTGTTGAAGAGCAGACTCGTCGATATCAAGAAAACCCTCGAAGGGGTCGTTGGCTTCACAAAAGAAGAGCTGATAGAGCAATACCAAGTAAATTGAAAGGCCCGACTTCTAAAAGTTTTTAGAAACTCTTGCTCGCCGATACTCGCCTCGATCTCGCGCGATTTTTGGATTTCCTGGAATTGATGATAAGGTCGAGGAGCGGCAGCGATCTCTGCTACGTGTGCTCAACCCATCTCCCCGACTTTCGCCTGTGCTTTCGAGATCCAAACTGCCTTTTTCGGATCTCGTCAATTTGCGCGTGTGATCTCGTTAGCCCGGGTTGCCCGAAATGTGATTCATTTATGAGAGCGTTAGATTTGACTGTTGTAAGCATTTTGCGTTTAGAATTGCTAGATTATAGCGAAGAAAATAGGTGAATAAATATAATTGCGGAAATGCTAACCTTGCGTGTTTTTCTGGGATGCTGGGATGGAATTCGTCGGGTTCCAGTAGGTCATTTTGCGCTGAGGGACGCCGGCGGCCGCGCGCATCTTCTAAGAGTAGCACGTCAAAGTATTCGTAATCAGAAAAACCATTAAAAAGAGAAACGGGGTTTTTAATATTTGCGGGGTAGGGGCCGAATTTTTTGTTCGATGCTCTAATTTCCTATACAATTTCAGATATATCTACGTCATAACAAGAAATTTGATTTGATTATTAGTAAAAGTCCGCTGTGGTTCAAGTGGCAAACCATTTAGAATATCAAGTAGAGTTGAAATTCTAGTCCAAAACCCATCTTTTTGAATTTTTTCCATAAATTAATAGAAAAATTAAATAAAATCTGTATTTTTTAGGTCTAGGAAACGTAAAATAAGTTTATAACACTTCCTCTATTTAGATTAGAAACCTGGGAGTCTAAGGATAAAATCAAGAAGGACTAAAGGACTGAAAACGGGTTTATTTAGGGTTTAGAAAAGTATGCGAAGCAGAAATGAGACATTTTAGGGGGATTTTTGGATGATAAAACGGAAGGAGAAACTAAAGAGTAGCCCGGGAGAGCACTGAAAACAACCTTCAAAGCAATAGGTAACTTTTTGATCCCGAAATCAGTGAGATGGGGGGCGTTCCCTTCTCCAAATCGGCTTATCGACCTTTGCGCGGGGGGCCGGGCAGCCGATTCATTGCCCATTTCTCCTCAGCGACCAAAAATTAGGGGTTAGGGCCGGGGTGGTGTATAAAAATGTGCGGCCTCGTGGTGAAATTTTTGGGGAACAGCTCGGGATCATGGCCCGGAGGAAAGAAAGCGACCGAAAAGCCTGAGATCAGGCATGGGTTGTAATACAGCGGTGCGAAGAGGTATGAGTTTCGTGGGTTTTGCAACCCAGCAGCAATTCGGGTTTGAGTGATTGAAGTTGTTTCCATTCGTATAATTTACAAATTAAAAAAAGCTAGCTGATTGCTTTCATTTTGGGGAAATTTGAAGTAAAAATTTAACCTCACATTAGTGCGTCCAATGCTAGTACATTACTAGAATGTCGCGAACGTGTTTTGGATCTTCACGTAGCGTTCATAATACGAATACCCTCGCAAGAATTTTCGTAGTTTGTGTATTTGTCGAAACCGCTATCGATTACACTTTTGGCTACGTAAGACACCGATCGACAAAACTATGTTCATAGGCACGTTACGTAGTCGGAAGGCATGGAATCCAAATTTCAGGAAGCGAAATACGCTTTTGGGCCTAATTTTTTTCCTTATTCTCTGCTGTTGCAGATCATCAGCTAGGCGGAAACACACGAAAAAAAGACAGACAGACAGACAGACAGAAACCCAGACACTGCGTGTATTTTTTTGCCGAAAGCGCTAAATACTAATTGTGACTTACTAAACACTAAATAAACGGTGTTCATAGGCGTGCTGCGTAAGCGTGGGGTCATAACGGCTTTTTTGGGCGTTTGAGCTTTCCGGTCTGATGTTGAATATACCATCAGACAGACAGTACACAGACGTATAGATTGAGAGTCATACACAGAGGCAGACAGGCATAAAGACGTACAGACAGATATATACACATACACACATATAGAGAGACGTACGAGCAGACGTGCAGGCAACAGACAATCCAGATAGACATGTAGATAGACCGGAAGAAATATAGAGAGACAGACATACAGACAGACATATACACATAGATACAGATAGGCAGACGTACAGACAGACAGAGAGCCTGGAACAGTGGATGATGGCCCTGGGAGGGTGTGGAACGGCGAGGGCCACTCGACGGTCGTCGAGGGATGTCCCCCTCTGGCCGAAAAACGACTCCAAATCGTCGTGAAGCCGGGGGGAAGGGGGTGTCCGGTTGTGCCCATGGGTCCCATGGCCCCCTCGGCTCTACACATATCACATTTGCTAACCGCCCCGAGTGCTTTTTCATGTATGTGTATTTCTTGGACGACAACTTTTGCTCTTTTCCATACGCCCTTTCCTCTTGACTCTCATGCGATGGATGAGTGTTTTTTTGATGGATCACGCGAGAGTTGAGGGCCCGCGCGCTCGAATTTTTGGGGGTGATGTCGAAATTGAGGGATTTTTGTGGGCGGGAAAAGTTAAAAATTGCGGTTTTCCTACCAGGTTGTCGAAAAGCGTTTTGTCGAAATTTCGTGATTGATAATCGAGGCGAAATAGGCATTGAAATTTCGACAAAATGAAAATACGCCCTTTTATACCTATGAATCCGTAATTCCAACTAACTTTTCAGTTGCATGTTTTTTGATTCGAACAACGCATAAGGGCTTCTTTGGCAATAACGGGGGGGGGAACCCATTTTTCTTCAGATAGTATTTTTCTAATATAAATGCAGAATATTTCCTAAATAACTTTTCTATTTTTTATTTAGTCTAGAAGTAAAAACTCGACAAATTCTTTTAAAAAATACAAAAATATCGATTTTCGACCAAAAAAAATTCAAGTTTTCCCCAAATTTTTCATTGATTTTCACTGGGAATAGGGTTAAATTGTATTCAAAACAGTATTAAAATACTAGGTACGTCGTTATTAGGAATTTCTGGACCTATAGGAAAAAAGTCTGTATTCCCTAACCCCCCCCCCCCGATAATGTGATAATGCGTCGAAATCCACGATGTTTTAACGATACTGCTCAATTTTCTCGTTAGACTTAGGCTTAGCGATCCACTCCGTTGTAAGCCGATCAAAACGTTCCATCTGGTGTTTTGATCGGGATTTCCGGAGGCCCCATCTGCTATTTCCCATCCCTCATCCCTGGTTGTTTCATTTTACATTCTCACTCCCCAGCTTCCACCCTCCGACAGCTTACAAATGACATAGAGGGCACAGGTGCAGCGGCGCGCTCGATTTCCTTGATCGGCACCCGGAGGGCCCCTTGATATCTACGGCGAGGGGCCTGGTGCTGCTGCTGGCTGCTCCTGTCGAGCCCTCCCCTCCTCTCGCTGTAAAGAAGCCTCCGAGGATCCAGGGGCTGTGGCCTGTGTGCTGAAGAGAGAGAGAGAGAGAGAGAGAAAGAGAGAGAGAGAGCGACAGACAGAGAAAAGGAAGGCTAACAACGAAACTCGGCCCCGGTCCGGAGGTCCACCATTCCCGCCACGCACCATGGACGATGCGGATTTGCTTGCTTTATTGCCAGGTGAGCATGAGCTTTTTCACTTTTGGTTTTTTTAAAATTGAAAATTAGGCTCGGTTTTTTACGGAAAAATTTAGATCGTGAGTTGCTTTTATTGCGTTTTTAATGAAAATTTAAATGGGGGTTTTTGGAAAATTGGATCATGTAAGTTATTGGCTAAGCAGCTTAAGCCTAAACTTAAGCCTAAGCATAAGCTTGACTAAGCCAAGCTTAATCTTAAGCCTGAGCCTGAGCCTAATGCTAAGGCTAAGCTCAAACCTAACTCAAAGATTAAGCTCAAGCCCAACCTAAGCCTGAGCCTACGTCTAAGATCGCCGAAGCTTAAGAGGAAGCTGAAGAACTCTAGTTACGCCGATTGATTGAAGCCGCCCCGGAGCCAAAGCCAATTCTTACTGGCGTCTTACACTTTTTAAAGGCCTAAAATTCAGTTTTTCTAGCGTTAAAAAAATCTCAGACCTTTCTACTCTCTTCCTTCTACTCATATCTAGGTTCCGACGTTAGCTTACAGTTAGTTAGTTGGTCTCATTTTATCCTGTATTTTTCTTTAGTTCTCTCTCTCGTTCTCTCTCCCTCCCTCCCTCTCTCTCTCTCTCTCTCTCTCTCTCTCTCTCTCTCTCTGTCTCTCTCCCCTTGCCATCCCCCGACTTGGCAAATAGGTATCCGCCAGATTTTGAGTGGGGCCCGAAAGGCCAGCCCTCCCCCGCGCCGCGCCACACTTCTTGAAACGGCTTTCATTTCCGCTTCTTTCCTATGGACATTCTATATCGGCTGGGCTCGCGCATTTGGACAAAGCAGCCGGAAGAAGAGGCCGTGTATCCGAAGCAGCTTACTCGACTGCTAGAAAAAATTGAAGCTCCGGAAGCTGCTGAAGCTGAAGTTGATTTTATTCCCGAAGAGCCGCTACCCGCGCCGGAAATTAAAAAGAAGAAAAAGGTCATAGTGAAGAAGAAGCTTAACCAAGGGAAGAAAGAAGAACAGATTGGCGGGAAAATGGAGGACAGCGAAGAAGATTCTGGCTTCTCTGAGGCGGTGAACTCCAGCGCCGAGAGTAGCGTCCCAGAAAAGATTCAGCTGCCATTAGAAGCCATCCCAGAGCGGAAGCTCAGTGATAGTGGACTAGAGAACGAGAAGAAGGTCCGCTTTAACATATCGAAACGGCGGGTGTTAGCCGAGAATCTGGCGCGGTTGCGGCAGCTGGGCGACAGTTTCCCGGAAGAGGTTTCGAGCTTGCGGCCGTTGTTACCGGGTAATAAGATTGGCTATACTATCGATCGCCTTACTGCGCAAATCCGATTTTCGCAAATCGAATTAGATTATCATGTTTTCGAAGTCGTGAAAATCGGTATTTTGAACTTTATTCCTAGCGCCAATCGCCTTACAGCTAAAAATACCGATTTTGCAAGTTGAATTAGATTTTTGATGTTTTCAACATCGTGAAATTTGGTAATTTGCATCTGGTCATACAAAATACCAACTTTCACAGTGCTAAATCCAATTAAAGGCCTTGCGTCGTGTAAATCGATATTTTGAAGCGTTCACATATGCTGCAGTATGCGTAAAAAGCCGATTTAGCAGTTCGAGTATTGGATTACCACGTTTTCGACATTGAAAAATCGGTATTTTGAACTCGAAATCCCGATGTTCGCAAGATGAATTATATTATTTGAGTCTCGACAACCGGAAAATCGGTATTTTATCCTCTCATACCTCCCGCCCATTCATCATACCCTTAATTTTCAACTTCCGGTTCCCGGCCTATGGCTAGATGCGTAATCCCATACCTATAATACCCGCCGTACATTCCTCAGCTGTTTTCGATTTGTCTGTGTCGCATTTCGAAATATTGCCAGCTGTTCGGCGAATCCCCCCAGGGGCCAAAAGCCCCGGGCCGGACCCTGTTTTATGTCATCCCACGCGGTTCACACTTTCCGCCACCTTCCCGAATAACATTCCGGGACCGCTGGCGTTGCAATGAGGCAAAAAAATAGAGCAGCGGGTTTTAGGGGTATTCCAGAGCTAAAAATATACCTGAAATCATATTCTTAGCAATATGACCCGAGTTAAAGGTGTCGGAGGCTGGCAATATACTTAAAAATTCCACTATCAGTTTCCAACCTTAAAATTTCAGAAGTGCAAGATGCGCTGGCCGGAAACTTCGAAGGAATCGAGTGCACAGTGGGGCCCGGTCCCGACCTCTCCTCGAAACCCTTTTTCATGCCGTTTCCACATCTCGGCAAGCAGGTAGATACTTAAATAATAGTTGTAAATTAGAAAGTTAAGAGGTATAATTGTTTAACATGCTATAAAATTGATGGCTATCAAATTTTATTCAGATCACCTTCCTGCCGGACATTTCGCACGTCGACAACGCCGGTTTCGACCCGGCCGGGCTTCACAGGCTGCCGCTGAGCAAGGTGAGGGTTTTTAAAGATTTTCCAGATCATACGATGCTTTTTGAATTGCTTTTTTTGCAAATATATCGACTTTCCGCGTCCTTTTTTTGCTATGTATCTCATATGAATCTATGCAACGCTCGTGGATTTAACTTACGTAATCGATTACGCTAGTTTTAAGGCTGCTAAGCGATGTTGTGTCTTTCTCTCTCTCTCTCTCTCTCTCTCTCTCTCTCTCCCGGTCTCTCTTGGTCTCTCGTCAACCCCCTCTCTATATGTCTCTCGCTCTATCTCCCTCTCTCTCTCCACTACATCCGATACCCATGCGTGAACGTGTCTCTCTCAACCCCCCGCTCGATCTCTCTCCCGCTCATTCTCGCTCTCTCTCTCGCTCTCTCTCTCCCTCTCTTTCTCTCCACTACATCCGATACGATTCGTGAACGTGCGGCTTTAAACCTTTGAAGCCAAGCTATACTTTACCTCCTTACTAGTTGCACTTTGGAAACCTGACCCAACGGACAAGCGCCGTTTTGCAGTTTAGCCGCTACCCGATACCTGGACCTCATATCGATTGCCAGCTTTACCCTCGGCTACTCGTTCTGCTCTTTTGAAAGCTAAAGACTGCCCCAACCGATACAGTCAGTTCAGCCAGCCCCCCCAAACCAATCTATTTGGCGACACTCGACTAGCACGCGCTGGCTGCCCCTTCCTGCCCTAGCTTTTGCCACTTTTGTTTCAGGGAGGTGTCTGGAGGCGCGGTTTTTACGTAATTAAATTTAAGTTAAAAATGTGTGGATAATTAGGTTGTAAAACATCTTAAACACTCTTAAACAGATTTTCGGTGCGTTGCCATTGGCAACTTGCCGATCCCTTGAAAAGGCTGACAGTGCCTTGCGGGTTTTTCCTATATTTTCCTTTTTTTGCCCTCTTTTGCTATCTTTTTCTCGATCAGAAATTATTAATACCGTAGTAGGAATTAGTCGAATTGCGTTTTTGAGAAAAAGCTAAAAAGGAACAATAACCTAGAAAAAATTTTGCAAGTTAAAATCTGGGTCAAAAACTGAACCTTTTTTGTCGAAAAATCAATATTTTCTTGGCTTAATTTCATTGCTGTGGCTCCTTATTTTCTGTAAAGCTTCGAATTTTTTTTAATCGGTTTCTTCCGAGTCCATTTAAAGTTTCGGGTGCTTTTCTGCTATCGGGGGGGTGGGGTTGGGGGTTAATCGCATTTTTCGTTTTTGACAAAAATGGTCGGTCGTCGAACAAAATTTCACAATTTTCTGAATTTTTAAATAGTTAAATTTGCTTGAAATTGTATTAAAAAATTAAAACGCTTTCTCTGTTTCTAAGCATTTGCGGATTTATACAAAAAAGGCCGCTCCCCCCATTACGGGAGAGTCTGGTCTCCACAGTACCATATTGTTACAGTCTACAGTATATTTCGTAACGTTCCAAAGTTTGTTCTGGCTTCTCAGTCCCTTTAAAACAACCATAATATCGGAATCCTCTTTTTCAGACCTCGGCGGTGTTCACCGACGGCCAGCCGGGCGCCGCGTTGGAGTTGGTGCTTGGGAGAGGGAGTGACTGGAAGCGGCCACTTATCGATTTGTTTACGGTATGACAAAAGTGGCGCCATTAATGTATCGCACCCCTTTTAGCGGCTCTACCCCTCAAAGTGGGCCTTTCTCGTGCTCGAGCTCGAAAACGGGCGAACGCTGTTTCATCTGCTCTCCGCGACTAGTGCGCCGATTTGTGGGACCGGGAAGAAAGGTATGTGAACTTAAGCTTAAGCCTAAGTCAAGCCAAGTCTAAGCCCAAACCTAAGCTTAAGCGAAGCCTAAGCCTAAGCTAAGCCTAAACCCAAGCCTAAACCTAAGTCCAAGCCTAAGCCTGGGCCAAAGCCTAAGCCTGATCTAAGCTTAAGCCGAGCCTAAGCCTAAGCCGATCCTGAGTGAAGCTCAAAGCTAAGCCAAGCTGATCCTAAGCTAAGCCTGAGCTTAAGCTAAGCCCGAGCCTAAGCTAAGCCTAACCCTGCCCTAAGCCTAAGTTAAGCTTGAGCCTAGGCCGGGCCTGAGCCTAAGCCTAGCTTAGATCTAATAAGACTACCTCTTAAGCCAAGCCTAAGCCAAGCCTAAGCTACCCAAGCCTAGCCGTACGTTACTTTCCAGAAGACACCCCGGATTCTGTGGACGCGCAGTCTTCTGCTTCTCCCAGCGAGTCGAGCGAGCCAAAGACCGGAAATTACACGCTTTGGATCGTACCTGTCACCAGGGTATTTGCGATACCGCCGCCGAAGGTCAGTAACAAATTGCTTTTTTTGTTTAATTACTAATTTTAAATTTTCTAGATTTTCATAGTTAGTTTTCTAATTTTTCAGAAGAAGGTGATTCGCCGAGTCGTCAAGAAGAAGTCGCCAGGAGCCACGGAGAACGGCACGAACGGCACGAACGGTACCGAGGTGGTGGCCAGCGAGAAGAAGAGGTTGGTTTTTAAACAAGACAGGCTAGCAGAGATTATTGAGGAAGCGAGGGCAGGCTAGCAGAGAACATTTGAAAGACATTTTCCAAGAAACCCAAGCGCCACCTCATGCTCCCCGTTCCGATTTCCTCATCAATTAGCCCGATCTCGATGGAGTCCAAAAAATTTAGCCGACGCGAGAGAGAGAAAGCGAGAGAGAGAGAGAGAGAGAGAGAGAGAGAGAGGGAGAGAGAGAAAACCCGCTGCTACACGACTGGTGTGGGCCATATATACTTTACGCTGCCCCCCTCGCGGGTGGCAGTTGTTTCGCCGCAACGGTCAGCGGGCCGCTCAAAAACTTGGCACTCGGCACTTGCTATTCCACAACACTACTCCGTACGCCTCTGGCCGTGGTCTGGGCCCGCTGGCTATTCCGGCGTGTTTTGCCGCTATTATGCGATTTATATTGGCAAAGTAAGCGGGAGGATAAGTGGTTAAGCTTAGGCTTAGGCTTAGCTTTAGGCTTAGGTTAGGCTTAGACCTGAGCTTGACTTAGGCTCAGGCTTAGGTTTAGCTTGGCGTAGGCTTGGGCTTAGGCTTAGGAATAGGCTTAGGAATAGGCTTAGGCTTCGCTTACGTTGGGCTTAGGCTAGGCAGTTTAGGTATGTGAACTATTAATGCTTAAATACAGGATTTCGCAAATTACCATAAATCAGGAAAACGCGAATTTCACTTCACAAACCCTTTAAAAACTCCTGATTTTCCAGGGTCATCAAAAAAATCGTGAAAAAAGCGGACGGAACCGAGTCGGTGACGACGGAGACCAGGGTTGAAGGTTCGACCCCGGCGGTGGTCCCCAAGGCTACGGTAGTTAGGTAAGTACGGTACTCTACCGTAATTTTACACATTCCTACTTTAGTAACGGAACCAACGGAATAGCTACCGAAACGAAATCGCCCATCCTCGAAAACGGCAAGCCTCAACGCCAAAAATCTCCCTCACCCCTGGAAGCGGAGCGAAAAAAGGTGAGAAATCCTGAATTCCGCAATAATCTCTGCTAGCCTGCCCCGCTGTCAACTACCGAGCCGCTGAACGGCTTGCCGAACGGCTCGACGAAGCCATTGACCAACGGCTCGACAAACGGCTCGGTGAACGGGGCGACAAACGACTTGACCGAGCCGATGACGTTCGGCTACGGCGATATTGGCAACGAGGGGCCGAAGATGAACGGCGACGCGAACACGTAAGGATTTTTCGGGGTTTAAAAGAGATGCGAAGAATTATTAAAAAAACCTATCTTTTTAGAACGACGATCACCCAAGAACGAAAAAATGCGCTGCTCTCGAAGTACCTGAACGGGAACCGGAGCACCGACGAGAAACCACAAGAAGAAGCGCCGGAGAGCCCGGTGTCCAAGACGAACGGCTATCATTGCGATGAGAGGACGGTGAATGGAAGTAGCGGATATGGGAGCGAGACGAACGGCTTGGAGGCGGGCAGCAGGTTCGTTAGGAGATTGTTGTCAATTTCTGTTTTATTTGTTTATTGTAGTTTTTGAAAGTAACTTGGTTCATTTAAAACAAAATGAAATTTGCTATAATTCAAGCGGAAAAAGAGTTAAACAAACTTCGAAAATTTTTAGGTTGAAATTTCTGTCAAAAAAATCGATATTTATCTATATTTTTCATTAAAATTTGTAAAGTTTTTACGTCTAAAAAAAGTAAAAAAATGCTGAAATCCGCTTTCTCTATTTGTATTCATAAAAAGCCGCTACCAGGTGGAGTGGGCCAGGTGTGTGTCGAGTGGGGAGCGGATGGCAGGCGCACAGAGACGTACGAAAAGCGGTTTAATAGTTTCAATGGACCCTATTAAAGGCTATTTTAAAAAGATTTCGAACTCGGAAACTTTTGTATACAACTAAAAGAAAAAAAAATCAAAGGGTTCTGGACTATTAGCTGGGGGGGGGGGGTTGGCAGGGGGAACACATTCTGTATTTTCACCTGTTGATGATGTAAGATGAATTTTTATAGAGTTCTGATGGCTAGAAAGCCGTAAAAAATTTTTTTTAATTTTTGTAAATCTGAAATTTTTTAAACGTTTGGTTATTTTTCATGCATTTTGATCCAAAACGTTAAAAGTTTTCGAATATTTTTATTTATTATATGTTTTTTTTAGCTAAAAACTGTGTAAAATGGTATAAAAATGGATTATGGTTTTTAAAGAGCCGTACAAAATCACAGCGAAAAATTTGGTCCCCCCCGCTAACAGACCAGAACCTTCAAAACCAAAACCACACGCCAAAAATTCCTCCTTTGCAGCAGCTCCTCCCTTCTGACCCCATCGTGGGCATCTACAGTACCCTCTGTCGCATCCCTCTCTCGGTCCCCATCAACCTCATCCACCATCCGCCCGGAAGACTTTGACCATGCCTCCACCAGGTCCAGGTTCCGCCCATTTCCGGAAAACCCTTCTGTCCACTTTGTCTAACAACACGTCTGACTAATTTTCCTGAAAGGCACTGTTTTACTAAAGAATTTAGGACTCGCTCCGAACGGCTACGGCAACGTCTCGCTAGCCTGGACCGTCAGAATGGAGTGGAAAGGAGTGGCAGCTCGGCGACGGTGGATAGGTTAGTATTGACTTAGACTTGGGCTTGGGCTTAGGTTCTCTGAAACCAAATATATACTCAAATTTAGGCAAGAAGAGCCCGGCTCCTCGCTGAACGGCGCCGACTCGTTGACGGATCTACGAAAACGGCTGACCGGACTGACGCGCGACACGAGCTTCACCAGCAGCAGTACGACCATTAATGACAAGGTGGGTTGCGCCTGGCTTAGGCTTGGTTTAAGCTTGGCTTCGGCTTGGCTTAGGCTTGGCTTAAGTTTGGTTTAGTTTGGTTTTGGACTTGGCTTAGACTCAGGTTTAGGCTTAGGCTTAAAAATGCGCTTACCTCAGAAGACCATTTATTTTTTCAGTTCCAATCAGCCTTGCTGGCCTCCCGGAAGTCGAGTCTTGTCGAGTCGGGCCAGTTGCAGCCATCTGGATCGAGGAGTCGCATCGGGGAACCCAGCCGAAAGAGCCGATCACCACCGCTCGGACCCATTGTCGAGGGTAAGCGGGTTTTTCCAGGATTTTTTTTGGTTTTCATATAATTTACTGCCGTGGTACATACTTTCCTATTACAATGCTATCATTTTCCCGTTTCTTATGCGCTTTTAATGAACATAAAAGTAAAACTTACACTCCTCAAATCAAGCCGTGTCTCATAAAAAGAACTAAAATTGAAAAATAAAGCCGTGTAAGGCGCTTAAAAATCCAAATTATTGCGAGAAATTTAACGCGGGGTGTCAGCTGGTTTTTTTGCGATTTTATGTTCGATCAAGGACTTTTTGGCAAAATACCCGTTTTCGCCGCTACCGTATGCTTCGACAAATCCAAAAAAGGACAAATACCCTCAAAATCTACCGTATTCGGCGCTAATCCACTTAACAATTTTCCCTTTCCCTTAATAAGCCTGGACTTTCGGTTTCAGTCGTGACACCAGAGGGGAGACGCCGTTCCGAATGTGACATTTGCACGGATCCGCTGATAAATTGTGGATGCGGGGGTACGGTAATTCGGCGGTCTTCTTGCATGAATGTTTTACGCTATTTGAATCAATTTGGGTGCCATTTAAACTCTGCAAAAAATTTAAATATGTGATTTTTTAGGAAAAGCTGCGCGTCGAAAGGCCGAGGTGGAGCGCTCGATGACGCCAGCACAAATGGGTGCACCGGTTAGTTTTTACGGTTTAAAGGGACTTGGAAGCGAACATCCATAGGAAAAATAGTTTTTAGGCACCGGAAAAGCAGAATCTATAAATAAAAGTTTATTTTAAGGAGCCGGCAAGTCAAAATTTGTAGAGAAACTTTTATAAAGGGACCGGGAAGCGAAAATCTATAAGAAAAATTGTTTTAAATACACCGGCAAGTTAAAATCGATAGAAAACAATTTTAAAAGGGCTGGGAGGCCAAAATCCACAGGGAAAACGTTTTTTAACGGAACGGGCAAGTCAGAATCAATAGGAAAACTTATTAAAGGGACTCGGAAGTCAAAATCCATAGGAAAAATCGGTTTAAAGGAGCCGGGAAACGAACATCCATAAGGAAAACGTTTTGAAAGAATCAAGAAGCCAAAATCTATAATAAAATTTGTTTTTAAGGTAACATAGAACTAAAAATTCATAAGCAAGACTAGTTTTAAAGGAATCGACAGGTCAAAATCGATAGGAAACCAATTTAAAGGGACTCCGAAGCTCACGATTCACAAGTGAAAAGGACGAGAAATCAAAATCAGCTTTTTTCAGGAAATGCCGAGCCAATCTGGCGACCTCCCCTTCGTCGTGCTCAACAAGGCACTGCGGTTGATGAGCTATCAGGAGGTGAACATACCCGAAAACCTAAAAATTCTAAATTTTTTAGCTGGCCCGACTTCGACAAGTGCACCCCCATTGGGATGAGATCTGTGGGCAGATGCTGAACAGCGGCTACTATCAACTCATCGACAAGTCGGACAAGCTATTAATGCGTCTGCAGCGGCTTGTTCAAAAGGACCCTGGGCTCTACTATCCGACCAGCGTGCTGACCAATATTCAGGTAGATGAACACACTAATAGACATTTTCCAAAATTTCTCTGCTAGCCTGCCTATTTGTGCATTAATAGACACTGAACACAAAAATCCCTGCTAGCTTGCCTAACTTGCCAATTTCCAGGTGCACGTCCTCAACCAGGTCGATGTCATGCGGGCCGCGTTGGATGAGGGTACGGTAGCTAGAATGTTCCTAAAAACCACAAAATAGGGACTACGGTCGAAATCTAAAATTTGAACTTTCAGGCGTCGGCTGCTTCCCCTACGGAATTCTCCTCGACAAGACATTCGGCTTCTTGAAGCAGATCGAGGACATGATCAACAGCGGCAAGCAGGTCAGTCGAAACTACCGTAGAAAACGAAACATACAAATAGAAATACGGTATGAATAACACCAATTTTAGACTGATGTATCGTGGGAGTCTGTAGCTGTTTTGGCCAAGCGAGCCTCGATGCACTATAAGGACAACTTGGAGGGGTAAGTGGGCTAATTGGGCTTAGGTTTAGGTTTGGGCTTAGGCGTAGGCTTAGGCTTAGACTTAGACTTATGCTTAGGCCTATGCTTAGGCTTCGGCTTCCTAAAATACACCGGAATTACAGAATCATGGAAGAACGACTTGGGGAGAGTGCTCGGCTGAAGGCAGCGCACAAGCTCATCCGGCTCGACTCTTTCTTGGTGGAGACGTCAGTGCAAAAGATGGAAAAGGATAATGCGAAGGTGATCTCTATCTCTCTCGCTCTCACTCCCTTCTCTCTCTCTCCATCTTTCTCGCTTTCTCGCTCTCTCTGTCTCTCTGTCGCTCTTTATTTTTCTCTCTCTCCAGCCACAAAAATTTTAGACTCGAGACGACATCATGTGGGAGATGGAACAACTACAGCAATCGAATGAAAAAGTGAGAACTGCTAGATTCCCTACCATAAACCACAAAATTTCCAGCTCCGAAAAGACAACCGCGAACTGAAGCAGAACCAGATGAAGCTGGAGGCCCGCATCGACATCCTCGAGCAAAAATTCAAAACGATGGCGCGCCTATTTTCATGAATGCCGTTATAAAATTCATTTAAAATTATGATAAATCCAAATTTTTTTTATCTATTTTCTAATGTCCCTTCCCTGTCCAGAGCTTTGTACCTACACTCGCTACTCATCTCTTTCCCCAAAATTTCGATATTTATTTTTGAAAGATTTTAGAGGTCGTGTAGTTTGTTGGTGCACCAATGGGCTTGGGCTTAGGCTTGGCTTAGACTTAGCTTAGACTTAGCTTAGACTTAGCTTAGACTTAGCTTAGACTTAGCTTAGGCTTAGCTTAGGCTTAGCTTAGGCTTGGCTTACGATCGGATTAGGCTTGGCAGGGCTTAGGTTTAGGCTTAGCTTCGGCTTAGTTTAGGCTTAGGCTTAGGTTTAAGCTTATGTTGGCTTAGGCCCGGGCTTATTAGTGCGCTGTCCACCTTTTCTGCTCAGAAAAATCCGCGTTTTTCTTTCCGTCTATTTCCTGTGAATTTTTGCTCGTTCTGGCCTGAGGATAAAGTTTATTTACGCCTTACAGAAATCCACCATTAACCGAAAATCTTCGAAAAGTCATGCATGCGATCCGCGAACTTCTCGACGGTGTTCATCGCCTGAAAATGGCGAAAATAATCTCTGCTAGCCTGCCCTCGCTTCCACAATGATCTCTGCTAGCTTGCTCGCTCAAGAAATTGAAAGCCTTACCGCTCTCTTCGAATTGCAGAGATCTCCGTCGTTGCAGCAGCAAAACCGGGTCTTTTTTCCCAGGAACGACTGATCGATGCATTTGTTTTTGGCGACCTGGAAGGATTTAGGATTCTCGCTCGCCCTCTCTCTCTCTCTCTCTCTCTCTCTCTCTCCCTCTCTCTTTCGCGCGCTCCCTCTCTCTCTCACCTTGCATAGCAGATTCGAGCACCCAGATCTCGAGACCAGATTCAAGTTTGTCATATCAGCTGTCGCATTGTAGCAAAAATCCTTGGGCGAACTGCATGTTTCCTTGTTAGTTCCGACACTTTGACCCTAAAAAGATAGGCAATATCGACAAATTGATGGAATCGGAATGGGAGTGCTAGCAGAGGTTATTGAGGAATCTTGGAACCTATGCTTCTATGATTTTCTTTGGGAAAATCGCTAGCATAACGATTGCTAAAGGATCGGTGTAAAGCCGCCTCTTTCGGCTTAGGCTCAGGCTTGGCTTCGGCTTAAATTTCGGCTTTGGTCTGGATTGTCCGTAAGTTTAAATGACTTCAGCTAACTGCCCTTCCTCAATTTTTCCCCAAAAATCTCTCTATCCTACCCCTTCCCCTCAAAAAACTCACCCGAATATACGTGAATCCGGTATAACATTCCAGACCCAGCGCAACAGCTAGCAAACTGAATAAAGCGATCAATAGCCGGGCGTTCATTTCCCGGGGAAAAGAAAATTGCGTTTTGGCAGTTTCTCTCAAAGTGATGGATCTCAATTTTTCGCCCTTCCCACCTGGTTGGCGAATCCAAGAGGATGGGCAACTATTTTGGTGAGAATCGGTTTCCTTGTTTGGATCTGCAAGAGATTGCAGGATTTCCGTGTGCTCTTTGCTAGCCTGCCCTTCCTCAAAGAATCTCTGCTAGCCTGCCCTTCCTCAAAGAATCTCTGCTAGCCTGCCCTTCCTCAAAGAATCTCTGCTAGCCTGCCCTTCCTCAAAGAATCTCTGCTAGCCTGCCCTTCCTCAAAGAATCTCTGCTAGCCTGCCCTGCCTCAAAGAATCTCTGCTAGCCTGCCATCCACAAAGAGTCTCTGCTAGCTTGCCCCTTCCTCAAAGAGTCTCTACTAGCCTGCCCTTCCTCAAAGAATCTCTGCTAGCCTGCCCTTCCTCAAAGAATCTCTGCTAGCCTGCCATCCACAAAGAGTCTCTGCTAGCTTGCCCTTCCTCAAGGAATCTCTGCTAGCCTGCCTTTCTCAAAGAATCTCTGCTAGCCTGCCCTTTCCTAAATAATCTCGGCTGGCCTGCCCTTCCACAAAGCATCTCTGCTAGCTTGCCCCTTCCTCAAAGAATCTCTGCTAGCCTGCCACTGGCCTAATTCCAAACCCTGGCGGTTTAGCAGAGAGATTATTTAGGAACGATGTGTTATTACAAACTAATAAAAATAAATAAAATGTTCTATAATTCATTTTGAAGCCAATTTAAGCTATTTACTGTGTGTAAAATTTCGCAAACCTTAATTTCATAATATTTATCCACATGATCAAATCACTTGCACACAACCACAAAAAATAACGGGGATCGGAAAGGCGAAAAATCGTGAAAAAGGCAAATAAATAATAATAAAACGCAGAAAAAAACATAAAAAAATCATAAATACTTTTTCAGATCGCGGGACGCATTTTTTAAGGCATGTGTTCTGCATAATTTGCATAAAAGGCCAAGAATCAATCGCAAAAAAAAACATTTCTGGGAACAACTGATAACCGGCATCGACAACAAGGCGTGTGGAGCATCTGGGAATTGCGCAAAAAAGTGGGCAAAAATATCGAAAACTCATCAAAGCTACAGTAGTCATGGTTGGTGAGCAAAAATGGGCAAAAATTGCATAAAATGTTGTGCAGAAAAAGATAAATCAGTCACTAAAACGCAAATTTGGTGTTGAGCTTAGAGCTGGCGTGGCGGGTTGTATCTAAAAATTTGCATATGAAGATTTAAGGCAGCTTTGACTCATTGATTTTTTCTAGAGTTTTATAATAATATTTTTACAAACCATAGCTATATTTAAAGTAAAAAACAATCGAAAAATTAGAATTTTATTTGGTCGAAATATCGCTTGAAAATGGATAAATTTGTATATTTTATAAAATTTGTAAGGTTTTAACGTTTGAAAGTAGTGATGAGACAATTTAAAAACACTACCAATTATATTAAAGAATTTGGACCTTAAGAAAAGGATTTATTTTCCCCACCGATAGTGGGAAAGATCCAGCTCAAATGAACTCTGTTAGCCTGTTATGGCATCCTCAATGATCTCTGCTAGCCTGTCCTCGCTTCCTCAATGATCTCTGTTAGCCTGTCAGGTAGAATTTGACTTCAAAGTCCCTTTAAAACAAATAACCACCTACCGTACTCCCTTCTTTCCTCTCAACGAAGGTATCCTCGTCGGCTTATCGGGTCCACTCTCGCTTGCTCTACTTGGCGGTCGGCTCCCCTTATCCAGCGATTGCTGGGACCCAAATGGAGAATTCCCAGGCCATCCTTTGCCTAAATGTAAGAAGCGTCTTTCGATATCGTATATAGCAGCCTACCGATTCGGGAATCTCCTAGCGAGACGTCGGACGGGGTTCGGAGGCGGGAATTCGAGGAATGGGCCGAGCCGCCCGGGCGATGTTGTCCGGGGAACATTGGCATGCTGCGCTCGGTTTTTTCTCTGAAAAAGGAGAATTTGAATTGAATTGATTCTGAAAATCTCTATCTCTCGCTCGTGCTCACTCTTTCGCTCTCTAGCGCACTTTGGCGCATTCTCTTTCTCACTTTTCTCATTTTCCCGCTCGCACACTCTCTCGCTCTCTCTCGCTCTATCTAACTCCCCTCTCTCTCTCTCTCTCTCTTTCTCTCGCCATCTATCCCTCACACACACTATCTCTCTCGCACCTGATCTTAATAATCGGTCCCGGCACCGCAAATTGCGGCTCAGAATCTGAAGACCCAAAGCGAGCATGACGGTTTTTGGTGAACATCTCCATGCTGTCGCGGATGATGCGCTCGTTGCTGCCACGCAGGTTGTTCAGCACATCGTTACGGCGTTCTAAAATATGATGTTTATCGGTCTTCCCTGTCCCTCCCTCTGTCTGTCTCTCTCTCTCTCTCTCCTCTCTCTCTCTCTGTCTCTGTCTCTGTCTCTCTCTCTCTCTCTCTCTCTCTCTCTCTCTCTCTCTCTTTCTCTCTCCCACTTACTCGTCGCCCGACACGGATCGTGGCTCTTCAAGAACTCCTCGAGACACACCCATCCTCCTCCGACTCGAACCATCACCGTCGAACGTAATATCCGTACCATCCGCTTGATTTGAGTATCGCCGAACTAAATATTTGAAATTAGTTGATTTTCTGGTTCTCTAAGGGGCGTGGCCTAAATTCGCTAACAGTATTCATGCGAAAAGGGACAGCCGTAGAAGCCGATCTCCGCACCACGATTAACACAATTTTCCCGGTAACCTGTCCAAAGGCGTTAGGCGTACGGTGGACGACCAGAGAGTACTGTATACGAATCTGGGATTAAGTTTTGCTTTAGAAGAGCTAGCGCCGGGCAACAACGCTATCGTAGCCGACGTAGCCGAAAGGTATATTATTGTAGCATACTGTAGCTTAACGTAGCGTACAGTAAAAAGCCCAGTACCGTAATAAAACTCCATAATATCACGTAGCGGTATCAAAAATAACGTAACGTGGCGCCACGTATTGTAACGTAGTCTAGCGTAGCCTGACGTATATCAGCGTGCTGACCCGATATCAACGCGCTGCCCATGCTATAGGTAACGCTACGCCACGCTACGCAGTCTATTTTAACGTAAAGGCACGTGCTGCCCATGCTATAGGTAACGCGCTGCCCATGCTATAGGTAACGCTACGCCACGCTACGCAGTCTATTTTAACGTAAAGGGTAGTTGGAGTAGCGTAACGTAGTGTCACGTATCGGCGTATTCTAGCGTATCCTGGCATACTCCCGATATCTCGCGTCTGCGTTGTATACCCTAACACTACGCCAAACTACGCAGGATATCGTAACATGGCGTAACGTATCGCTGCGTACCGTGACACGGTCAATCGCGCTAGTATAATTTGCCGTAAGGTAGTCTAGCGTACCCTAACGTATCCTAACGTATTTATCGAATCTTTATATCCTTACAATTAATTTATCTACTTTACTTTGCATACTCTAACACTACGCCGCGCTACGCAGTCTATCGTATCACGTAGCGCAACCTAGCGTAAGGTAGCGTAACATAGCGTAACGTATCCTCGCGTACTCACCCGATACTGTCCTTCAGCGATCCTCTCAATCTTGTAAGGCTGACAGCACGAACATCCGCGCACCTGGCGCTCAATCTCAACCGCGATCCGCTCACCGTCAGTACGAGGCTCGACGCGACGCTAAAATAAGGTTAAATTTGCTAAAAAATCAGCTAATACCGTCTTATCAAAGCGTAGGGCGTTGGTGAAATCCTTATGGTTGATGAAGCCGTTGTTGTCGAACAGGTCGGCCACTTTTTCCATTTCGAGTCGTGAGGTGGGGAAGCCTGGAAGGGAAACGGGTCGTGGGTTCGGACCGGAAGTGCACGAAAAACAAGCCAAGGCGAGAATAACTATTTTGTCGAATCCGTGAAACTTACGACTATTGATAATGGCATCAATGAACGCCTGTCTTGGCACATTTCCGGTGGCTGTCCGGTCGATCCGGCGGAACAGATCTGTCACCCTCCCTTTAGCGTGGTCGTTCCAGTCGCAGTATCTGAACGAGAAAGGAAAATTTGTATATATACTACGTCACAGTACGCTAGGATACGGTAAGCGTCTAGATTTTTGCCTCGTACCTCTCCTTCCAATCCTCCCATTCCCATCCCTCCAGCCGCTTCATCTCCTCTAGCATCTCCTTGGCCTCGTCGAGCGCGTTTTTGTGGCCCATCGCATCGAGCCACACTCGTTTCCACTCATCTGAGAGTTGAGAGGCACGAGGGTTCCTGGAAAACGGAAGTTACGCTACGTAGGCTACGGTAGGACGCATACTGTAGGCTCTAGCTTAGCTACGCTTTGATACGATACGATACGCCAGCCTAAGGTATCTAGTGAATTATGCTACGGAAGCTTATGCCATACGCTACGATAGGCCACGCCGCAGTGCGTTACACTACACGACACTACGGCATCAAAAACTACGATACGCTACGGCACCATACGATACCAGACGCTACCACGCTGTACGCTAAGCTCCGTTAGGACACTCTGCACTACGATACGGTAATACGGTAATACGCTACGCTAAGCTACGTTACTTTGTCCTGCATTCCGGTACGTTACGCTACGTTACGCTACTGTACGCTACGCTACGATCCAAATAAACCTACTTATCCTTCTGGCCGCCCTGGATCGTCTCCTCGACATCCGGCTGCTTCTCTCGCAGCTCAAAGTCGAGCAGTTCGTAGTCCTGCAGCATTCGGTCTACCTGAAATTCCATGAATTTTCGCGAAAACACCATTTTTTAGGCACAGCGGGAAGTACAACGACTTCAAGGCGTTCAGCAAGGCAACGCGTCGCGTGCCCTGGCAGTACACCGTATAAAATGAAAACGGCAACAGAAGGAATTTTTGGCGGACAAATAAAGGGCAACTTTTAGGGGGAGGAAACTTACTAGCTGCAGCGCGTCCTCCTGAATTGGTTTAATTGGTTTAAGTCGTGAATTAAGGGAAAATTCAAGAACTTTAAGCTTATTAAAAATCGCTAATTTAAGCCATAATCTAGTAAATTTTAAATTATGCTCCACTTACCGTATCCAAGTCTTCAGGCGTCGGCGCCGCGATCATGTCGCCCAGCTCACCGCGCTTCTTGGTGACGAAGGTGATCAGCTCCTGAAGGGATACGGTATAATAGCTTAAGCTTGGGCTTCGCTTAGGCTTACCTTGATGGCCTTCTCGCGCTCCTCGCTCTTCTGGCGCTGCTCCTTGAGGTCGGCCACCTTTTCCAGGGCTTGATCTTCGACTTCCTGAAAGCGGAAAATTATCTTTTAGAGGTGCCTAACATAAAGTAATTAAATGATTTCTAAATGCAATAAAATCTCTCGACTCCAAGCAGTGCAACCAAAAGTTTATCTACCTTCCACCTAGCCGCCAGCAGTCGATTCCAATGCCGCATCGGCTGCTCGGCATTCGGATGCGCTTTCTGGAGAATGTCTTGACCTCGAGCGAGCACGACCTCTTTCCTGGCCTCCTCTGCCTAAATATGGATGACCTTCTTGAAGACGCTGCCCACCTTCAACTCGTCGAGCACGGCCTGCGCGGCGGGGATGGCCTTGTCGAGGTTGGGCTCCTTTCCGGCGGCCTTCAACCTGTCGTCCAGCCCGTCCATCCAAGCCAACAGCCCATGGGCCTTCGCGTCAAAGTCTTCGGCTTGTTCCATCGCCTTCCGCAGCGCTTCCGCGCGCGCGTCCGCGGCGGCTTCGATCTGGAATTTTGGATTGATTTATTGCCCCTGAAATCGAGTTTCTAGACCAGTTTTTGGCGCTGATTCCGAATCTGCATACCGATTTTTGATACGGGTTATATTTTTTGAGTTAAACCGGGTTTTATGCAAAAACCTGGCAATTTTTGGCGGATTTCACTAAACTTCTAAAAAAATGAGCTACATCTCCAAAGTTTATTTTCGGCGAAAAATGAATGCAGATTTAGAAACAGCACAAAAAACTGGTTTAGAAAAGCTTCACTCAAGCTTCAGGCGGGCTTCAGAAGCTTCAGAAGCATGAATCTTGGGTTGTGAATTTTCGAGAAAAACGTGAGAAATCGATTATATTTCGAGAATAAAAAGCTTTTGTCAAGAATTAGCTGCAGATTCAAAATCAACGCAAAAAACTGGTCTAAAAAAGCCTTCTAGGAGTCTGAGGTGAGCTTGAGGAGCTTGAGAATCTTGAGCTCTGAAAACGGATTTTCCGGATATTTCCGAAGAGAGAACTTGAACCGGCTTCACAGGCTTCAAAAGCTTTTTCCTCTAACCAAGTCGACTTACCGCGCTCCACTTGTCCTGCAGGTTGTGCTTGGCTTCAAGTACAGCTTCTCCCTCAGCCACTCCCCTTTGCACGAGCTCGTCAGCCTTCTTGAGCAGCCTCTCGACTTGTCCCTTCTTCACCGCTCTCTCTTCGCCTCGCTTTGCATCTCTCTCCTGCAGTCCCCTGACCGTCTCCACGTCGCCGTGCACCTTCGCGCCCTAAAACAGAAGTCATCACGTTCTTCAAAAATCCCTACATCCATAGCCAGGTCCGTCTCGGCATCAAGGAGTTCAGCATCGCACCACGCCTCCAGGTCGGCGATGGCATCCTCGAAGGCCCCGCTCTCCAGTACGGCTTCTTCGGCCTTTCGGAGACGTTCCTTCGACATCTTGTCGAGCCGCTCCCACTCCTTCTTCAGGCCGTCGGATCGTCCCTCAAGTTCGCGGCGTTCAGCCTTGGGGGCGTGGTCGCAGACTGATTGACCTCTTCTGCGTACCGCCTCGTATTCCGGGCGTTTGGCGGTGAGTTCGGCTTGGGCTTCCTGAAAGATCGGGATGAGAGAGGGAAGCGAGAGAGAGTGAGTGAGTGAGAGAGAGCGAGTAAAAGAGAGAGAGAGAGAGAGAGAGAGAGAACGAGATAGATAAAGATCTCCTTCCTGCCTATACCTTTGCCTCGTCCCTCCATTCCAGCAGCTTCTGATGGTTAGCACTTCCGGGTGCCTCCTCGTCGAGTCTGATCCCCATCTCGGCCATCCAGAACTCGAGATCCTTCGCGCTCTCCAGCCATGAGTCCGTCTCCCCTTGCGCGTGCTCGAGTTGCTGAAAAAAATCGTAACCGACCCATAACTCCCGTCAATAGTATCGGGTCGGAATGATTTTTACAGCGTTCAAAAGCCCTTGAAAAACGAACAAAGCCCTGCCCCTAGTTCTCCTACCTTTCCACGTTCAGCAACCTTCTGCGCAACCTTTTCAAACCGGTGCCGCAACGAGACGAGCCCGTTCTTGATCGGAATCGCGTCCTTCTTCTCGCAGTAGTACTGCATCCGCGTGCCCGTCGCTTGCATCTCGGTCATCTCGGTTTTTCTGGAATTTTTTGAGTTCATGCTCCCCGCGTATTAAACTGACTTGTCAGCCACTTGCGCCGCCATCTGTTGCTGCTCAGCTTTTTGCTTCTCGAGGACCTCAGGTAGACGACCAACGGGGGCGAGTTCTAAAAACAGGTTTTTGGGCTTTACTCCTGTGTTTCAAGCGTAAAACGTGGCAATTTTTATTAAAAAACTACCAAAAAAGTCTTTTTTATTGCCGAACTTTAAATGATTAATTTTTTGACGTATCCTCAATTTTTCTAAAATTCTTTTAAGAAATTACCAGCCAGCATCTGCTCAATCCCAGACACCCAGTGGGCCGTATCGTTCATCTGGTGATCAAGGGCGATGGCCTCCTCCAAGGCGAGCCCCAGCTTCTTCTCCCGATCCGATAGAAGATCCCGGCATCGATTCCATTTATGGCGGAGCGTATGGGCACTCTTCCCAATCCACGATCCCTCATCTTCGGGGTGTTCGGCTAAGTACTCCTCGGTGATGGCCACGTGGGCTTCGAGGGGGGAGGTGTTGCGGTCGACCTAAATGGCTTAGGGTTAGGCTTAGCTTCGGCTTAGCTTAGGCTTAGCTTACGCTTAGATTAGGCTGAGCTTAGGCTTAGCTTAGGCTTAGCCCAACAATTTCAACAAGTACTCACCTCCCGTTTCAACCCCAAGAAGTCGTCCAGTTGTTGGCGAGCCGTTTCCGGAAGTCCTCCCGCGGGCCTTGTCGTCTCCAGCTGAGACTCGACATGCTCCACATAGGCCAACCACCGTTCCATCTCGCCCCCAATGTCTTCCGCAGCTCCCTTGGCCCGCTCAAGGCGTGCCGACAGCTCGCTCAGCTCATTTCCCAGCCCGGCCCACTTTTCGTTCATCTCCTCGACACGTTTGGTGGTTGTAGCGTCTCCGCCCTGGGCCCTCAGCTTGTTGGCGGTGGCATTGATCGAGTTGATGCTTGGTTCATGAGCATGAACGTCATTGTTGACGACGGCTAGCTTGCACTGCGCGATCTCGACGGCGCGGAGGTTGGTGGAGGGTTGGGCGGCGATGTCGTGGACGGTGGACCGGGTCTTTTCGATCCAAGCGGTCAGCTGGGCTACGGCTTCGCCAAGGCGTCCCATCTCGAGCATGGCCCTCTCGATCTTGTGCTCACGGTCGGCAATGTCGCCGTAGAGTTTGGACCATCGACCGTTGAGTTCTGGAATGGGGAGGTAGAGAGAGAGAGAGAGAGAGAGAGAGAGAGAGAGAGAGCGAGAATGAGTGAGAGAGAACTTACCGGCGATAGGCACTCTCACTGCGGCAGTTTGATGCGCAGGACGGCCAATTGTCAGGCCGTGTGCCTTCTGGTTGACTTCTTCTTTCAACACGGCGTGATCGTCAAGTTCGGCTCTGTAATTTCAGACTTAAATGAGCATCTACGACCTCATGCTCACCGGAAAAGTTGGAGCTCCTCGAGCTTGGGTTGGATCTCCTCGACGGCCACGTTTTCGGCTGGGCCCATAGAGTGGAGGCGCTAAAAAGGGAGTTAGAGAGAGAGAAAGGGCGAGAGTGTGAGAGAGAGAGAAGTTTTTTACCTGCTCAGCAGCCTCCAAAAACTCGTGCAGCGCCGACAGGTCGTCGTGGAACTGCATGGCCTCCTCCATGGCCTTGCCGAGGTGGAGGCTCTTGTCGGAGAAGAGCTAAATACAATAAAATCTTAATTAAATGATCTCGATACCTTTGTGATCGTGCCGAGACCCGCTTCCACCATCTCAACCTGCTGGCCAACCACCATCTGCTCCTCCTCGGGGATGATGGCCAAAAGTTGGGCTTCGGCATGTCTAAAAAATGGGGGTTTTGTCACTTCCTAAATGGCCTTTGCTAGCTCGTCTCCACGAAAATCTTTTAAGATAATCGATTTCAAAAATAATTGAGAAAAATCAAGAAAAGTCGAGCAAGTCCACCATGCGTATAAAATTAGTTTTTGTGAACAATTTTTTATTTGTTAAAATTTAAATAGAAGATTTGGTTGGAATATTGTTCACAGCTTTTGACAATTAATGTAGAATTTTCGTAAGAATCGGACGTAAATAAACGAAATTACACCATTGAAGAGTTTCTGAAAAATGTAAAAATGTTTTTCTTAAATAATTTTACAATCTTTAACCCTGAAATTTTTTTCTGTGTGTAGTTTATAGCCTCTGGCATCTACGGCAAAAAATACATAGTGATCGGAGCTAAAACGACCGAGTTACAGTATTTTTTTAGAACCAGTGCGGTTTCAAATAACAACAAAACCCTAAAATGTGACCCCAATTCTATCAATCCATCCCAATGGCTGGGCAGACTGTCAAACAAGGGGCCAGTTACTGTAGCAGGTCTCAAGGAAGTCACCATCTGAAGGCAATGGCAACAGCAGGTGCCTGCGACGGGGGTCGAACCCGGGTCGTGTGGGTCAGAGGCGCGCATGCTATCCCCTAGACCACAGTCCATACCGAAGGCTGTCGATGCGGGGCCTTGTGTCTCTCACTGCCCCATCGATATCGGTGAGGCCTTGTTGCTGCTCGCGTAGTCGTTCTGGTTGTCCGATGGCTGGCTCCAGGGTCTCGAGGCGGGCCTAGAATTTTGGATTGTCGGTATTGGTCGGAAATCTCATTATGTCGAAAATAATAATGTTCGAAATGTCAGCTTGTCGAAACCCATAATGTCGACATCCATAATTTCGAGACAAAAACCCAAAGCTGGAATTTTCTAAATCGAAAATTTCATAATGCCGATAAAACGTCGAAAATCGTAATATCGACATCATTTTTTGCATACGATTTGGCCCTTTTTGCGCGAGATTTGCCTATGTAAATTTCGAAATTCCGAACTTACGACAGTATAAAATTTCGACATTTTCGAAATAACCCGGATTTTGATGAGGCAATTCAATAATTTATTTTTTTTATTCATCATTTACATGTCGTAAACAGATATGCCGTAATTGGAATTAAGTGTCGTAATTGGATAGATTTAAAAAAACATAGGTTTTACTCGTAAAATAGTAAAATTTAGTATTATCTTTAGCCATGCTGTCTTCATTACATGTCGTAAATTGATACCTTTCCCCTATCTCTTATATTTTTATGGTAATTTTGATATCGTAACGCAATACTGGAAGCTTAAATTGCCTCATTCCCTACCGTACCGTACTATTTTCAGACCTTCTAAACCCGCAAAACCCACCTTCAAGTCGTCGATGGCCTTCTGGCAGTCGTCGAGCTCGGCCCAGAATTGGTGCGCCTTGGCGAGCGCGTCGTTGAGGAACGCGCCGCGCATCTCGGCACCTCTTCCGATTTCGCCCCATAACTGATCGAGGGCCTGGATCTTGGCGGCCACTTCTGAAGCGGCAGCATCGCCTGGCTGTGCCCTGGCGAGCAGCTCGTTTGCTCGTTCCTTCATCGCGTCGAGGGCGGCTTCCTGAAAAAGTTTCGTTGGCTTAGGCACAGGCTTAGGCTTAAGCTGCGGCTTCGACTTAGGCTTAGCTTAGGGTGAGGTCTAGGCTTGGCTTAGGCTTCTGCTTACGTACCTTCTCCCTCAACGAGTCCAAAAGCGCTTCATTCTCCGCAATGCGATTCTGGAGCAATCCCGGATCTGCCGACACAGCTGCTGGCTGACGTAGCGATTCTGCGGCTCCTTCCAGCGTCGCCAAAAAGACGTCGAGACGATCGCCGAATGCTAAAATTGGATAAATCGTTATAAATGTGATGAAGTACCCTCTGTCGCATCCAGAATACTGTCAATGGCTTCTCCTCTTGATTTCACTTGGTTTTTCACGTCATTGTAGCGGCCAACAATTTGATCGTAGATTTGGCGCAGAGCTTGGACATCGGCCGGGCCGACGAGTTCGGCAAGGGAGTTGACGTTGTACTCGAAGCGCTCGACCAAGGGGGTTTGGGCAGCGATGACAGCGGAGAGTTCCTGGAATAAAAAGTTCTCGTTCTCTCTCACCCGCTCACTCTCTCTCTCTCTCTCTCTCTCTCTCTCTCTCCCTCCAACTCACCAAGTTGTGCTGCTGCTGCTTGGCCAACTCATGCGAAGGCGTTGCTGTGGTGACGGATGGCTGACCGGCTAGGTCTCGCTCGACCTCATCGAGCCAGCGGTTCATGTCCTCGAACGAATGGCCGATCTCGTCAACGTGGGCGAGGGTCTAAACGAGAAGTTGTAGGAGTTCAGGGAGGCTTACTTGGCCAAGAATTTCTGTTCTTTCCTTGCAGAGTTGGGAGACTTCGTCGCTCAGCTGCATGGCTACTTCCGCCTGAAAGGTAGGGGTGTAGAAAGAAAGAGAGAGAGATGTATATATATATATATATAGAGAGAGAGAGAGAGAGAGAAAGAGAGAGAGAGAGAGAGAACCAGAGACAGCCAGAGAGCGAGAGAGATCGAGCTCCTCCTACCTTCTCAAGTAGCAGCGCATCCTGCCCCCCATCAGACCCAAGTTGCCTGGCCACCTTCCTGCAGTCAATCGCCGTGTTCCTCAACTTTGCCTGCTGATCCAGCAAGTCCTCGTTCAACGCCTTCTGATGCCGAAGTTGCGTCTAAATGTACGTCTTCTAAATCCGAGCCCTGACTCACATTCAAGTACGTCGGATCAATAGCCAACGGCTCGGCATGCATCACGCGCTCCTTGGCGTCGTTGAACCACTCCAAGGCGTAGTCGAGTTCATCTACCACTCCTCGGGTTGCCCGGTCAGCGAGTTCGAGCCGTTCGGCACGTCGATTGACCTGGTCGGCAATCTGGTTGACACGCTTGCATCTCGGCGGTGTGTGCGTAGAGTTCGTCGGCACGGGGTGGCCCGGCGAGCTGTTGGAGTTGGGAGCTGGCGGCGACGAGGGGCGTCGACCTACAACGTTTTCAAGGTGGTCAGGGGATAGAATCGATATAAAGTGCCGAGCTATGAGCGGTCGTATCAATCTGTGTCGTAAAGTGTGAATCAGGTGGTGAAGCATAGCGTTCTCTTCACCGGGGCTTAGGCCTGGCTAGGGTTTAGGCTTAGGCTTAGGCTTGAGCTTCAGGCACGCTTCTGATTATGCTTGGGCTTCAGAAGGTCAAACTTTGCTTAACTTAGGCTTAGGCTCAGGCTTCGACTTGGGCTTACGCTAAGGCTTAGGCGGAGGCTTAGATTTAGGCCTAGCTTACGCTTAAATTAGCTTGTTCTCGACCTCGCCTGGGCTTGGTTAGCTTAGCTTAGCCCACTTCGCTTAAGATTTAGCTCAACCTCACCTCGGGTCTCCATTCCTGAATGTCAATCTCCAACGAGTGGATCAACTGCTGCTGGGTGTCAATGTCGAAGCCATCAGCTTGGTGTAGATCGGCTTCGACTGCTTCAACCCAAGCCATCACGCCGTCGTATCCGTCATGGAATTGATCAGACAGGGGGATGGCTCGGGTGAGGAGGGCCAGCTTTTCATCTGCGCAACCAGCCACTCGGATGTATCTGAATTTGAGGTTTAAGTTTAAGCTGAGGCTTGGCTTAGGCTTGGCTTAGACCCAGGCTTGGGTTTAGGCTTAGAACTCCTGGATTTTTAAGCTACTCTACCGGTGTTTCAACTTCTCGACGTGGGCCTGCAGTGCAAGAGCATCTTCCGCAGCCGCTTCTCGGCATAACTCCTTCCCAACCTGGCAGACGCTGGAGACGAGCGCGTCTTTCTCAGTGACGTTTTCGACAAGTTCCTGAAGGAATTTGGCTTAGCTTAGGCTTAGGCTTAGGCTTTCTATTAACGTTGATAAGAAGCTGCGTACCGATAGCAAATTTGTCTGCTCCAACAACTCGTCAGGATTGATCGGCAGCTCCTCAACATCAGCCATATCCTGCTCTATAGCTGTCAGCCACTCAGCCAACGCTTCGACGTCTTGTTCAAAGTTCGACACCTGCTCGGCCATCGCCTCGAGCCCGATTCGACATTGTTCAGTTCTGAAAGCGATCGACGTCTTCTACGAGTCTTTTCAAACCTGTCGGCAAGTTGTCCATGCTTTGCGGTTGCAGCTGTAAGTTGGGCTTCAAGCGCCCCGGCTTCTTCGACACTGACGAGGGCGGCGAGGCGAGGACCGAGCTGAAGTAGAAGCAAGTTGAGGTGATCATCTACTGGTAGCAAACCTGGCAGAGCTTCTGAACGGCTTCGATCTTGCCGTCGATGTCGTCCTGGATGGCCTCAACGTCTCGGACTTGGGCCACGAGACGTTCGGTGTCTGTGGGAAGTTTACCGAGTTGGGAGATGCTGAAAGAAGAGAGGATTAGGCTTGGGCTTAGGCTTAGACTTAAGTTTGGGCTTAGGCTTAAGCTTAGGCGTGTGCTTAGGTTTATCCGTATTGGGCTTAGGCTTAAGCCCAGGCTTCGGTTCAGGGTTACTTTTAGTTTATGCTTAGGCTTAGGCTTGGGTTTGGGCTTACGCTTAGGCTTAGGCTTATCTCAGACTTAGCTTAGGCTTGTCTTAGACTCAGCTTAGGTTTGGGCTTCGGCTTAAGCTTAGATTTGGGCTTAGGCTTAGGTTCAAGCCAGCCGATTTAAACCCCCTTACCGTTTCTCCGTGCTCCCTATCCACTGCTCGAACGGTCCGAGCTCCTTCCCCAGCTTCTCCGCCAGATCTACAGCGTCTCGTAGACGTGCTTGGCCGCGTTGCGCACCATCTAGCAGTTCCTCATATCGACCGGTAATCTGAAGAAAGGAAGGTTAGAATTCCAGCTACATTCTTGCCTCGTCAGCCTTTGCCGACAGCGCCCGTTTCTCGTCAGCATCAGAAGTGAGGGCGGCCAGCTTGCCGATCATCTGCTGGAAGCCATCAACTGACGCCTGCTTGTCTTCAATATGCTTCAGGATGACATCATAGCTCTGGAGTTGAGCACGAGCGACTTTGGCGTCTGCTGAGGGGAGCTTCTGGTTGTCGACTAGCTCCTCGGTTTCTTCGAGCCAGTTTTGGAGGTCCTAGAAATAGGCTTGGCTTGCGCTTAGCTAGACTTAACGTAAGCTTAGCTTGTGCTTAGCTTAGCTTAATTTAGGCTTAGTTTAACTTAGGCTTGGCTTGTACATAGCTTCACTTTGGATCCGGTTAAACCCCCTTTTGGCTCACTTAGGCTTAGCTTAGCCATAGATTTAGCTTGGCCTAGGTCTAACTTAGGCTCAGCTTAGCCTTAACTTAGCTTGGCGTAGGCTTAGCTTAGATTTTTCTTAGGATTAGCTTAGGCTTGGCTTAAGATTAGCTTAGGCTTTACGTACCCTCTGCGCATCGTTGTAGCTGCCCATCTGCTGCACGGCGGCATCAACAGCGAGCTGTCGGGCGCCAATCTGAGCATCGACATCGCCTAGGGCCTTGGAAACGTCTTGTAGTATTTGGCTCTAAAAGCGGGAAATTTGGAAAAGCTGTTGCTCAACGTACCAGCTGCTTGGTGTCAGCTTCAGGAGCCGCAGACTTGATCAGCGCCTTGCATTCACCCTGGACGGCTTTAGCTCGTTCGGCTGTCGGTTTTAGCTGTTCTTTGAGTTGACGCAGAGCCTGAAAAAAGTAGGTGAGGCTTGAGTTAGGCTTAAGAATGAGCTTCAGAAGCTCGTGCTCACCTCGGCTTGAGCTTTCGGCTCTGAAAGTCCATTATCGCTCTGCAGCGCCGGGGACTCTTGCAACTGATGAATGTCGTTGATCACCGCATTGGCTTCGCTAAAGCACGAGTAAAAATTTTGAATTTTAGAAGATACCTTTCCACCCTGGCCACCTCCTCACCGATGGCGTTGATCTTCTTGTGGCGGTCGCCGAGCTTCCGTTTGCCCTTGCCGATTAGCTGAAATGGATGGTTTAAAAAAATCAGCTAAGCCTAAGCTAAGCCTAAGCTAAGCCTAAAATAAGCCTAGGCCCATGCCTAAGCCAAAGCCCAACTTAAGCCTAAGCCTAGCCCAAGCCGAAGCTTAATCCCAGCCTAAACCTAAGCCTAAGTCTAAGCTAAGCCAGTGCCTAAGCCTAATACTAAGCCTAAGCCGAACTTAAGTCCAAGCCTAAGCCCAAGCCTAGGGTTAAGCCTATGTCCGAGCCAAACCCCCTACTTTCCACAACAGGAACGGCATCAATATCGCAGTGATCGTGATTAGCATATGCGGAGCACGGGGCAAGCTAATGACAGGGTACACCCAAGCGCGCTGGGTGGCAGACCGGAATACCAGCGGAATTGGTAGCAATGGGGGCGAGCGCGGGAATTGGATACCAGATCCGTTCATTCGATCGGATATCGAATTTTTTGGACACCAAGGCCCAGCATAGATGTTTTTGGTGAGAATCCAGGGGTTCGACAGCTGCGGAAATGATTCACACACACTCTCACTGGCCCATCGACCGATAAAAGTCGACTATAAAATGCCCATATTTAACGCAGAGCTCTGGCGCTGGGCTTTTGAAGTTTCGAAAGAATTCGTGGATCTGGGCTTGGTTTTTGGTTGAGTTTTTAGTGTCGATTGGTGGGTTTAGAGACTTATTTCGAAATACCGACAGCCAAAATGCTGACGGGTTGCATTCCCGACAGTGAAAATCCCGACAGATAGAAATCCCGACAGTGAAAATCTCGACAGGTGGACACGACAACACTGTAATGCTCAAAATACCGACAACCGCGATTCCGAAAGCCAAAATGCCGACAGCGAAAAAAAGACCGACAGCCAAAATCCGGAAATCCCGAAAGGTCAAAAGCCTGACGGCTAAAAATACCGACAGATCAAGCTCCCGACAGACAGAATCCCGACATGGAAAATGCTTACATGGGGAATCCTGCCAGGCAAAAATCCTGACAGCCTCTGTCCCGACAGCCAAAATGCCCACAGCGAAAACACCGACACCGAAAATCCCGAAAAACTCCGAAAACCGCGAAAATCGGGATTCCCTGCCCTTTAAAAGAACAAGCAAAATTTCCGTAATTTCCGTAAGTTAGCGTAATTAACATCTACCAACTGACCCTCTTCAAGTCGTCGACATGCTGCTGGTTGTTGTCGAACTGCTCGGGCGTGATGGCATCGTGTTTGATCGCGGCCTCCCAAAGTGCTTCAACATCAGCCAGCTCCTTGTCCCGCTCGCCGAGCTCGGACTCCATCTCCTCGCACTGCCCGCGCTGACGCTCCAGCTCCTCTGCGCTGCGCCCGATCGGCTCGAGGTCGTTGAGGTCCTACAAGGGAAATTGTTGAAGTTATCGTACGAATGTCCCACCGAGTATAAGGAGTTTAGCCTCGTCGCCAGGCGGTTCGTCTTCTCGCGTGCGCGCTCGGCTTCGTCCTTCTTTTCGGCCAGCTTGCCGTCGACGGATCTGAAGAAGAGGAGCTTAGGCTTGACTTAGGCTTGCTAGCTTACCTCATCTTGTCCACCAAGTTCTCGAACAGCCCCTCCAGTTCATCTGCCGTCTCGCGGGTCTGTTCGGCTTGCTCTTCTGGCAAAATCGTGCTCAACTCATCGGAGAGCTGCTTCAGCTCGCGCCCCGTCTTTGCCCAGTACGCCTCGACTTCAGAGAGTTCTGCAAGGTGGTGATGAACCTGTTGATCACATTGAGACTTACTCGCTTGAAGCCGTTCTCGATTCAAATGCCCTTGATCTCTATCAAGATCAGCTTCACGGGCAGCGCAAAGACCATAGGCTTCATCGGCCAATCGCTTGAACCGCGCGTGGAGGTCGGCCTAAGAATGTCTCGTCATCTTGAAGACGTTCGGCTAACCTTTTTCTGGGCGACCTGCAGTGCCGTTCTCGCCTTCTTCCCATGAGCTCTGACGTCATCAAGCAGGTTTTCGGCTCCACGTTTCAGGTGCCGGGCATCCGGTCCGGGAGCGGTTTTCTCGATCCTAAAATCGTGATCAAGATCATCTACAACCTCCTACTTCTCAGCAAGTCCATCCAGGGCTTCAGCTTCGTTCACTCTGCGATCGATCGAAGCTTCAAGGGGTCGGAAGGCGTCTGTCGGATTATCTTCTCCAAGTGCCGCCTCGATGGCCTTAAAGGGCTAGTTCAGCCAATAAAACAAAAGAATTTCCGCGGCCAGGAGTCGAACCCTCTCTGCATTTTTGTGTCTGCGCCTCCCCCATCTCCCGATCTCTAATAGCTGTCGTAATGGGGGACTGTTCGGGCGCACTGTGCCTACGTCCATAGTTTCCCAAGGTACCAGCCCAAGCTCTAAAAGTTGAACTAGCCCTTTAAATAGGTCCTCTACCGTTTCATACCCCTCACTAACCTTGGCCAATTCTTTTTCCTCATCTTCCAAATGCTGCTTCAACGTCTTCTCGGCGTCTTTGAACTGCTTGACCAGCTCGTTGGCCTAGAATTAATATCATCTACTCTATTCATGGGTTTCTGACCTTGTCCAAAGCGTTTCTCTTCTCCTTAGTCGCCTCCAAAAGTGGTGGCCACTCCTTGTCAAGCCGGTCAAGCTTTGCCCGAAGCTCTGGTTTGGCTTCCGGGTTGTTCAGCAACTGCTCTTGCACCTTGGCCCTGACCAGGCTGACGTCGCCCTCCCTTCCTAGCACTCCGCTGTACACCTTCTCAAACCGTCCCATCGCCTCCGCCAGCTTCGTGGGGTCCGCGCAGATTGGAGGCGCCTGAAAGTAGATGAACAAGCCCTTGAAAGCTCTTGCATATCTCACGTTATTCACTTCTAGAGCTGCCAGCTGCACGTCTCCAAGCAGGGCGTCCAGCCGCTTCTCGAGAGCGTCACCCTCGCCACGCACTGTCAGAGCCGCCTGCTTTACCGAGTCGATCTTCTTGTCAAGCTAAAAAAATCTCAGAACTTGCTCAAAAACCTGTGCAACTACCTCAGCAGCCTTCGTCCTGTTCCCCTGGGTGATATCAGCAATTTCCGCACGGTTTCCGGCGTCTATGCCGATGCTGCCGGCTTCCGCTTCCTTTTCGGCAAGGGCGTCGATGAGTTCTTCCACCGATCCTTCCCTCTGCTTCAACGAGTCCAACAAGGCCAGCTGTTTCTCGATCTCGTTGGAGGGGAGTCGGCTAGCCGCATCGACTTCACGCTCGAGGTCGTGTAGCGATTTTCTAGAAGTTTTTTTTGTGATGCTTAGGCTTAGGCTTGACTTCAACTTTTGCTCATCTACAAAAAACCCACTTGATCTGGCGGTCCAGCTGCTGGATATCAGCTCCAAGATGTGCGGCGCTGCGGGCTTGTTCGTCACGAGAATCGAGGCTCTGGCCGAGGGAGCCCCACCTTTTCTTCAGCTCCTCCATCCTGTTTCGGATGGCCTCCTTGTCGGCCTCGTTCTCGGCTTCGTTGAGGAGCTTCTCGGCCAGGTTGGAGACTTGGTCGAGGCTGGACTGCTCGTTGTCGGCATCAAGCTGAAAGAGTGATGTTGAGCAAGAGAGGGAAAGAGGGACAGAGGCAGAGAGCGAGAGAGAGAGAGAAAGCAGGACGAGCTATTCATGCTCCTTACTCACCTTCAACATATCAATATGATTCCTCAACCCCTTGGCCTCATGTGGCTCCGTCGACGGTGCCGGTAGAGCATCAACAAGCCTTTGCTTGCCCCCAATCCACCGATCGAGCTGACCAAGACGGTCAACAACCTTCTCCGCCTGATCTATCCGCTTGCGCGCGGCATCTTGCCCAGTTTGCAGCGCCTCCCATTCGAGGTCCAAAGCCCTCTCGAGCTGTCCAATCGTCCGCCCGGCTTCGGCGTTGGTGCGCGCGAGTTCTCGAGCCTGTGGATGATCAAAAAGTCACAGAAAGTCAGGTCATCTACCAACCTGCATTCGAACTTCATCCATTTGCCGTTGACCTTGGCGTGAATCCTTCTCGATCTTCTCCAGCTTGTCGCGTGCAGCTTTTACGGCGTTGTCGTTGAGTTCGAGGGGGAGCTGAAAAGGTGTTGGTAGGATTTGGCTGGGTGAAGCTAAGCCTAACCCTAAGCCTAAACATACCTCATTAGCTAGTCTCGCTCGCTGCTCGGCGATCCACCGATGGACTGCTTCAGCCTGGCCTTCAAGCTGTGCGGTCTTGTCGAGCTGCTCGCCGATGCGGTCGCTGCGGTCTTGGAGCGACGAGCCGAGCTGGTCATAGCGGGAGCGCAGGTCCATGACGTTGCGTGGGACGCTGCTTGCGCGGCTTCCTCAAAAAGGAGTGGCTTCGTGGTTACTTTGCGGGTTTAAGACTAAGCCCAAGCCGAAGCAAAGCTAAATAAGCCTACCAGGAACCGTCTCCAACTCCGCAATAGCCATCGACATCCTCTCCAACGCCTCCAAATTGGGCTGCCCTTCTGGCAGTCGATCGATCAGCTCCGCGCACTCCTTCTTCTGCTCCTTCAACTCCTCCGCGCTCGTCTTCAACGGCCCAATGGCCGCGGCTTCATCTTCAGCTCGATTTAGCCACTTTTCGAATTCGGCCTTCTTGGCGTTGAACTCGATGTCGAGTTGGTCGAGGTCCTTGGCTTTTCTGAGCTTATCTTGTACAAGTTCCGCGACGGCGTCAACCTAAAAGAGTTCAATTGGATGATTTATCTCTCTTTCTCTCGCTCTTTCTCGCTCTCTCTCTCTTTCCTACCTTAGCCCCAGCTTCGGTCATCATCTTCTCTGCGTCGGCCGTGTCGGTGACGTGCGGAATCGAGAGGAGGCGATTCATCACGGTAGCGGCTTCAATGGCTTCTTGGCCGAGGGCTTTAACAGCTTGCTCGGCCTCGACAAGCCGTTGTTGATCTTTGGGCGGGATTGGTTTTACCTAAAAGAAAAGCTGTAGATGAACATCTTAAAGATATAATAAGCCTATCTCTAAGTAAGACTAAGCCGGCAACATCTTCAAGGAGTACAAACCTGTCCCATCAGAGCATCACTGTGCCGTCCAATCAACTCCGTGCGATGTCCCAAATCTCTCAACCCTCCAATCGCATCATCCACATTATCTCTAAATCCTCTCAGCTCCGTGTTGGCCTTCCCCAACTTTCGCTTCGCCTCGGCCAACTGGCCCTCGACGTGCTTCGCCAACGCAGGGTTCGTATCCGACAATTTCCGAACCTCCGTCTCCAACTGCTGAGCCAACGCTCCCTTAGCATCAGCTTCCGTGTTCAGTAGATGATCTTCATTCCGGAGCGCTGCTAGCGTATCTTCTTTCAACGGAATTGCTCTGGATTGCTCGGACTTCTTGGCCAAATCATCTGCCCAGCTGACCAATCCCTCGACAGCGTCGCGTACGCCTTCGGCTATAGCTTGTTCGGCCGTTGCTTCGTTCATCGCTTTCTGGAGCTGCTCAACAACGAAGCTATGGCGCCTTCTACGCTCGGACTGCTCGCGCTCTTGCTTCTCCTTGACGTCCTCGTACCCTGGCATTCCTTCCAGGACTCCAAGGAGTTTCTTTGCGGCCTGTTCAGCATCATCGAGTCGTGACTGTTCATTTGCCACTCGCCGATTCATTTCGTCGGCCATTCGAAGTCGTTCTTCTACTGGTCTTCCCTTGCCGAAAAGCTCGTTGAGTTGATCTTCAAGGCTTCGGAGCCAATTGTCAGCTCGGCCGGCACGCTCGTTGAGGTCATTTCCCAGGGCGGCGACACGATTCTGGAAGGAGCCGAGGTCCTGACACTGCCGAAGCAGCTCATGGTAATCATCTTCCACTCGATAGAGCGTCCGCTTCACCTCATCGCCGCTGAGTCCAGCCACCTGAATCTGGGGCGCACTTTCATGCATGGCGGCCAGTTCTGCTTCAATTTTCGCGACGATAGACCCGATCTTCTTCAGCTTGGCCTCCCCGGGCACAACCTCATCTTGGAGCTGTTTGGTTCGTTGTCGCTGCTCGGCTACTTGAGATGGGTCTGCCGATTCGGCCTTGATATCTCCGGCTCGTCGCGTTGCGTCTGTGATCCACGACTGGACGGCCGACGACTCGGAGGAGAATTCGATGAGTAGGCGAGTGACTTCGTGGAGACGATCGTAAATTCCTTCTACGTTTCTGACGGTAGCTTCGTACGTCTCGGCAAGTTGGTCACGTTTTTGGCGCAGCAGTGCGTACTGCTCGGGCGGTAGTTGATCAGCTTGTTCGGAGCATAGGCGATCGGCAGTTTCGAGCTGTTGACGAACACGGGCCGCCCACTCGTCGAGGGACGCCTTGACTCCTTCAATGCCCTGTACACCTTCTTCGGGTCGTTGCTGATCAAGCTGGATGTTGAGCTTGGTGGTGTAGATGGTCTGCTCGAAGTTGGAGAGATCGGAAATGGCAGAGTTCAGCTCCTTTTGTTTTTCTAGACACTCCCGAACGGCTTCTTCCTGTTGTTTTCGTTTGAAGGTCTGGACGACAATTTGGACCTTGTTCTGTTTTTCTAGAATTAAGGAGCAGAGCTGAGCAAACCGTTTGTTCAACTGGTCGAGCTCCTCGGAGATAGTTCGTGCTCCATTTTTGGGCTGGGGCTCAGATCTCGAAAAACTGGCCCGAATTCCTGATCCATGGACTCGCGTCACAGAATCGATGTACTGATCTAGCCGTAAATCGTGCGATTTTGCATCCCGAATGTACTTGCCGCCCTCGCGGTTCAAGTGCTCGATTTGCACGGTACGTTCTTGAAGTTGTGAATATTCGGCGGCGAGAACATCGAGCTGGTCTTGTATCCGATCCGCTGATAGCTCCTCCGGCCGTCGCAACTCCGATATCGTCCGCTCCACCTTGTTCAGCCAGCTGAACTCGTGCTCAATCTCGGTCCTAAACACAAGCATGAGCTGCAGGTTCCTCTCCTGTGTATCCAGGCGATCGACAACTTGATTCCCGACATTATCCCAGCGTACGTTCAGCTGCTGAGCATCTTCTTCTACCCTGTCGACGTCGGGGTGTGACGATACGTCTCTTCTGGTTCTGATGACGTGCTGGCGTAGATGTGCAACTTTTTGGTTCAGCGCATCCAGCAACGACTGCTGCTGGTTCAGGATCATCTTCCTTTCGACGAGTCCGGCGTGTTCTCTCGTCAAAACCGGCACATCAGCGGGGAGGTCATCCTGACTACACAATGCTACCTCGTGTGTTTTCACAATATCCGAGAACTGCTCAATACCAAGCAGTACAGACTCCAGCACCTTGATCCGGGCGACGTACATCTTCGCCAAATCCCACAAGTTCTCCCAGAGATCATCCAACTTTTCGTGGTTTAGCCTCTGTGCTGTTGTGGGGTCGTTCAACTGTTGATACAACGACTTCAAGGAGGCCACCTCAGGATCCAGGGCCTGGAGGCTCTCCTCGAACTGCTTGTGCTCGAGGAGCGACTTTTCAAGCTGTTCCTTGGAACGGTCTACAGGTCTTCCGACCCTCTCGATGAGGGTGCGCCAGCTGTCGTCGAGGCGGCGGAGGGCGAAGGCGATTTGTTGGTCGAACTGCTCGCTGAAGTCGGGCTCTGGGGTGCGCTGGGCGCGGTGTTCGAGCTGGCGGAAGGCGTCTTTGGTGGCGCGGAGTTCGGCGCGGAGTTTGAGGGTCAGAGGGTCGTTTGGCCCGAGTTCAGCGATGAGACGGCGGATGTCATCGTCAAGGGCGCCGATGACCTGGAAAAAGCGATAGAAGGAGAGAGAGAGAGCGAGTGAGAGCGAGAGATAGAGACAGAGAACAATAGAGAGAGAGAGAAAGAGAAAGAGATAGAGAAAAAGTTCATGCTCACCTGTGCCCTCCTCTCCTCATCAAATCCTTCGAATTGCTCGATGTCCCAGGTCTGTATCGTGGCCATGGTGTTGGTGAACATGTGATATCGCACATGGCGGTGTTTCTGAGCCCATAACTGGCCCAGTGCCTCTGTTCTCTGGATCATCCTCGCGATCCTGGTGTTCAGCTTCGTATCCGGGGGTGGAAGACGGAAAACGACAGACGGGACCGCCACTTCCTTTCTCGTTACATCGCGTACCATCCACCGTATCGTGTCCGCGGAATCAACAAGCGAAACTTGATCTCCCGATCTTATCGTGTCGTAATCGATTAGGGCCTGAACGGGCTGGGGTCGTTGGATACGCTCGTTTCGCTGCCAAAGCGGCGAGATGTGCTTGGCCTGCTCGGCGAGCTGCTGCACAGTGTTGTTGTATTTGTTGAGGATGTCCTGGAACCAGATTTTAGCTGATGGATAGCGAAAAAAGATACCTTGATTCTCTGCAACTCGTTCAGCTCGCGCTCCCCATCTTCCGGGCCGTAGTCTGTGGCCGAGTAGCTGGAGCTGAGCTGTTGAAGCTGTTCATCAAGGCGTTGTTCGGTGAGCTTAGCTTCTTCGAGGATCTGGAAGAGGCTTAGGGTTAGACTGAGCTCAGGCTAAGACGTAGCTTAAGCTTAGCTTACTTAGTCTTAGGCTTCTGTTAGGCTTAGGCTTTGGCTTAGGCTTAGACTAGGCTTAAGCTTTGCCATAACTTTAGACTAGACTCAGGCTTAGGCTTAGGCTTAAGCGTGGGCGAGACTTAAGCTTAGCCTTAGGTGAGGCTTCGGCTTGGGCTTGGACTAATCTTAGGCTTAGGCTTAGGCGTTTCTTAGGCTTACGCTTAAGTTTAGGCACCCTTTACTCATATAAAACAAAACAGACTTAGACTTAGACTTAGGCTACGATTGGGCTTTAAGCTTCTAAGTTTTGTAAGCCCCTTCTAAGTCCACTTACCGTCTTATAATCCAATGCATCCTTCAGATGAACATCAAGCGCATGCGTCAACCCGCGAAGCCAATCCCATTGCGTCGTCATCGTCCGTAGGTAACCCTTAAATCAATTCCATACCTTAAAACGACCGCCTACCTCAATAACTTCAACCGCCGGATGTCCCTGATTGACCAGCGCGGCTCCCCTATTGTGCACCTCCGTGAACTGCTTCTCCCTGAGCTCCATCTCATGCCTGAGCTTCTTGCTGTGATTCTGGAGCACGGGCAGGTCCAGCCGATCGACGTCTCCCCAATCACGGGTGACCTCGATCTCCTCGCGTTCGGATAGCCAGCAAAGTTCGATCTGGGCGGCGCGGACGAAGGCGATCAGGGAGTCGAGATCAAGCATTCTGCCTGCAGAATAGTCGCGAAGCTGTTGGTACTCGCTCTCGAGGGATCGGAGGAGGTTGTAGTAGGTGTGGGTGTCCTCGGCGGAGACGTCGTTCTGAAATTTCGGCTGTGGCTTTGGAAAAGACCAGCATTAACTGGCTTAGCTTAAGTTTAGCCTTAGGCTTAAGCTTATACGTAGGCTTACGTTAGACTTAAACTTAGCTTAAGCTTTTTAGGCTTAGCTTAGCCTTACCTCAGGCTTTAAAGTAGGCTTAGGCTAGACTTAAACTTAGGCTTAAGCTTCAGCTTAAGGTTCGCTTGGACTCAGGCTTAAGCTTTAGTTTGGCTTTGGCTTAGCTTAGCTTGACTCAACTTCCAAACTCCCTACCTGTCTTGCAATACACTGATCCACCGACTGCCGATAGTCTTGAATATCCCTATTGTCAATCTTGTGCTGATCAAACGCTTCTTCTAGCAGTTCAAGCCCGTCGACAAAGTGGATGCGATGGATGCGATCCGAATACTCTCGGACCCATCTGATCGCCTCTTCAACTCGCGAGAAAGATGAAGCCCGGGCGGCTTCTGTGCGTCTGCTCTGCTCCAGGCGGATGGTTTCTGTGCGGGCGGCAAGTCTGTCGGCGATGCGGAACTTGAGGCGTTCGATGTATTGTTGGCGTCGTTGTTCGAGGGCGACGACTCTGGAATGGAGAATCGTTTAAATGTGATTTATCTCTGGGCTTGGCTTAGGCGTAGGCATAGATTAGGCTCAGGACTGGCTGAAGCTTCGCTTAGGCGTAGGCTTGGGCTTAAGCTTAAGCTTAGACTCAGGCTTAGGCTTAGTTTTAACTACCCACTTCTTGCGATAAAACACCGCATCAGGATGTCGCAACGCGTCTAGCTCATCCACATCTTTGTCTAGCAGTTCGATCGGGTCGGAGAGCTGCGTGAGTGCGTCGAGGAGCTGGTTTATCTTTGAGAAATTGGCATATCAACCGTAATAGATATTTTCTCGTACCTTACGCTCCAATTCACTCGGTGGCAACCTTTCCAACACTTTCTCAAGTGACTCGATGTCGACGAGTACAATATCCAACTTTTCCCCGACAATTTCACAGCCCCGCTTCAGCCGACTCAGCAGATCGGAGGTGTTCGTCTAAAACGAGCATTACGGAAAGGTATCTAAATATTAACAACGACTAGCGGGAAGCCAAAAAAATAAATAAATAAAGGGAAAGGAAAGGCAAGGAAAACAAGGATAGGAGGGTAGAAAGACGATGCTTTTAAGCTTCAGCTTGGCTTAGGCTTAGGCTTAGCTTAAGCTTAGCTTTGCTTAGCTTAGGCTTAGGCTTAGCTTAAGCTTAGCTTTGCTTAGCTTAGGCTTAGGTTTAGGTTGGGCTTGGATTGGGAATATAAAGGGTAAGCATGGCTTTGGTAGGTAATAGACAGTGATATAGACACGGCAAGGCATGCAACCCAAGAAGCGGAAGTAACGCGCTATATCTCGGCGTAGGAAGATCGGATCGGAATAATTTTTATAACATTGGAAAGCTCTTAAAAAAACAAGTATTTTTATTTAAAAATAAATTTTGTGAATTGATAGACAGATGCCTTTTTTAGTTAATTTTACATAATCCTATTTCACTGGTGTAAAGCCAAATTTTCTTTAAAGTGTGGGTGCTTAAATTTTGTCTTGTGCAGACAAAAGCTGGCCCAAAACAAGCAAAAATGCAAAAAAAGCTGATTAATAAGCGTTTTTTAGGTCACCAAAACACCAAAAAATCGAAAAATTTTGAAAAACAAACATTTTTTGAAATTCATACTGTAGAAAAAACCTTATAAAATTTAGGGCTTTAGCAAACGCACAAAGTTCCAACTGCTTATGAACGCACGCGCCTTTTTCTCAGCTTTCCAATGCTCCAAAAATAATTCCGCTCCGATACTCCCACCCCAAGTTACCGCCCAAAAACCACAGCACGACGACACCAACAAGTACGGTTAGGGGTGCGAGATAAACACCTGTGCATGAGCCCGTTCATCCAGCAGGGCCTGTCGGCGGTCAATCGCAGCGTTGAGCGCCAGCCACTGGGCCCTGAGAGCGGGTCCCTGGAGCTCGTGCTCAATCTCGATTTTGTCGGCTCCGATCTGCTCGAGGAGTCCGGCGTAGATGTGCTCCAGTTTCTCGAGCTCGTCGGCTTTTTGGGGTAGATGAACGGCTCGAAGTTGTTCAACCTCAGCCCATAGCCCTTCTGGAGTTCCGACAAAAAGGCGGCAGTCGGCTGCTTCAGTTGTATCGTGTACCCAGGTGAGCCATGACTGGGCCTCGTGGATGTACTCCGACTCGATGCGCTGTAGACGAACGGAGGCCAGCAGGCACTCGTGCCAGAACTGGAAGTGAGGCCCTGGGTCCCGGGTGGAAGAGGAGAGGGGGGAGAGGTGCTTTTAGAGGTTGTTAAGATTTTGCTATGCTAATTAGGATTTGATAACGACATGTCGAAAATCATATCGCCGAAATTTAAATTTTTCGAAAGGGATTATATTTTGTTAAGTTAAGTTAAGTTATGGTAAGGATCAAGCTACGTTACGCTTCAAATAACGCTTGGATACTGTGGGTTTTTGCTTCCGAAAAGACTGTATGGCTATCCGGTTTTTGCGATTTTTTGGTGTTAGGGTTAATCACGGCACTCCCAGGTATGCAGTGAGAGAGAGATAGATAGAGAGAGGGCGAGAGAGAGAGAAAGTCATAGAAGCAAGAATATCTCCCATGCAAAGAGGTACCCAGCTCCCCAGGCGGAAGTGGAGAAGGCGCTGCTTATATGATTCAAAAGAGATTATGCTATTCTGTACTTTGTAGCCCCCCGTACTAGCCCACCTTTGACAGCTCGGGGAGCGGGGGGAGGGCGTTGTGCAGCGACGACACGTAGGTGATTACCGACTTTTCGTCGACGTTCGTTGACTCGAAGTCCTGGAAAAGGATTTTTAGGCATAGGCTTAGACTAGGCTTAGGCTTACCTCAGGGTCCATAAGCCGAGTGACTCCAAACTCCCGCTCCGCGAGGGCGAAGGCATGCTCCAGTCGTTCCAAGTTTGAGCGGCCGGAGGAGATGACCTAGAAAGGTGGGCTAGCAGGGATTCTTGAGGATTTTAGAGAGTTTTAAGACTTAACACTTTATAGTTTTTGCTTCGGCTCAAGCTTAACCTCGCGTATTTTAGGCTTAGCTTAGGATCAACTTGGCCTTAGCTAGGCTTAGGGTTACTGTTCTTAAGCTTAACCGCTAGTTTTTGCAAATTTTTCCTAGCCCGACTCTTCTCCCTGCCAAAACGCCGCAATTTGCATACGAATAGGTTGGGCAGCGGCTTCGACCTTGTCTTGCGGTCCCCCTAAATCGCTCGCGTTTCGCACCCCTCCATTCCCATGTCAGCATTTAGGCCTTTTTTGGGGGGTGGGGCCGCTCAACTCGCTCGCGTCAACAAATACACCCATCGGATCAGGCGGAATTTGCTGGGCGTTCGCCCCATCGCGCGTGAAACCAGAATCCAGGGCGTAACGCGGTTTTTGGGTCAGATAGAAAGTACATTTCAGAACTCTACACGCAGCGTGAAATCCGGAATATCTCGTAGATTATCACTGGAAGCTGATAAAGCTGCTGATACTCACGTGGCTCCACTGGACCAGATGTGGTCGGTATCGATGTAGAATAGCGTTGAACGCGAGGCCGTCTCTCCAAGAAGATCCGAAATTGGAAACCCGGACTTGTGGGTAGCCATCCGTTGCCTGAAATTGTAAAATAGAGTGATCTTTAACCATGGAATTTTGATTTCTGCTCCCTTCGAGTTCTCAAAATTAGCATAGATGCTTGTTCCCGATTTTTCACCTGTCTGTAACTTTAAAGGAAAAAGCAAGCCATGCCCACGGATTCTATAGATTTTGCCGTGTCGCAACAGGCAACGCTTTTGCTTGTATTTTCATAGCCTAATGGATTAACGGACTAATGGAACCTAATGAAATCAATGTCCAGAAAATTCACGTTCATGATTTGCCAGTACCTTTAAAAGTTCGTGCTCAATCCCTGAGCTTAGGCTAGGGCTTAGGCTTTGGCTTAGCTTAGGCTTAGGCTTGGGTTCAGGCGTAGGTGTAGGCTTACGCTTAGCTAGACTTACAAGGGAACCACCCGAGGTCGAGGTGGCGTTTCGTTGTGGGATCCAGCCCATTTTGTGCAGAATGCCAAATATTTTTGCCAAATAGCTTGTTTTAAAAAGTTATAGCGCGTCAAAGTTCTATTTTTTTCCCAAATTTGTCAACTTCAAAGCCATTTATTTTGCGTTTCCCTGCTGATTCATGAAAAACGAATATCGCCATCGTATTCAGAAAATTTTTCTCTATCGAATGAGCTATTTAACTCAAAATTGTTGGAAATCGAAAAAATCGACGAGACTTGTGGACTTCGTTTTTTGTATGGGAAATGGTGAAAAACAGGCTATTTCACACTCACATAAGCAGGCCCGTAGCGGAACCGAAATTTCGGGGGGGGGGCCAAAAATTTTGGCGACCTCCCCCTTAAACTTTTCAAACATCCGAAAATCGCGTCAATAATAGCGCCGCAGGCAAAAAAAATCGCAAAAAAAAGCGTTCGCTACACTCAAATTCGTGTGAAAACACGGCAGAAAACGCGCCGCAGGCGAAAATTTTTATGAACAATTGATTCACCAATCAATCCAGCGCCGCAGGCAAAAAAATTTTTGTAACTAAAAATCATAAGGGTCCCCCCTTATGAATTTTTCGGACCTCGACCGATTTAAACGGGCCCCCCTCCTACGGGCCTGCACATAAGTGATCATCGATAGGCAGTAGCGCAGTAATGAAATATACCATTCGAATCAAAAAAAAATTCTCTACAAGATAGGCTATTTAAAATGGATTGGCATATTAAAACAAAAATGTTGGGCATCGTGACAGATGACCGCCCGCGGGCTCAAATATGATATTAAAATCCCCATAACTTTTTAAATCGGGCTATTTGGCAAAAATTGAAAGCAGGTTCGGAATCAGCAAAAAATTCTGCACAAAATGGGCTGGGTCCCATAACGAAACGCCACCTCGACCTTAGGTGGTTCCCTTGTTAACCTCAGGCATCAGCTTAGGCCTAGGCTTCGACCTTGGCTTTGGTTAGGCTTAGGTCTAGGCTTAGGCTGGAGCTTAGGCTTAGGCTTATGCTTACGCTTAAGCCTCTCCTTAAGCTCTGCTTACCTCTTGCGCCCACTCCAACAGTGCCTCTCTGGCCGTCTTCCCAGTCGCATTCCCGTGCACCGCTTCGTAGGTCTAAATTGGTGGATTACCTAGGATTTCGCGATCCGATCTACGACTCAATTTGCATATTCCCCCATCCCTTGGGTGTGGTATTTGGCTGTCAGGCTTGTAAGGAAGGGGGATTTGTGGGGGATGGTGATGGCATGCTGTTACCAGCATTTCCGAGTCGCTACCCTCACAGCGGTATTCAGGGCAACCGGTTTGTTAGCCAAGAGCTGGACGGTAACCCAAACCATTCCTTACAAAATGCTAAAAAACTGGATAGAGGATGATCAGGGGGTAAACAGATGGATTTGAATTTGGGAATTCGGGAATCGGGAAGTATTAGGGTGATCTCTGTTTCTCTCGCTCTTTCTCTCTCTCTCTCTCTCTGTCTCCATCTATCGCTATCTCTAGTTCTCTCTATCTCGCTCTTTCTCTCTCGCTCTCGCTCCATCTCCCTCTCTGGCTCACATTTGAAGGATTTCACAAAATTTGAGGTTGAGATTGGACTGGCTAAATCTTGAATGAAAATATTGTTCATTCTCTCTCAATCGCTGTCTCCCCCTCTCTCTTTCACTCTCCCCTCCCTTTTTTTAAGAAGTTCACAGAATTATATGCCGTAATTTAAAGATTTAAATTGCTCTCTCACTCTCTCTATCTCTCGCACTATCTCTCTCTCTCTCTCTCGCTCTCTCTGTCTTTCTCTCCCGTTCCACCCAATTCCAGGCCGACCAAAAAACTGGCTCGCTTTTTCTGTCCGTACCAGCTAAAAAGTAGGGGGGTTCCGCCCCAGCTGGCTATCAAAAGGGGTGGGCCATGGAGGTCATTCAGGGCGAGAGAGAGAGAGAGCGAGAGAGAGAGAGAGAGAGAAAGAGAGAGAGAGCCAAGATTGAGACATCGCCCCCCGGAACACCACCCGCAATCCGAGGCCACAAATGACCGGTATCTCCGGCAACCATCTAAAGGGGCTAGGGAGGGGATCCTCCATCGGATACAGACAGCACTGTATAATAGCACCTTTTAGGGTCGAGGAGGGGGTCTAAAGGGAGTAAAAGGAAGGGAAGAAGAACGAAGGATGTGTCACAGGGCAAAAGGGTGATTCAGTTTGCCATGAAATGAAGGGGGGAAGAGAATGGTTGGCAGGGTGGAGTGATACGCGAAAATAGTACGAGAAAAGGGTAGCTGTAGCCAGGAATTTAGCGGAAATTTGTCTCGAATGGACTTTGCTGCGAAAAATTGGGGAGACTACGCTTAAAAAATTTCTTGGGGTTCCGAAACGTCCGGAAAATTGTCTAGATATCGATAGAATTCCCCGGAAATTTGTTCCGAAACGGTTACGCCATCAAATCTGAGTTTAAGACAATTTGTAGCTTGACTTTTTTTTGCGGAGACTCTTCAGAATCGGATGCGGTGTTTTCCGGAAACGTTCCGGAAAGCCACAGAACCGATTAAGACATAAAAAACTGGTTAGTAGTGAAACTGGAAGCTCCGGAAAGTTACGTAGTTCTTCGGGATCGATTACGTCATCAAAAACCTAGTTTTTCAGCTAAAAGAAGCCATTATGGCGTTAAATATGGATGAACCGGCTGTGCCGGTTAGTTACGGACGCAGAATTGCACTCGAAAAGCCGTCCGGAGTCGATTACGACGTTAAAAAGCTTAATTCCAAAGTTCCGGTATCAATAAAAACAGCCAAAAAGTGATTCGGAATCGATTACGACGTTTAGATCGTAGCCGGAAAGACCGAAAAACGTATAAAAACGAGCAGCACCATGTGAAATTCCGGAATTCCGGATTGCTACAAATTGCGACGAACTAACATGCTTTCGGGAAGGCAAAAAAGGAAAAAAAGTGAAAAAATACCACACCTGTCGATTCCGGCGCAACCTCTCCACCTCCTGACGTCTATGCGGTGGCGGTGGGGGTGGGTAGGATCTCTCCGAATATTGCCGACGATCAAGGGAGAATGAGCTCGTTTCTGAGCATGGAAGATCGTAGCCAGTAGTCATCGATCGGGAATAGGAATTTGGGGTCGAGGCTTCGGAAGACGGGGTCAAAGAAGGGATCCGTAGGAGGCCGAGACGACGCGTTGGAGGTGGGGGATGGCCGGGTGAGGGGCTTGACGACGGGCCCGAGCCGTCCAGACTGTCCGCCAGTGATGGTCTGTGAAAATCTGGGCTTGAATTTAGACATACATACATAAGCTTGAGCTTAGGTTAGGCTTAGGCTTTGGTTCAGACTTAGACTTAGGCTTAGCTTATGCTTAGCTTCGTTTTAGCTTAGGCTTAGCTTAGGCTTAGCTTAGGATTAGCTTAGGCTTAGCTTAGGCATAGCTTTGGCTTAGCTTAGGCTTAGCTTGGGTCTAGCTTCGGCTTAGGATAGGCTTAGCTAAGGCTTAGCTTAGGCTTAGCTAAGTCTTAGCTTAGGCTTAGCTTAGGCTTAGCTAAGGCTTAGCTTAGGCTTAGCTTAGGCCTAGTTTAAGCTTAGACTTTGCTTGGGATTCAAAAATAGGTATCGCCATTTGAAAAAGACCAAAAAAATCGTAATTTAGATGTTTCTAATTTCGTACTTGAATTTCATAGCGTAACTGGCGCCTCAAAAGCTCTCAAAATTGAAAAAAATTGCGTCTTAAATTACTTGGCGTAATCGAATAGCTCAAAAATCAAAAAAAATGGCCGAAAAAATTCTAATTATCGCGCTACCTCGTCGAAACATGCAAATACTGCCCGGAGCCATTGTTCTCCTTCTTGCCCTTCTTCTTCTTGCCGGATTTCTCGACTTCTTCACTCCGATACTCCCGCCTAGCCGAGGTATACGAGTGGAATAAACGGTGCATCGTCAAATGAGCGTAAAAATATAGCGCGACAAGGGCTAAAGTACCCAATAGAGGGGCAGGATTTAGCGTGAGAAGTAGCTGATGGTGGCAAGACGGATGTGGGATGGGGGCGGGTGTATAGGGAGGGCAGATCGTCGATAGCAGTGTCGCGTACACCCAACACCCAAACCCCGCCCCCAACAAGTCGAGAAGAACGCGAAGATGAGGCACCACAGCTGGTCTAGACCGATTTTTTCGGATTTTTTAGATAATCACGGAATAGTCTGTGCATTAATGAGAGCAAGGACAGGCTAGCAGCAGTCATTGAGGAATCGAGGGCAAGCTAGCAGAGATCATCGAGGAGGCTGGCTAGCAGCGATCATTGAGGAATCGAAGGCAAGCCAGCAGAGATCATCGAGGAGGTTGGCTAGCAGCGATCATTGAGGAATCGAGGGCAAGCTAGCAGAGATCATCGAGGAGGCTGGCTAGCAGCGATCATTGAGGAATCGAAGGCAAGCCAGCAGAGATCATCGAGGAGGTTGGCTAGCAGCGATCATTGAGGAATCGAGGGCAAGCTAGCAGAGATCATCGAGGAGGCTGGCTAGCAGCGATCATTGAGGAATCGAGGGCAAGCTAGCAGAGATCATCGAGGAGGCTGGCTAGCAGCGATCTTTGCGGAATCGAGGGCAAGCTAGCAGAGATCATCAAGGAGTCTGGCTAGCAGCGATCATTGAGGAAGGGCACGACCCACATTTTTTGGGATTTTCTAGTAGCAGGATCAGCATCGATTATCCTTTGAAGTAAGCAAGACTGGAAAAAAACAACAATTTAAAGGAAATCTTAAACCAAAAATGAAGGCGAGAATGTTTTTACCGACATCAATGCAGAAGAAAAATTAGCGATTGGGTTTTTTGACTTGCTAGTTCCTTTGCCATCGAAATGTATTTCTGGACTGTTTTTTATTATTTTTAAAGTAAACTCTTGTCGGACCGGAAACACTGATATGTATTAGAATCCCCGATTACAGATATTGGCTCAAATTCTGCACAAAATTTTCAGTTTCAGTGTCTTCAAAAATTTGTCAATTTTGTGGCCTGACCCTTCATAGTCCCTTTAGCAGCGTCAGAATAGCATAAGGGGATCGCCAAAACTGCAAACTACAAAAGGCCAGTTTGTTCCAAAAAATGTTGCAAGTTTTGAGGCGCCCCGTTGCGACTAGATCAATCCAGGCGGCCCATCTCCCCCCTCCTGAATCAGCTTCAGCGTCTCGCCCCCCCGAGATTTTATGGATTCGTAAGAATCGGGCGGAGGGCCGCTCTGACGCGATCAGTCTCTCTCTCTCTCTCTCTCTCTCTCTCCTCTCTCTCTCTCTATCTCTCTGCGAGACACTATCTTCTCAAAATTTCAGATAAAAATTTAAGCCGCGCCTGCAAGATGGATCGCTACTTTTTTGGGGTTTTCGGGGCGAGTTTTCTGGATCACCCAGCTAATTTTTGGGGGTGTTTCTTGAACGAAAAACCCCCAACAATTCCGGGAAAAGCTAACTTAAAGGTACAGTGACATCGATTAAAATCCCGAGAAAAACTTAAGTTATGCAAATTGCCCGCATTTTCTTTAGAAAACAACGTAAAATTCTTTTTTTCCCGGATTTCTAGGTATTTAAATAAAGCTAAAAAAATTCCTAAAAATAAGGACAATCCGAGCCAAAATGGGGTCGTCGGGTGGCCTAAAAATATGAGGTCCAGCCCAGAAAAAGGGGAAAGCCGCCGGGCTGGCTGGCTTAAAATCTTTGCCCGTTCAGCCATAAAAAAGCGTGGAGGAGGATAGTTATTATCGAGTGAGAGAGAGAGAAAGAGAGAGAGAGAGAGAGAGAGAGAGAGAGAGAGAGAGAGAGAGAGAGAGAGAGAGAGAGAGAGGGAGAAGGGAGGGAGGGGCGGGGGGGAGGGAGGGAGGAGGAAGGGGGAGGAGGGGAGAGAGAAAGAGAGACAGAGAGAGAGAGAAAGAGGGAGAGAGAGAGACAGAGTGATAGCTAAAGAAGCAGATTTCATCGGTTTTCAAACGTCCAAATTCTCAGGGATGCAAATGAGCACGATTTGGGAAAACTCGAGCCATAAAAATCAGAGAAAAAAGAACTTCTTGAAAAAGGTGTTTTTAAAACCTGACAGCCAATACCGTACCCAGAAGCTTCCAAAAATATCGAAATTCTACCGTAACCCCAAACTACCAACCTGAAGCGTGTCGGCGTTTCCGTTTCCGTTCTCGTGCTTTGGCCGGTGGACTTGGGAGACCTAAAAAAGGAATAGCTTGGTCTCTCTCTGTCTCTTTCTGTCTCACTCTCTCCCCCTCGCTCTCTATCTCTCTCTCGCTATCTCTCTCTCTCTCTCTCTCTCTCTCTCTCTCTCTCTGTCTCTAGTAAAACTATGGCAAATACCTGGAAATTCAAAATAATCGTCCATATCAACCCGAGCGTCAGCTTCCCATTGCCCTCCTCGATGTCCTCGGCCCGGATGTTGACGAGCCGTATTGATCTCTCGCGCAGGTACGTCAGACAGTTCTGTACGTTTTGCACTCGGTGGAATTGCGTCTTCACGCTCTTCTCGCGAGGCTGAAAAAAAAATGGTTGATAGAAATTCCTGGAGCGTATTTGCAGCCCTGGCTTCCTCAATGAGCTCTGCTAGTCTCCCCCCGGCTTCCTCAATGATCTCTTCTAGCCTGCTTTTCTCGAAACTCACAATTCTATGTCCAGTCAACGCTTCAAGTAGGTAGATGAGGTTCAGCCCGTCCCTCAGCCCCTCGAAAAGATCATCTATCGCCCGGTGGTCGGCCTTGTTTAAGTGTTTATTCACCCATTTTGTGAACGTCTTCTTCTGGATTGAGTCGCGCTCATCTGAAAGTTCATAATAGGTCTTTGAGCTTGATCTCCCTCTCTTTCTCATTCTCCTTTTCTCTCTCTCTCTCACTCTCTCTCACTCCCTCTCTTTCTCTCTCTCTCTCTCTCTCTCTCTCTCTCTCTGACTATCTCTTTTCTCGCACTCTCTATATAATTTTAATTCCGGTATGATACTAACAACGGATCTTTCTCTCGGCGGTTTTTAGGTATTACTATCGCCAAAGCGAGAAGCCGACGCAACTGAGGAAGAATGGAGAGTGATGATTCGACAAGGGGTCAGAATAAATGCATAGGCATCAAAAGCAAGCCGAGGCTTCACTCTCTCTCTCCCTCTCTCTCTCTCTCTCTCTCTCTCTCTCTCTCTTTCTCGCCCTCTCCCTGCGATGGTCCCTCCAAAATCCAACTGACCCCCACTTTTTAGTGACAGCCCCTCGTGAGGATCGGCCTCCAGAGGGGGAGCCACAGCGTAGATAACATCTCTCTCTCTCTCTATCTCGCTCTCTCTCTCTCTCTCTCTCTCGCTCTGTCTCTACTTCGTTCTCTCGTCATTACATAACGATACGCTGCACGGCTGGTTCACGCCTTGGGGTTGATAAGGTGAGGACAACTGATTTCTTCCTTTCCTGCTGTCACCCTCCCTTTAAAACCCTAGCACTACTCAACGTAGCGTAGCGTAGCGTAGCACTCGCTCTCTCGCTCTCAAAACAGATCTGAACCGAATCGATCGAATCATCGGATTTGGTTCTAGTGGGGGTGGGGGGGGGGGTACAAAGGCGAGCCTCGGAGTTATGGCTCGTGCTCACATTCAGCCGCTGGCTGACGCTGGTGCTCGAAATATCAACATACACATAAGCAGGGGTATACAGAGGCGGTGACCCGTATGCAAATCGGGGAACTGGTTCAGCGATTTATGGTATACTTTAAAGGGGCTCGAAAAGCAAAATTGGGAGAGAGAGAAAGAGCGGGAGAGCGAGAGACTGAGAACGAGCTAGAGAGATACTGAGAGAGAGCGAGCGAGAAAGAGAGTGGGAGAGAGACAGATGAGAGAGAGACAGATAGAGTGAGAGAGGGAGAGAGAGATTAATATAGAGATCAGAGTGTGTTTTTTTTCTGCTTTTTTTTTCCTTTCACAATCCAATAACGTGCCGGAAAAGCCAATGAAACCTATTTCAAATCCAATTTTGGCCGAGTCATCCCTCCAACAAAAAAGGGGACAGCTGCACCCAGCAATAGCAATGAGTCAGCCTCGGTGTTTTCATCGATTTTGTCCAGAATAAAAATCCTTAAAAGCTATTCTAACCCTTAAAACAAGCCCCGAATTTCATGGTGTGATCGATTAGCCTGAAGATAGCCCCCGGGCGACATGCCCCTCGTAAATCAACAGCTGGGGGTCACATGGCGGCACTTGAGAAAAGGGAGTGTAAGTGGGTAAATGGATTTAAAGGTGGAGAGAAAGAGAGAGAGAGAGAGAGAGAGAGAGAGAGCGAGAGAGAGAGCGAGAGAGAGAATTCCTCGCAAGCCTCTGCTAGCCTCCCTTTGCATCTGAATTTGCATTTTTTGCTGATTCCCAAAGAATCTTTGCGGAGTTTCTTAGTTTCTTAGATTCTTAGAACGCTCGGAGATCTACGTAGTCTAAATTTAACGATTCTCCAATGATCTCTGCTGGTTTGCTAGGTCAAAAATTAGCCCCAAAGTCAGCATAAATACAGAGAAACGAAGGGAGAATAAAAACCGAACCTTGCAAAGCTCAAAACCCCGAAATTTTGCGTATTCACGGAAAATTAACTAATAAAGCTCCAAAAATAGGGATTTAAGATAAGATTTGTGCACAAATCGATGGGATGGGAATTAAAGGTAAAATTAGCATAAATCGCAAAATTTAATTTGTCGAAAATATATAAAATAGGTATTTTCAGCTGAATAGTCAGATAGGATAGGTAGAAAACAAAGTGGAAATGATGTTTTAAGTATAATTATCATAAAATCCGTTCACCACATGTAATTCTTACCTTTATGCGTCTGCAGGTTGTTTTCGTAGTGCTCGAGGCACTCGGCTTCAGCCGGAGTTGGCTCGGAATAGGGAGAAGCCGTTGCCGAGTGCATTTACAGGGTGTTATTTGGAATGCAGCGTACACGAGGGGAGGTGGAGTACTTCAGACACCTAATGACGGAGGGAATATAATTGGAATTATGCTAATTAGGTGGATGGGACTGGACCTGAGAATTTTCTAGTGTTTTTACTGTTGTTTTTGAACTTTTAATCGATTTTTGACACCTGAAGGTTTAAACAAAACTTTAATTCAGAGAGATTAACCATCTAAAAATATAGAAAACTTAAATTTGCAAAATTACAAAATGTGTTTTTTACACAATTTTTCGAGTTTTCCACGCGCTTTCAAACGCGTTAAAATACCGAAAAAATCAAAGTTTTCGTGGAAATATGAAAATCATGGCAAAATAAAAGCGACGAATTTTTAGAAATTGTAAATTGCAACTTTAAGGAAAAATCCTAATTTTTCATATTTTTGGGAATTTTTTATGTAATTTAAAGAAATTTTTACATTAGCTCAACGCCAGACTTAATAGAAATATGCAAATTACAAAGAATCCAACTTTAAAAATCTCAAAAATCTACTTAAAATAAAATTTAAAAGAAAAAAAAATCAAATTCTCTGGTCCAGGCCAAGCTACCGTAGCCCTTACCGAGTAACAAATAGTATTAGGCCCCGGCTATCGTGTCATTAGGGTAGAAACGGAATAACCAGAAAAATATGGTAATATTTGGATAAATAGCCGTAGGGGGAAAATATTGGAGGCGGGCGAGGTTGTGCTGGTGGATGACTGGGACTGTCTTCGCGCCGAGGGGGCTCTGCGCGGGGCGAGAGAGGAGGGGCACACGAGAGGGAGCAGACGAGAGACACGGAGAGATCGGGGAGGGTGAGAGGGGGCAGACAGACAGAGGGGGAGGGACGGGACTACACACACCGCCCATACCGACACATAAAGACGGACAGACAGACAGACACACAGACAGACAGATCAAAGCACGACCTCTGGCCCCCGCCCAGTCACCACACTGGCCTGGGGGCAGAGAGAGAGAGAGCGAGAGAGCAAGAGAGAGGGAGCGATAGAGAGAGAGACAGAGCAACAAAAACAAATTGCATCCCCCAGTTTTTGCATAATCGCTCTCGCCCAGAAGGTGTTGCCCCGTTTCTCAAGTCCGGGCGGTGGGAAAGAGACATTTCTGGGAAATCTGGAAGTTTTCGCTGGTCCTAACGCCCTCTATTTCTATCGCTCTGTCGCTGTCTCTCTCGCTCTCTCTCTCTCGCTCTCTCACTCTCCATCTCTCTCACTGTCTCTCTCGCTCTTCTCTCTCGCTCTCTCTCACTCACTCTCGCTCGCTCTTCTCTCTCTCTCTCTCTCTCTCTCTCTCTCTCTCTCTCTCTCGTTCTCCTTCACTCTCTGCACTAGCAGTCGCGTAAAACTTTCCGCGTACTAAATTTACTTTCCGATGCCATCACGCTTCAATGGCTTCACCTCAGCCTTAAGCGTAGCCTCGGAATGGACCTAGGCCTCGACTTCGGCTTAATTAGGCGTAAGCTTAGGTTTATGCTTTAGCTCATGCTTGGGCTTGGGCTAGTTTTGGCTTAGACTTAGCTTAGACTTAGGTTTCTGCTTAGGCTTGGGCTTGGCTTAGGCAACGGGCCTAGGCTGATGCTTGGGCTTAGGCTTAACCTTAGCGTAGGATTTTTCTCCTCAACCTCGACACAGTCAGTCAAAAATGCAAATGGCGGTGACACCGGATGTGGACCTTTTTGGGGCGGGATAGCCGCGGCCACCTGATACCTTCCAGGGCCCACAGCAACAAACAGTGGCGTCCCGTCAGCATAAACTGGGGGCGGAAGGGAGGCCGAGAGATCCAGCCTTATTTGGATAGAGATTGGCTTGAGGTCATTAGCGGAAGGTGTTGGATCGGAGACAAAAAAATGGAACGGCGTGGAGGGGAGAGAGAGAGAGAGCGAGAGAGATATGGAGAGCCATCGGAGCATGGGCATGAGAGGTAGAGAGTGAGTGCGTCAGAGAGTGAGTGCGAGAGAGAGAGCGAGGTAGTGAGAGAGTGAGTTTGAAAGAAGCATAGCTAAAGAGCGACCGGGAAAGCGAGAGATAGGAGAGAGAGCGAGAGAGATGGAGAGACAGCGGGAGAGAGCATAGGCAAGAGAGAGGTAGCGAGAGTGAGTGCGAGAGTGTGAGTGCGAGAAGCAAACATAGATAAACAGCTAGAGAGAGAACGAGAGCGAAAGAGAGAATGAAAGCGACAGAGCGAGAGAGCTAGAGCGAGAGAGAGAACGATTGAGAAATTTTATGAGTATAATTAGTGTCTCAAACCGGCAATCGAGTGAAGCGAAAAGCTGGAAAGTCGTTTCTGAATATCGCCGCTGCTGGAAAAGCGATGGAGCTCATCGTAGGCGCGATGAGAGGAAGCTGGAGAGTGGAGGTAGCTGAACAAAACACTCTTGGTATCGTTAGTAAAAGATCATCTACCGTCTATTCTCCTCTCGAACAAGTAGGGATTGTCTGGATGCGGATGCGATTAGTGAGTGATCTCGGGTGGGGGGTTGAGGGGTCGAAAATCCGTTGTGGTGACCTCCTCCAAGTCGTCGTGGGACTTCCGGGGTGCCCGGGTAGTCCCGCCAAGACATTTCTGAAGTGGGGGGGGGTTAATGGGTTAGTTATGGATTTTAGAAGGGCGGGCAAGGAAGGCCCTTGCAAATTTTTACAAGAGCACGAGCAAACAAACGGATGGGAGCACAAGAGTTTGAGAGAGCCGGAGAGAGTGAGAAAAAGAGAGAGAGGAGAGAGGAGAGAGGAGGGGAGGAGGAGGAGGCGATGGGGAGAGAGCAGGAGGGCGATAGGGAGAGAGAGACGTGAGAAGAGAGAGAGAGAGAGAGAGAGAGAGAGAGAGAGGGAGAAAGAGAGAATGAGAGAGGTAGAAAGAGCGAGAGTTAGAGAGAGACGTGAGAGAGAGAGAGACGTGAGAAAGCGACAGAGTAATCCATTACGAAAGGAAAACGGCGGCTGGCCAAAAATTCTACCGTCTAGGGCCCTTTAAAGAACCGTTTATGGCAGGATTGACCGAAAATTGTAAGATTGCCAAATCTCGCGAAAATAACTCAAATTCCCCGGCTAGAAAGTGCTAAACAAACAAATCTTTCCGCTAGGAAATCAATGTTGCAGCGAGACAAGGGGAGGAGGGAGGAGGCTCATCTTTGCCTTCCAGGCTTATCACTACTTCTTTCCGTTGAATGCCTGATTCATCGCGGGGAGGGGCTGGGTACAGAATATTGGGTGCAGAAAGTTGTTGTTAGAGGCAGCGTAATTAAAGGGATATGCAAGGCAGAATTATGGATGTTAGCTGTGGATTTTCTAGAGTTTTTACGCTTGCGAAAAAGCGAGAGACCGCGAGAGAGTGCGAGAGAGCGGATGGAGCGATAAAGTTAGAGAGCAAGAGAGAGTGACAGAGAGGAGAGAGAGTGCGAAGGAGTGCGACAGAGAGATAGACAGAGAGAGAGAGACAGAGAAACAGAAGGCGGTCGTAGGAAGGAGAGCACGATATGGGGAACGAGTGGGAGCAAGAGGTAGAGAGAATGAGATAGAGAGCATGAGCAATAGAGCGATTTAGAGAGAAGAAAATAAAAGAGAGAAAACAATGGTAAGGTAATCAGGGGAAAAGGAAAAGGGGAAATTTGACCTAGGCAGGCAAGCAGGGAACCCTGGGGAATGGCCGACTAGAAGCCAGAAAGAGCTATAAAAACAGAGAAAACTATTACAAATATAAATATAAAAATACAAAAAACCGCCACGCAAAATTCGGTAACCACATTCAAAGAATTTGAAGTATCGTACCCTTTTCCGGTTTTTAATATCTTTTTACTGCTCGAAACGCGGTGCCTAACCTTCGCTTACGTCGTGACAAAAACCTTAAAAGCTTCGTAAACTTTCTTTTTGTTCAAAGCCCAATAAAAAACCAAGAATTTTCACGCGTCACACCTCTAGTGCTTCTCTTATCTTAAGCCATATTATCAGCTGTCTTCCCCTCCCTGCCACCTCTTCCAACAAAAGCAGAAAATAATGACAAAGCGCCGCCCGATTTACGGGAGCCGTTAAAAACCCGGATACCTCAACCGGAAACGGCGGAATGCATCGGAATTTCTATAGAAAAGCGCCCACCCGAGAATTCCTCATCGGATGCGTCATCGGGATCGATGTCGTGTAGGGAAGGGTCGTGTGAAATATGCAGATCGCGGTCGTGGAAGGAGGAGTGGGACGGAAGTTTGGATACGGCTACGCTACGCTCCTCCTTACGGGGGTGGCGACGCTTTTTCGAGTTGGTTCTGGTGATTGAGTGGAAGCATTCGAGGGAACCGGCGCTGAAAATGGAAATTATAGTCAGGTAGACTAGCAGAGATCCTTGGGGAAGAGAGGGCATGCTAGCAGAGATCATTGAGGAAGAGAGGGCAGGCTAGCAGAAATCATTGAGGAAGTAGAGGGCGGGCTGGCAAAGATCATTGAGGAAGCGAGGGCAGGCTAGCAGAGGTCATTGAGGAAAGCAAGGACAGACTAGCAGAGATCATTGAGGAAATCTTGGGCTAGCTAGCAGAGAACATTGAGGAAGCAAGGGTATACCAGCAGAGATGAATTAAGGAACTTACACATAATGGTAGTGTATTAGAGGTTTATCCAATTCCGTCGGCCCCTTCCGCTTTGTCCCTACGATCGACTCCTCGCAACGATAGCGCTGCTCCTCCTCGTAGCTAAAGAGGGGCATTAGGATTCGTTCCGAGATTCCGACCTTGTACGCGTTGACATTGCCGAGGCGCTGCTCTGGCGGCTCTTGAAGGAGGAGACGAGGACCCCACGGCCCTTGGTGAGACCTCGCTCATCGAGGAGGGTACCCATCTGGAAGTGGATGGTTAGGCTTAGGCTTAGGCTCGGCTTCGCTTAGGCTAAAGCTTAGTCTTCAGCATAGACTTAGGCATGGGCTTAGGCTTAAGCTTCGGCTTGTTGTAAGCTTGACTTAAGCTTGGGCCTAGGCTTAGGTTTCCGAACCTGATAAATCGCTGTCGTCTCATACGATTCCGGAAGTCGCGCAGTTCGCACCGTTGAGAAGACGTCGTTTTGGTTGTCTGGAGCGGCAACCGGTGAGGGAGAGAGAGAGAGAGAGAGAGAGAGAGAGAGAGAGAAGAGAGCAAGAGAGAGAGAGAGCAAGAGAGAGAGCGAGAGAGAGCGAAAGAGAGAGCGAAAGAGAGAGAGGTAGAGAACGAGAGAGAGACGGAGAGATCGAGAGAGCGAGAGATAGAAAGAGAAAGAGAGAGAGAGGGAGACAGAGAGAAGGACAGAGAGAGAGAGAGAGTGAGAGAGCGCTTCACCGCTAGGATGTGCGTGTTGTTTGTGGTGCTGCTTGATGACGGTGGAGTGAAGACCCTGAGATCCCTCAGGGCGGATTGGAGGTCTAGCGGCTTGCCGTTCTAAAAAGTAGATAAATGACAGTATACCGTGAGCTACAGCAGCCCACAAGAAGCTAAAGTAACCTATTTATACCTTAAACCAGCGCCCAAAACCCGCTTCGCGGGCCTTGGGCGCTGGAATGCGGCCTTTGCATGAGCAATTTGACTTTCCGATAGCTTGTACCTTAAATTATTCCCCCAACTTACCAACAGCGATGTGATGCACAAGTTCGCGCGGTTCACTGCGTCGCGGTCGCGTCACGGTCCTCACCTCCACGGTGGCCTGGCGATCGTGAGACCGGGCCCGACGATTTAAATTCTAATTTTCGTTTTTAAAGGAACTATGAAGCCTATAAATCTTGAACACCGGCTGGGGCAAGCTAGCGAAGGTTTTTTGAAAATCTTCTACCCTTTTTAGCCTGTAATTTTCTTATTTCAGCTCCAAATTTTCTGAAAATTTGATACAATATGTAAATACCATATATCTATTATTACATAAATTTCCAAAAATAAATTATGTATTTTGAAAAGGTTATAGCAGGAATATTGATTTTTGCCTGGATTTTTTAATTGCAAGACATTTTTTGAAAAATGTGGTATTTTTTAAAGTTTTTCCGCTAATTTTAACAGCCGTTCTAATTCAGGCTTCTTTTCTAGACTAAAGTATCTCTGCTAGCCTGCCCAATCCCTTTAAACGAACCTCATAATGATAGGCATGTCGCTCCCCCGGCCGATCGGCGTCTGAAAATTCCGCAAAATTCCGCTGGACTCCATTTCCTTGTGTTGACGTCCCGGGATTGACATTATCAGGGGTGGGCGGGGCTTCGCCAGGCTCCTAATTGAAATTAAAGTTCAAAAATATGTAAAAAATGACAAATACCCGCTTTTTCCAGAATCGGATGTCACCCGTTTTGATGGAGAAGTAGCGGGGCATCTGGGAAAGGAATTATACGAATTTGCATATGAAGTCAAGAGAGGGAGAGAGAGAGAGAGCGAGAGCGAGCGCGAGAAAGCGAGAGCGAAAGAAAAAGCTAGAGCGAGAGACAGCAAGCGAGAGAGAGAAAGAGCGAGAGAGAGAGCCTGAGAGAGAGCGAGATAGAGAGAAAGAGAGAGCTACGCAACACTACGGGGTACGTAGCAGAGTCATACCTAAAAATAGCAACGGAAAGTCGTAAATTATTAGACTTAAAACTTCCAAAAAAAATTTGCGTTTACGCGTACACTACGCTGCTAATTTTTACGCTAGAAGGTAAGCACGTAAAATCCGTATTTTCTATTCGTAAAGCGGAAAAATGTACCTAAATCGACTACGCTACGTTACACACTAAGTACAAGCGTAAAAGCTGCAATTTCGATCTTAAAAAGAGCGGCTGCCGACGAGTACGGAGCGCTACGGTTTGTACGCACGTAAAATTCTGAATTTTTCGCCTAAAAAGCTTAAAAAAATAGAAATGGTGCTAAATCGACTATGCCAGAACTCAAACGTCAAAACGCACGTTTTAGGCTACGAAGGATTCAAAAAAACGTCCTAAGATCGTCTTTCCCGATTACGCGACACTACGCTTACGTACATAAAGCCGAAAGCGTAGCATCAACAATTTCTACGTAGTAAATACCTCCAAAAATATTTGTATCGACTACGCGACACTACGCTCGAGTACATACATTCACTCGAAAGCGTAAAACCATAAAACACGGGCGGGTGTGGGGGGAAACGAGGGTTTGCAGGTGCCAAGCCCGGATATACCAGCCTGCCGGCCCGCCGGCTGGCTGCCCGGACACTTTTTGGGGTTGGGGAGGGCCACAGTGTTCAGTGGGGCCTCCAGGCTGGGCCCTAAGGCTCGGCAAAACCCTTGGAAAGAAGGGCCCAGAGAGGGCCAAAGAGAGGCCCAGCAACAGGGGACAGTTGCCCGGTTGACCCACGAGTTGACCCCCGGCTGAGGCTGGCACGTTACTGGGGTCATCGGCATAAGCATAAGCCTAGTAGGCTTCGGATTGGGTTTAGGCTTGGGCTTAGGCTTAGGCTTTGGCTTGGGCTTAAGATTAGGCTTCGTTCAGGCTGAGCTTGGGTCTATGCTTAACCTTAGACTTAGGCTTAGCATTCGGCGTAGGTTTTGGCTTGGCTTTAGGCTTAGACGCTCGCTTAGGCACAGACTTAGGCCTACACTCGCTTAGGCTTACGTTAGGCTTAGCATTCGGCCTAGGTTTTGGCTTCGTCTAGGTCCAGGCTTAGGCTGCGGCCTAGAGCTTAGGCTCAGGCTTAGGCTTACAATCAAGCCTGGGCTCAGACTTAAAGGGATGCCGACGGCATAGGCATTCGGTTACGCGCTGGAAAGTAAATGTCTCTGCGCCTCTCCCCAGGGCGCGCTCTCTCCCCTGTTGGCTACTTGCCAATTTGTTGATGGGGGGGGGATCGACACATGCCGTCGGCAGCTCTTTAAGCGCAGAGTTAAGTTAAGCTTAGGCTTAGGCCTACGGTCTGGGGCTCAGAGCTTAGGCATGGCTTAGGTTAGGCTTCAGCGTTCTTATGATTCGGCTTAGAAGTAGGCTTAGGCTTACGAGTAGGCTTAGGCTCAGGCTTAGCTTTAGGCTTAGGCTAAGGTTGAGTTCTCTAGGTCAAAATTCCATCCTTTGCAGGGCGCACCCCCACGGGACTATTTGGCGTCGTTGGCCCTTCAGCTCAAGTAGCCGGACACGACCCTTTCAAGGTCACGACAATCGAAAAGTCGACAAAATTTTGCGAATCAACAAGAGCGGGCTAGCAGAGATTACTGGGGGAATTCATTTTGCAGCTGCCGCAGACTAATCGGGGCCGAACCGTACGCGCCATTCCAGCGTACAGCCTCGTAAATATGCATAATCCGCAACAATCCGCCCTCGGGGGGGCTACTGGCGGCCTCCATTTTGTCGATACGAAACAGGGGGCGGGTTGTTTGGGTGGGTAAACATGGGGAAATGCGAATAGCTGGCCCGGCTTCGCGTATTTACAAACGGTTTTATCGCGGGTGCGTATTTATTAAGCAATTGGGCAGAAAATGGCGACGACGAGCAAGATTAAAATCACCATATCATGATGATCGTAAACTGAGGGTTAATCACAAGGAATTAAATGAGCACAACTGGAAGGGTAATCATGGAAGCTATGATGGATAATCACGAACAGAAATTAATTGAATGAATTAAATTGATGTGGAACGGCTACAGGCTCAATCTCAGATGGCGAGGCCTTTGTCGACGAGTCTATCGAATCTGCAGTGGCGACAGCGGTCTGGAATGAGGAAATAAAGGGTGTAGCAGAGATCATTGAGGAAGGGCAGGGCAGGCGGTTCTGGACTGTTAGCGGGGGGGGGGGAGCCGGAGCCAGAGCCGGAGCCAGAGCCGGAGCCAGAGCCGGAGCTTCCGCCTGAAATTTTTCGAAAAAACCGTTAAACGCCATGAAAAGGCATGAAAAACACCCTAAAATTCTTGTAAAAACAATTTTCGAGGGCATTGCCAGGTCTCTGAACTGGTTGAAACCGTTGAATCCCTAATTTCGCTTAATATCGCGGGCGTCATTGGGTTACAAAAAATGTTGAAATCAACGGTTATTTGATGATTTTTATCAAGAAAAAATTCTAAAAGCATAGAACGCTTGCCGGTTCATTTTCACCTAATATTCGAATGGTTGTGCCGAAGAAAACCTGATGAAAAACAGATAATGGGCAACAGGGGCAAGTTGCCCCCCAAAGACAAAAAATTTTCGAGTTGCCCCCCAAAAAATCGGGTTCGTGTACGCCCCTGCTTGTGTCTCTCAGTAAAGTTTTTTTTGCTAGATTCCGCGGAGTTTGATTTAGGTTTTTGAGCTTTTTGGAACATTTAAAACGTATTAGTGAGGACATTTGCCCCAGGGCATTCCTTTCCGATGTTTATCGAATCGATTCGGGCGCCCCCCCCTCCATCTGTCCCCCATTTAGTGCCTTTTACGGACCAATTACGAACGGATACCCCACTTCCCAGGTCATCCAGTCCATTTTCCGCTAAGCTACTCCTGCCACCAAAGAAAAACGATGAAATTCTTTTATTTTCTGCTTGTATTCAGCGAATTTTCTCATTGCCGTCGGGTCGTCGTCACAACCTGGGATGGCGACGGGTTCCGCAGCGCTACGCTTAACGGTTCGTACAGTGGCTGATCGTAAATATTGTCGTTTGTAGCCTACAACTCGTTAAACAGCGGAAATTCCCGGATGGGCAGCCTGGTGGAGGGGCTGTCGACGTGTGAGCGGTTGCAGGTAGGTGTACTATGTAACGGCCTCTTCCGTTACGCGTCGAATTACATTGCGTAATGGAACCTTGGCCCCTTGGAATTAGTACATTTGCGTACTCCTTGGGCCGGACTACGGTAATGCGACCCGGGAACGGTTTCGTAATATGAATTCGGCTACTCAGTGATTTACATTGCGTAATCGGATCTTGGAAAGTTTGTGAGGAGTGCGGTTTCGTACTCGATTTCTTTTGTTTAGAATTACTGGAGTAGTTTGATTCACAAGGCTTAGGTTGCCGCGTATTGTAGCGTACTGGCATGCGTAATCAGCTTCTGGCCTCGAGTATTGTTGCGTACCGCCGCGAGTACTGCGCCGTACTACGTTGCGTCAAATTACGTACCGTAATCCGATTTCTCAGGCTGCGTAGTGGATTCAAATCGTACTGCTGCGTATTGCGGTTTTCAAAACCGTTTCTAACGGAATTACACTGCGTAGTCGAAACTTACAGCGTTTGTAAGGAGTACGGTTGCGTACTCGATTTCCTTTGACCAGAATTTACTGGCCTAGTTTGATTTATACAGCTTAGGAACACGTATTGTCGCGTAGTTTAGCGCTTTGGCATATTCTAGGCCGTTTCAAACCAAATTACATTGCGTAATCGAATCTTAGAACGTTCTTAGGAAGTACGGTTGGGTACGCGTTTCCATTTGACCTATTACCTACAATAATCCTATTTCTAAGGCTTAATGAAACGTACTGCCACGTAGTATAGCGTATTTATTGCGGTATTCAGGGCCATTTCCCGACGGATTACATTGCGTAATCAGTTCCTGGCCTCGAGTATTGATGCGTACCGCGGTACGTACTGCGCCGTACTACGCTATGCGTCAAAATACATAGGCCGTCGCGTACCGAATTACATTGCATAATTAGAGCCTGGCCTTGATGACTGCCGCGTACATTCGCGTTCTAATCACCCCTTACAGTGCGACACGACGGTGGGTTACGGTGGGTCGCCAGACGAGAGCGGCGAGACGACCCTTGATGCCCTGCTCATCGACGGGTAGGCCCTTGACTTTGAAGGCCTCCCCCGCTTGCTGTCACGCTCCCTTTAAAACCTTGCCATTGGCTTCCAGACCTGGGCATCGGATGGCAGCCGTCGCCCAACTGCGCCGCGTACGCGACGCGGCACGCGTCGCCTGGGCTGTGATGAACCACACGCAGCACACGATGATTGTTGGGGAGCAGGGTGAGAGAGTTGGCGATTGGTAGGCTAGCAGAGATCATTGAGGAGTCGGGGCAGGCTAGCGGAGAGCCTTGAGGAGCATCATTTGCAGCCACCCGCTTCGCGCTCCAGATGGGTTTCAAGGAAGAGAACCTGACCACGCCGGCCTCACTGCTGATGATGGACGTGTGGAGGCGGAATAATTGTCAGCCGAATTTTTGGAAGGTTAGTTTTTCTCACCGATCTCCGCTAGCCTGCTCTCGGTTCCTCAATGATCTCTGTCAGCCCGCCTCGCTTCCTCAACGATTTTTAGAACGTGAACCCAACCCCTACCAAAAGTTGTGGACCGTACCAGCCTGCGTCCGCTACGGACAACCTCGAAAAAATGGTGCTATCAAATCGGATCATCGATCGGTGGGTGTTCAGGCCCCGGCGACGGGTTTAAGCTTAGGCTTAGGCTAGGCTTTGCGCATCGCAGATTCAAAAGCTGACAATTTCCATGGCCAATCGCTGCCTTTTCCAGTTTCCACCACGACACCATCGGCATGGTGGTGATCGACGATAGCGGCGAGGTTTCAGCCGGAACATCTACCAATGGTGCCCGGTACAAGGTGGGTTTCTCTTTTTCACTTTTTGTCACTTTTACAATGTTGTGAGCACCGTAACGAGTAGTGCCACGTACTAAGACAGCCCGGCTATAAAGTTTATCGAGTTTCGCGTTTGGAATTGATGATCATCATGGTATTTAACGGGATGTGTTCGGTAAGGGTTGAGCGGAGGAGGAGGAGCTCGAGCAGGGGGCGGGGCTAGGGCTGCTGCGGCTTCTCCAGCTGCACGTCCAGGTCGACGTTCACCGGCTTGTTCTGCCCGAGGTCCTTGCCGTCGAAGAGGAACTGAAATTGAAGGCTGGGCTTAGGCTTTGTCTTAGGTTAATCAGGCTTAGGCTTAAGCTTAGCCTAACGCTTTTACCTCAAACTCCCAAAGCCCGGTCCGGCTCGGCGGCAATTCACCGACGTCGAGCTCGAACGGCTTCGACTCGGGGGGCCCCTCAGAAGCTGAAAGCCCCACAATTTCAATTCCTTTCTTTCTTCCCCACAAGAACGGCAGGGCAGGATGACCGACGAGTTCGGGGAGGACAACAAGAAATTGACCGGGGAGACTGAAAAACACCGGGTTGAATAATCGCGGGCAGCGCGACGTACTCGAGCTGGTCGGCTTGGCCTTTTCGGGGGATTGGCCGCCGGGCAGGCGATTGGGATTCGGCTGCCAGTAGCTGTTCATCGACCCGGTGTCCTGCTCGAAGCCGCTGGTCACGCCGAACCGGTCGGGCATCTCGAGGGCCTGGCCGGTGGCTCTGAACAGCATATGAACATACCACAGTTTAGCCCCTACCTAAAGTAGAACTCGACCGTCTCCCTCAGCCGCTGAGCAAAGTCATCCAGCTGCCGGAGGGGGATGTTGGCGATGGGGAGCAGTTCAGCGACGTCGCGCAGTTCGGCTAGGGAGAGGCGCTCGATTTCGAGACGGTCGACGAGGTGGGAGATGACCTGAAAGCCAGGATTCCGAGGTCGAACTGCCCGAACCCGTCGGCCATCCCCGAAGACGTTCTGGTGGGCCCAGACGATGGTCGCCTTGAAGAGGGAGGCCCAGGGGACACGGAACAGGGGGTGGGTCCAAGGGGCGTCGGCCAGGGCCCAGTCGATCATCGCCTGGAAGGGAGGTTGAACTGGTTTAACATGTTGAACTTGTCGCTAGGTCGACAGATCTTTGAAAACCCGCTACCCACCATCATCGACCTCCTGCTCAGCGCGTGAAAGCTGGGGATATGCACGTAGCTGACGAGCTGCCCGATGCACTCCTGAAGCTCATGATCATCTACAACGTCAGCCTGTCCACCTTGAAGATGCGGTAAGCCACGTCATCCTGGACATTGGCATGGCCGGCCATCTCGAGCGCGATCATGGCCGTCTCGGGGCCGTGCGCCATCAGCTCGATCTGCTTCTCCATCTCAATGCACAGCTCGGCGACGCCGAGCACATGGGCGGTGGCGAGCACTTTGTCGAGCTGGAAAAGTGGGGGTCGTCGACTTGAAGATGTACAACTACCATCTCATGCACGATGAAGATCTCGCGGCCGGCAATGAAGTCAAAGACCATGCGCAGCGACTTGTCGCACACGAGCGGCTGCTCGGCGACGAGCTGCTCGAGGGCGTCGGGTTCGGCTGAAGAGGGTTAAATGATTAGGCTTAGGCTTCGGCTTAGGCATGGCTTGGGCTCGGCTCGGCTTAGCTTCGGCTTAGGCTTGGCTTATGCTAGGCTTTAAGCTTATCGGCGAAGTCGGTCAAAACCCACCACCGATCAACTTTTGCAGCTTCTGGCTGTGCGCGAGGACGTCCGCCAGCTCGAGGGTGTGCTTGGAGTCGCCGTAGATGAACGCGACATCGCCGAGACGTTCACGCGAGTCGCGCTGAAATTTGAATATTCCGAAACGAATGCAAAAAATACCTGACGCGTCGACGAGACGGCGAACCCGTCTTCGAGTTCCATTCCGTTGGGGGGAAAGTTGTGAAATGCGGGCGAAAAATTGGGTTTTATACCGGGTTACTGTAACTTCCGATGTGCCGGGATGTAAATTTGATTTTTATGGATTACATGGATTCAAATTGATGTTAGATAGAAAGTGCTTTCTATCTAACATGCTTAGGCTTAGGCTTCGGCTTCGGCTTAGGTTTAGGGTTAGGGTTAGGCTGAAACTTGGTCTGGGTCTAGGTCTCGGCTTAGGCTTAGGCAGGCTTAGGCCTTGGCTTAGACTTGGACTTAGGTTTAGGCTCAGGCTTAAACTTTTCCAAACCCACAACCCAATCCCTCTTTCAGATCCCGGGCCGCGTAGGCGATTCCTCCCTTCCCGGCTCTGGTGCGTACCTCTGGCAGGGTGTTGGGGGAGCGTCAGCTACTGGAGATGGAGATGTGCTGATGCGGTTTTTGCCCAGGTACAGAGGCCAAGAAAGATGAGCTCCCTTTTCAGCTACCAAACCGTCGAGTGGATGCGGCAGGGCCTATCCCCGCGTGAAGCCGCGCAGAAGTCCCTTGCCCGAATCGCCGAGTTTTATCCGGGTTTTCAGGGAGCTGTCGTAGCAGCTAATGTGAAGGTATTTGGAAATACAGGTCTAATGAACTCTGCTAGCCAGCCCTCGATTCCTCAATGATCTCTGCTAGCTTGCTTGCTCCAATTTCCATTTCAGGGCGAACACGGTGCCGGTTGTGCGGGTCTGCCCTCGTTCACCTACTCGCATATGGAAGCGGGGGACACCGTCACGCAGACAACTACCGTACCCTGTATTTAAACTTCTAATTTTTTCGTTCTTACAAAATAATAAAACTTAGAAATAAATGTTGCAGTTCAATTTAAAAGTCCTTATAAGAAATTAGTAGTAATCACAAATTTCCCACTTTTAAAAAATATTTTGTTTTCCAAAAAACAATTTTCAATTTCTTCTCTTTTAAAGTTGTTTTCTGCACTTAAAATTCCCAATTTTTGCACTGGAAAACTTCAAAAATTCACCCACCAATTAACCGCGCCACACGAACCCGTGATTTTCCCAAAAAAATGGGAAGAAAAAATTGAAAATTAGCGTTTCCCAGGGGAATCATGCTAGCCCGTAATTTTCGATTCATTGCGGGAGACATCGGTCAGCTACCGTACGCTTAAAGATACCGAAAAACACCAAATAACACTCGAGTTTTCACGTCAACAAGTTTATCATGGACTGTCGGGGGTAGAAGGAGTACATAGGATCAGGCTTAGGCTTAGGTTAGGCTTAGCAGGGAGATCGCTAGGTGTAGTTTGTAGTCGCGCGTCATCCTGGAGGTCAGGAGATCCGATTCATCACCGCTTCAACATGTACCAGTCGACCGTCAGTGGTGCGCTGTTGGGGTATGAGGGCGACTTGGTTGCCAACGGTGGTCATGCTCCCCATCGGGACGAGGGCGTACTGTTGCGGGGTGGGGTTGGAGATCGGGGACATCTAAAAAAACGTAGGCATCTGTTTCTCTCTCTCCCTCTCTCTCTTTATGTCTCTCTCTCACTCTCTCTCTCTCTCTCTCCCTTTCTTTCTCTCATTATAACATCACTAACCTGCATCACCATCTGTTGTTGACCACCATGGGCACAGTTGCAGTGCGTAGTCTGCAGCAAGTTCGGCTGCAGGGCGAGCGGCTGGGCGTAGCTTACTTGCTGAACTTGCTGGAGATGCTGAAGCTGCTGAATTTGAGAATTTGAGTCAAGCGGATGTACCTGCTGGCACTGCTGTACGGGCTGGAACTGTTGAACCTGCTGAACCTGTTGGACTTGTTGGAACTGCTGAACCGGCTGAACGTATAGAATTTTATGAGCCGGGTAAACCTGAAATACCTGCTGGAACGATTGCACCGGTTGAACTGGCTGAAGGGGTGGGGCTGACGGTTGGGCGGCGGGAGCCGGTAGTTGTGGCTAAATGGGAAGATCATCTACCTTAAGGGCACCTATGTATAATAACATAAGCTTTTTCAACTGTTATTCTTTAGAAATGGTCTAGACATCGCTAAAGCTGGCGATTCAGTTTTATAACTGCATTCCCAGTTGGCCTTTAGCGTCAGACATCCACTGGGTTGATTTGGGAAACTTTTGGGCCCTGATTCTCCGAAATCTGCTGTATAATCGGGGGATAGTAGATAAAACTGGGGCTGAAGCTTCAACTTATTCGTAGAGATGAAACTCCTCTGCTGGATGTTCCTCTCGATGGCCCTGGTCATCACCGAGGCTCACCTTTTGCCGGTAATGGTTTGAAAGACTCATTTTGTTAGTAAGCAAAAGCGAGAGAGAGAGAGAGAGGGAGAGAGAGAGAGAGAGAGAGAGAGAGAGAAAGGGAGAGAGGGGGAGAAGGAGAGAGGAAGACTGACAGAGACAGCGCGAGTGAGCGGGAGAGAAAGAGAGAGAGAGAGAGAGAGAGAGAGAGAGAGTTCAACTTCCAGATCTGTCTGGGTGAAAGGTATCGGTGTAATGGAGTCTGCATCCCGGATGATGAGCCCTGCGATGAACTGGTCGAGGTGAATGGACGTATAGTAAGTTTCTCTCTCACTCTCTCTCTCTTTCTCTCTCTCTTGCTTTCTCTTCCCCTCTCTATCTCTCTCTCACGCCATTTTTCAGGAAATTCTCGGCCGCCACTGTTCGTACCCCCGTATTCTGTGCCACGGGGAATGCAGATTCGATTGCAGGCAGCCAAAATGAGAAATTCGATAAATCGTCGCCAATCTACATAAAAATTCACCTGCATAACGGTCTCGACCGGCATCTGTTTCATGTATTCCACCGTAGCTTGCGCTGTTTTCTAGAAAAAAAATTGTGAAATACATTGAAATGATGAGTACCGTTTTCTTATCACCCCATTGGCAGCAGAAAACGACCCTCCGGAAGGTGGGGAGCAGGATGAAGCTGGCCACGACGAACAGGCAGCGGAACACGTCTTGGTTGCAATATAGCTACAATCCCGTAATGAGTACATCAACGTATTCTTCAGAATTTTGCTATCAGTATCTGGTGGACGTTACTGTACTCTGCTTTTCCTAAAGTAGTGGGTTCTACGAATTACGGTAGATTGTGAAGTACGGTAGTGAGGAAGGCATACGACCGGAGAATGACGTAATTTGTAGTGTGAGGTACTCTTCGTGGATATGTCATTGGCAAAGTAGCGTACTTTAGAGGTAAGTGTACACGACATATCGTATTTTGTGAGATACCGTAAACTTTCAGCTACAGTACACCCCGGAACCCGTTATTCGTAAGCATCGTACTCTGAACGTAGGCTTAGACTTAGCAGTGCGGTCTAGCTACAGTAGGCTGGAAGACACTATCGTACTACCAGGCATGCCGTTAGAAAAAGACTACATTTTATCTACCGTAAGCCGTGAAACTCGTCATTTGGAAAGATCGTACTTTCGAAACTCTGCTTGAAATTCTGTTATTTGTATTTTATCGGAACCGGGAACTTTCGTAAATTGGAAAGTACCGTACCTAGTATACTACAGTACTCACCACTCCCACCCAATTATACCGAAAATACCGAGCGCCGATCGAGTACAGGAAGTACGTGTTGTTGTAGTAGCTCGTACGCCATCTGCAGGTCCCGAATTTCGAAACGTTAAGCTCCAATTTACTCACGCCAAGAACTTATAGTCAAAGATGTACGTGCGGTAGGTGATCATCTCGAAGACGCGCTCGATGGACAGACCTGAATCTCGGAAAAATGACGCGAAAAATTGGGTAAATTACAGTAAGTGGGGAGGAGCGGGAAGTTGGTGACGGCGAGGAAAATAACTATCCATAGGAGACGTCGCTTGGCATACTGTACGCTCGAGGAACCATCAGAATTCGCGTCCGGGGAATGGCCACAGCAGCAGATGCATGGGGACTGGAAGGGTTGATGAAATTGGCGGCTCTCTCGCACGTTTTCGCCCGCGCTCTGTCACTATCTCTGTCTTTCTCCCTTTCTCTCTTTCTTTCTCTCTCTCTCTCTCTCTCTCTCTCTCTCTCTGTCTCTTTCTGTGTGAGAAAGACATAGAGAGATACAGAGCGAAACAGCGATCGAGAGAGAGAGTGTGATCGAGAGAGAGAGAGCGAGAGAGAGAGAAACAGAGAGAAAGAGATAGTGACAGAGAGACAGAGAGAGCGCGAAAGAGGGAGAGCCAGAGCGAGAGAGAGACAGGGCGAGTGAGAGACAGGGCGAGTTAGATTGAGAGAGAGGGGGAGAGAGAGTGAGATCGAACGAGAGAGAGATAGCGAGAGAGAGAGAAACAGAGATATGCTATACAAACCCACAAATAAAATCAAAATCCCGGTGACGATGTTCGATAGGATGGCCCAGCCATGACCGACAAGCGCAGCGTAAGTTAATACCGGTGACACCCCGTCGAAAACGGTTGATATCAAAACGATTGATAAGGCGATCGACAGGCCAATTGCAATGAAATACAGTATCCTAAAATCCAGGTATTTTAAAAGCGCAGCGACAAAAAAATTGGAGTTTTTTGGGTGCCAAGCAAACGAAAAATATTTTTAAAGGGAGTGTGACAGCTCGAATTCAAGATTTCTTACCCAGCTCCACACTTTTGACGAGTGTAGATAGTTCGTATTATCGAGAATAGATGGATTGGGGTAATGACCATGTAGATAAAAGGGACAGCTTGCTGGAGCACCGTTTTGGCGAGGAACAACCAGTACGAACTAGAAATGGAGGTGTTAGAGATAGAGAAAGAGAATGAGCAAGAGAGAAAGATCAAGAGAGAGAGAGACAGACAGAGAGAGAAAGAGAGAGAGAGAGAGGGAGGGAGAGAAAGCGAGCGAGCGACTTACACGTTGCTCCTCGGCAAAAGCCAGCCAATAAGGAGCTGCAGCCAATAGATTAGGCATGACAGAAAACTCGTGATCGCGACGGGAGCGGTGTAGGAGGCTTGGCTGGCGTCTAAATAGGCTTAGGTTTAGCCCTGTGCTTAGGGAGACTTAGACTTCAGTTTAGGCTTGGTTTAAGCAGGATTAGGCTTTGCCTAGGCATGACTTTCGTTTCGGCTTTGCTGAGGCTTGGCTTAGACCAAGGCTTGGCTTAGGCTATGCTTTTGTTTAGGCTTGAGCTTATGCTTAGGCTTAGATTTCGTCTAGGCTTTGCTTAAGCTTCGGCTTCGGCTGAAGCTTAGGCTTAGGCCTAGGCTTAGCCTTAGAGTTAGGCTTTGGTTTGGCTTGGGCTTGGCTTAGATTTAGGCTTAGGCATAGGCTTAGGCTCGCACTTCTCCTCACCTGCTCCCCACACAAAAATCACGTACAGTAACCCGATAATCGACTCAACAACCAGGTATATGATTTCAGTTGTCCAGTCTAAACATCATTTTCAGGGCTTCTAAACTTCTCAAACTTGAATAAATATATCCGCTGTAATTCTGGATATACACGGAATTTGTGCCGACGACTTGTCCCATCACAGTCTTCGGGTCGAGTCGTGACAACTGTGTGTCGTAGAAGATCTGATAGGTCAGGAACTCGTAGTAATCCATTGTTGCCTACGTTTTGCCCAAGTTTCCACCTGAAATTGGAGGGTAAAGGAAGTCGGAAGAGGAAGATACTGTACTTTTGAAGAAGACCATGAAGAGTCAAAAAGCGAGAGCTCGCAGAGGTCGTTTAGGAAATTTTTGAAAAGGCCGGGTAGATGCTAGCAGAGTTCCTTTCAAAATGCTTAATGGTCTGGGTGGCAAGCTAGCAGAGATCATTGTAGAATGTGGTGGTGGTGTGGAGCATGCTAGCAGAGATCGTTTGGTTTGTAAAGGGAAGGTAAGAAGCCAGCAGAGCTCATTGGAGAATGTTGTGACGGCCCAAGCGGCAAGCTAGCAGAGAACGTCTGAGAATTTCTGGTGGCGTAGGTCGCTAGCTAGCACAGATGATTTGAGAATTTTGCGCGTGGATGGCATGCTAGCAGAGATCATTCCGGAATCCGTTTTCGAAACTTTCGAATTTTGTCAGCTAGGATATGCTTAGAGGCGGTTCAAAATTCATAAAATTTTAAGTTTTTAAAAAGTGTAAAAAATTTTTGAACTTTCTGAAATTTTTAATTCAATAATTAATTAATAACGAAAGCCGCTAGACTTACTTATGTCGCGAGCTAGCAGAGAGTATTAGGGAAAGATTTTACAGAAATTTAAGATGAACCTATCCCTTTTTCATGGCTAGAAGGATTACGGTAGGGTTTTTCAAACCCCCTAAAAACTGCAAACTCGCATCCAAGGCATACTGTAGCCACTCGCTACGCATTTTCCTAACTCTTATAAGATTTCAAACATCCCCAAAATAACTCCTCCAGGGCCAGCGGCCTCCTTCAAAAGACGTCAATGGGGGGGCAGAAATGACAACTCTTCAATCCCCACCCCGGGTCCAGCGGCCAACATTCCCCTCAAAAATGATTTGATTACGGGATTCCCGCTGCCCAGGTTTCTTTTGCGCAAACGGGAAATTATCGGAAATTACCGCCCCGGCGGGATTGACAACAATTTTTGGGCGTTTTTTGGAAGTTATTCCCACACCGCCGGCCGCTGTGGGACCCGCCATTTTTGGAGGGCCACAAATTAGGAGACTAGAATAGAGTGGGCCGTTTCAAAATGTTTGACGTTCGAAACCGAGGAGCAGGCCCGTAAGAGGGGGGGGGGCGAGGGGGGCGAGCCGCCCCCCCCCCGAAATCGGCCGAAGGCCGAAAAGTTCATAAGGGGGGACCCTTATGATTTCATTTTTCCAAAAAATTTTTTGCCTGCGGCGCTGTTTTTGGCTATTTTTAACACTAGTTTTAGTGTTATAAACCCTATGTTTTGAAAAATTTTGCCTGCGGCGCTGTAGTTTTAGTCATATTAGTAAAAAATTTTTGGGGTCGCCCCCCCCTGAAATTTGGGTTTGTTACGGCCCTGCCGAGGAGTGAGTCAGAGCTTTGACGCATTTTAAAGGTTCAGAAAGCGGAATTGGTGGCTACCGTAACCCTGACTACGATACGAAACTAGATTACGGATAGGACGGACGCACTCAGAATGCGGAAAATCTGAAAAAAGATTCGTGTTCAGCTCAAAATTCTGCAAGAGATCGGCTTGGTCCGTCGGTTTTACGATCGGTGCATCGTAAACAACCGTAGTCCCGTAGATAGGAATACGTAATCCGGTAAGTTGCGTATTACCGTTGGGTACCGTAGCCTCATAAGCATCGTAGTGCCGTAGCGTACGAAAGTACAGTAATTAGCGTGGTACCGACATGTACCAATTACCGAGCAGTATCGTATTACAGTAGCGAAGCGTAGCCTTGTCAATCTCGTAGTACATTAATCCTGCGAGTACCGTATTACCGTAGCGTACCGTAGCCCGGAAGTCGCGTAGTATCGTGGCGAACCGTAGCCTCGTAGGCGTCGTATTACCGCAGCGTAGCCCCGTAGGCATCGGATTGGCTAGCGTACCGTAGCCCCGTAAATATCGTATTACCGCAGCGTGGCGTAGTCCCTTAAGTATCGTTGCCCGCTAGCGTGTTATATCCCCATAATCATCGTACCGTACAATACCGTACCGTACCTCCTATGATTTGCAAAGCTGTTATTCTCGGCCCTTCCGGAAATGCCCAAATCCATTCCAAAATTTGCATCATTACAGAAATTTGAATTATTTTGAGACGCTCTTGATGCTGGTTGTTCTCAAAAACATCCATCCCCTGTTCCCCCCCCCCGTCTTCCCTTTGATGGACGCCGTCGAGCTGAAGACGTACTTCGAGACGAGTCAGTGTTTCAGATCATCTTCTTCGTAAAAAATCAAGAAGTTAAAATTCATCCCAATTTTCTAATTTCCAGTCCTGGTGGGCATGGCCGAGCTGCGCACCGAGCAGTGCCAGATTCGCAGCGACATCAGCAAGTTGAGGTGAGAAAGCGAGAGAGAGCGAGAGAGAGTGAGTGAGCGAAAGTGAGAGCAAGAAAGCCAGAGAGAGAGCAAGCGAGAGAGAGGGGGTGAGAGCGAGATAGAGAAACAGCTATTTTTTTTCTACGTTTAGATGCGAGCTGAAGGATCTGTGGCTCCAGGTGGCCAAGGACATCAGCAACAGGGACAGCAAGGAGGCGTAAGCTACTTACGTTGTTTTCATAGTTTTCCGCTTTTTAAGAGTTGCGATTTGCATACATAAATTTTCCTAAATTCCAGCGCCATCGAGATCTCGGGCACCAACAAGGAGAGCTGCGCCTGAAGCTCCGCCCCCGCCGCCACTTCAACGGCCCTTTAAACCTTAAATTAATCGAAGATGCGACGGATATCGATCGATTCTTTGCGTGTGTGGTGTTGTGGTTTCAATAAATGATTTTGATATTTGTCTGTGCAAAAACCAGCTTGGGCTTAGGCTTGGCTTAGGCTTGGGCTTCGACTTAGGTTAGCTTCGGCTGCGACTTAGGCCTAGGGTTGAGCTTAGGCTTGGGCCTAGGTTTAAAAAGCCCAGGCTTAAGCTTGGGCTTAAGCTTAAGGTTAAGCTTAGGTTAGGCTAGGCTAAAGCTTAGCTTTGACCTAGCTTGGACTTAGGCTTAGGTTAGGCTAGGGTTTCGCTCATGTCTGATGATATGCATTTTCTCGTCGTCTTTTCTGCAACAACAACTCCTTTATCTCGCGGCGCCGGTGATGGTGTTCACAAGTATTCGGGAAGATGGAGAGAAAAACCGGGAAAACAGGTAATTTTTAGCGGGAATGAGATCTTTAAAGAGACAGGGGGAGGGCGTTTGTGGAGGGTGATATGTACACAGGTGGATGGTCGCGGAAATCGAGGAAATCAGGAAATCAGAAGTCAGCGCAAAAATCGATAATTTCGGGAGGCACACACCGGGGTCTCGAAGCGGAGGGAAGAGGGGCGGGGACTAGAATATATGTTTTTGGTGGTTTTTTTTCGGGATAAAGGAGGGGTTGGCTTAGGCTTAGGCTTAGGCTTAGGCTTAAGCTTAAACCCCGGTTCCACCTCAAAAATGACAATTACGAAAAATTGCGTTGATATGGCGTTGCACTCTTTGAACTGCAAAAAGTCCTGGAAGTGGATTTGGGGAGAGGGAGGGTGTTCATTGGATGGATACGTACATACAGCGGAATGTGGAGGGCGAGAGAAATAGAGAGAGAGCGAGAGAGAGAGAGAGAGAGTGAGAGAGAGCCATAAGCTCCCCTTAAAGCGATCGATAATTATGTGTGAAACGGTGTGGTGAGTCTGGAGTTGCCGTAGCGTGGCGTAGCGTGGCGTAGTGTGGCGTAGTGGTGCGTAGTCTATCACATCTGCTGGGAGGCTCCCGGGGTGTTGGGGACTTGTAGGTAGTCGAGCGCCTTCTTCAGCTTGTCCTCCGGCAACCGCTCGAGTCCGGCGCGGACGACGGCGAGCGCACTGTCGACGTCTTCGAATTGGTGGAATTTTCGGATCTGAAAATACAAAGATACAAACATGATATTTGATCTTGCAGAATTTCCGAAGATTTTTCGGTACTGGGCTGTTAGCGGGGGGAGGCTTTTTAGAGGGGGAACGAAATTTTTCCCTGATTCTCTACCGCCCTATGAAAAATATACACCATTTTTATAGCATTTTCCATCATTTTAGTCCTAAAAACAATACAAATATTCAACAATTCTAGATTTTTGGTCAAAAATTTATGAAAAACGACAAAAAAGTTACATTTTCACATTTTTAAAGTTTTTCAAAATATTTTTGAACTTTCTAGTAATCAAAAACTACTAAAAACACTATAAAAATACATTATATATGGTCAAAAAGCAGGTATATAATTGGAAAAACCAAAAGTTATTTTCCCACCCCGCTAAAATCCCCCGCCCCCGCTAACAGTCCAGCACAGATTTTTCGGGGCTAGAACGGAGCGCTAACACCCCCTTTCCTTCCCTGTTCAAATCATCTGTAAACAGGTATGCAGACGGGTGTCCCCCTAAAGCTTATCGTCCCCCCACCGGGCGGCTTCCCCCTGTTTTGCCGCCCTCGAATCGGACCACCTGGCCCGAGCCCGGGGGATAGCAGATTCTGCTGGAGATAACAGGGTTAATGGGGGGCGCGTGCCATGTTTTCCGGAAAATTGCTCTGGACATCACTAGCAGGAAGGGGAGGATGGGGATGACCAGTCAGAGGGAGCGGGAGCTATGCAAAAAAAATTAACAGAATTTGGGGTTTGGGGTCGATCCTGCTTAGGCGTAGCTTAGGGCTAATGCCTAGATTAAGGCTTCGCTTAGGTTCCGCTTAGGCTTAGGCTTAGGCTTGGGCTTAGGCATAGGCTTAGGTATCGGCCTTTGCACAGCTTTCACTTAGTCTTCACTTGGGCTTACTTCAGGCACATGCTAGGCTTAGGCTTGGGCTTGGTTTAGGCTCAGGTTTTGTTAGGCTTTGGCTTCGGTTTAGCTTCGTCTAGGCTTCGCTTAGGCTTACTTTTGGGCCTAAGGCATAACTTTCACTTAGTATTTTTTAGGGTTTCGCTTAGATTTAGCTTGGTCTGCGCTTAAGTTTCGTTTAGACAGAGGTTTAGGTTTTGGCTTAGGCCTTTCCCTTAGGCTTAGGCTTGGGTTTTGCTTAAGCTTGGGCTTTAGTTTGGGCTTAGGCTTCGTTTAGGCGTAGGCTTATCCGTTCCTCCCCCCACCCTATCCTACACAACCTGATCCAATGTTGATCCCAACCCGCGAATCCTTTGTTGACCAAAACCTGGACCCGGGCCAGGCTCTCCCCACCTCTCTGCAAAACAACCCGCTCAAAACCCAAGCCGTTCTGTGGTGCCCTTTGGAGCATGCGCCCCAGCCGCCATTTTTTCGGCTCAAAAGTGCGAAACAAACAGTCAGACACGCACGCGCAGAACCCAGGTTCAGGCCGCTTATCTCCAAGCGCCGGGAACGACGCGTTTTTGGAGGCGCGGGCCTGGAAGCCGGCCAGGGTGGAAAAACAAGCCAGCGATCAATTTTGGGGAGGTCTTACGGTAGTTTAGGTAATGTTAACGGGCTTGTAAAGGCACGGAAAACACACCTGATGCCGTTCATCATCAGAGAGCAACTCCTGGAAAACCTTCGGCGGGCGTTTCTGCACCAAAAAGTTTTCGATTTGGCGGCGGGTATGTGGATCCAGCTCGCTACCGTAGTCGAGGAGCTTTTCCTGGAAATAATGGGTTTGGTAGGTGGAGGTCTACTCAATGATCTCTGCTAGCCTGCCCTCACTTCGGCAATGATCTCTGCTAGCCTGCCTTCGCGTCCTCACCTTGATAATCGGCAGCAACCTATGATACTCGGCGGTGGCGTGCAGGGCACTAATGTGCCGCAGCTCCTTCTCTGTCCACGGGAGTGCCCTGAAGCTTAAGATTCAGAAAAACGTTTCGAGAATCGCACCGGAAAATGCCGCCATGGGCCCCAAGTGGATCGTAGCTGCCGGCTGAATATTCGACCTCCTCGGCGATGGTGAGGGCGGACAGGAAAAGGAAGGGGACTATCCTCAGCAGCATCCTTAAAGTTAGGGGTGAGAGAGAGCATGCCAGAGAGCGAGAGACAGCTAGAGCCAGAGAGAGAACGAGAGAGAACAGAGAAAGTGATAGGGGGATGGAGAACGCGAGAAAGAGGGAGCGAGAGAGAGAGAGAGAGCGAGAGCGAGCGCGTGAAAGCGAGAGATAGCACGAGAGAGAGAGAGCACGAGAGAGGAAACGAGATAGAGCACGAGGAAGTGCAAGAAACAGAAAAAGAGACCGAGAGAGAGACCGAGAGAAAGAGAGAGAGAGAGAGAGAGAAGAGAGAGAGAGAGAGAGAGAGAGACGGCGAGGAAGAGAGAGAGCGAGAAATCGAGCTAAACAAATCATAAAACGTCCAATAAATAACCCAATTCACAAGGAAATACCACATTCCGAGGCGCAACCCCATTGACACACGTCAGACTACCGTAATCAAGCCCCCAGCACACACCCGGCCAGCCCCTCGAAAAACCCCCCGGAAAATGTAGCCGAAATGGGCTGGTGATGGGGTAAAAGGGAGAAGCTGGGGGCCGGTCAGGGGAATCGCGATAACAAGAAATGTGGCCGAGGGACCTAACCGAAATTCCGGAAAAAAACGGAATGGAACCCGGTTCGATTTAGCAACCCTGCGAGGGTGGGGGCTGAACTGAACCCCGGGGAGAGAGACCACAAATAGACAGACTTTTGGACGGAGGATGGTCAAACAGTAAAGAGGAGCGGGACGGAACGGACTGTTCGGACCTTTCCCGAAGGGGGGACAAACAAAAATCATCTTTTCGGGTGTTGGGGGGAGAAAAACAATGAGGCGGAATGGGGATGGCAGGATAGTGGAGGTATTTTGGGAAACTGTTAAGCACGAGGATTACCGTACCGACTTAAGATGCCGAAGTCGTAAGCCTAAGCCCAAGCCGAAACCGATGTATGTGCCTAAGCCCAAGCCCAAGTCAATCCTAAGTCAAGCCTAAGCCTGAGCGAAGCCAAAGTCTAACGATAAGCCTAAGCATAAGCCTAGGCCGAAGCTTAAGCCGAAGCCGAAGCCTCAGCTTAAGTTTAAGCAAAAGTCTAGCTTGAGTTTAAGACTAATTCGAAGCCCAAATCCAAGCCAAGCCCAAGCTAAGCGCGAGCTTACGCTTAAGCCTAAGCCGATGCCGAACAAGCCAAGCCTAATCCCAAGCGTATTCCTAAGCCCAAGCCTGAGCCTAAGCCGAACCCTAAGCTAAGCCTGAGCCTAAGCCCACGAGATACACCTAATGACGAGGACAAGTTAGTACCCATTCTAGGAAGTTCCGAAGCGCAACCCCAGCTACCGTAGGCAGCTAGCAGAGATCACTAGAGATTTGGCTAGCCTAGAAAAGCCCTGCTTAGGCTTAGGCTTAGCGCGACAAGTCATCCTCTGAGCCAATTCCTCAGCTACGTGGCAATCCCAAAAACGCTAGAACGCCTCGGTTCCGAAATGCTCCGTTGCTCCCTCCCTTTTATACCCGCCCAAATTTCTGGGCACCGCGCCCAGAAATTCCAAAAACACAGCCCAGGCGACGACGCCAAGATCGGAACGGAGGTGCAATTTCCATGTGTGAAATATTTTGGCGCCGGCCAGCCGCAAAATATGCGCACGCGCGCGCCCCCTATTTTCGCCGAAATTCCGGAATTGGCGCCCCCGCCTTGGGGCACATCGGCGTTGAAATCGTCATTTTTGTTCCGTGGATAGAGGAGCGGCAACAAGGACATAATGATCGGT